GTAACAGTTCACTTGTCACGCATATAACATATTTTTTAAAATGTTATTGTTAAATATGGATATATTCCAAAATCGTGGAAATTGGGCACGATAATTACACTGTACAAAGGTAATCGGAAACCGAAGGACGATCCAAACAGCTACAGGGGCATAACATTAATTCCTGTATTTTTCAAAATATTTGAGTCATTGATGTCTACCTGTGTCATAGAGTCAGACTTATTTCCAAACCGGCACCAGTCAGCCTATCGCAAAAATTTATGTCGTTTATGTAATGTTTATCTCACAAGTAAAAGTAAAATCTGTTGAAGTCTGGAAATAATGTAAATCCTATGTATTTAACAAGAAAATATCACTATCTATGAGAAAATCTACTAAACAAGGTATAAATCAGCCCCATGGAGATGTAGAAGAACAGAATAGAAGGAAAACCTGTGTCACTTCATCGACCAGATCACTTCACACTAAAACATTTTGTATGGCTCAACCAAAATTTGCCATTGGAAACCTGGAGTGTGACATTTCCACTACAAGTGAGTGGCCCATATGGTTGATAACCCATTCCATTTCATTTGGTTTTAGATCCAAAACCTGAAACAAAAACCGGCATTTGAATAAGTGAGGTGACTCATTCTGACTTCTATTTATATGGGCAATTTAATTTTGTTTCCTTACACAAATACAGTATTAAAATCAATGTTTTCAAGACATATCAAGACTTTCAAGGAGTTTCAGGAATAATTCCCAATTTGAAGGATTTTCAGGCTCTGCACAAACCCTACTTATGTGTGAACACAGCTGGCAGATGATATGTCAGCGATCAAAATTTCTGTAAGTAATTTTCAAACGCTTGACCAAGAAAATCCCTGCAACCAATGGGATTCCAACCCATACCTAGGAGGTGAAAGGCTGGTGAACACTGGTCACCAAAGCGAGTTTTCATCCTAAATGATATTTTCTGTCGATACTTTTGAAATTCAATCCTGAAAATGTAGTATTCTAGTCTTTCGATTTGTTTGTTTCTTGACCTTTGACCTTAAGATTTCTCTGTCCCCAACTTTAACCTCTGACCTTAAGATTGTAATTGGCTATTCTTCATCTTCTTGCATCATTTTTTTTTTTACATGTATACAAAACATGGTAACCATTGTTTTTTCACCTTGATTTGACAGCAGCCTGTCCCTTAACAAATTAGGAAAATAAAGTAGAATTTTATGAAAAAATGGGAAAATATTCTTGGATTTTGCTTCATTTTGGGACAAAAACTCGCATTTTGGCTAGGGGAAACAACTTTTTTTCGGCTGCAAAACATGGCAAAAAAAACCCCTGCTGATAATAGAAGCAAATTTTTTAAAATCCACTGTCAATGTTACTCATTCATTTATGCCAAGTTTCAAAGCACCAGACAAATGGTTTATGTAAGAAGATGTTACAGGTTGATAAATATTGAGGCCTAGCGGCCTTGACGGTCACCTGAGATAAGCAATATCGAATATAAAGGTTAAAGGATAGTTATCAAGTGTCATGAAACAGAAATTGTGACACTGAATATAGACAGTGGCAACACATGCATACCATCGTAACTGTCATATACTGATAATTCTTATAAAGTGAAAAATATTCCTCCCCAGGAAGTAATGTGGGACTCATTTTGGTAATTAAAACATCTTAAGATGCTTCCATTTATGAAGAGCATTTGATTCTGGGTGTTGAAAATTTTTGAAATTTACAACAATTTGACCCCTTTTGGCCCTGCCCTTCAGGCCCCTGGTAGTAGGGTCTGTATAATTCACATTCACAATTTTGGTTCATCTTAGGCCAGGGAAGGTTTCTGCAAAATTTCAGAAATCGGATCAGGAGTGTTAAATTGTTTATTGGAATTCTGAAATATCAGAACTAAAAGTGAAAGTAAAAATTGTATCTGATATGACAGCTTACAACGATTAAACACACATATATCCACCATTGATATAAGCAACAAGAGACCCATAGGGCCTGTTTCACTCACCTGGATCTTTCAGGCCAATGGTATACATGCCTATAGGTTGGGTAGTTGAAGTTACAGCTCATTCACTTAACCTCTTTGGCAGGACAAGATCAATGTGTACATTCTTATATCATGACTGTCTCTCTGTTTTGATGCCCAGTAAAAGCTCATATGGTTTTCGGGTTGGTATTTCAACTATGTGAAACATATTACCAAGAAGTTATGTCCCTAGACATACAAAGTGTTTCCATGGTAACGTTTTGGAATACCTTACGTATCAAATTATAGGTTATAATTAGCTGTAGCATTTGATCAAGTTTAAATGAAAAGTGAACGGCACAACTATATATCATAGGGATGTGGCATGTCGACTATATATCATAGGGATGTGGCATGCCGACTATATATCATAGGGATGTGGCATGTCGACTATATATCATAGGGATGTGGCATGTCGACTATATATCATAGGGATGTAGAATGTCAACTATATATCATAGGGATGTGGCATGTCAGCTATATATCATAGGGATGTGGCATCTCGACTATATATCATAGGGATGTGGCATGTCGACTATATATCATAGGGATGTAGAACATCAACTATATATCATAGGGATGTAGAATGTCAACTATATATCATAGGGATGTGGCATGTCGACTATATATCATAGGGATGTGGCATGTCGACTATATATCATAGGGATGTGGCATGTCGGCTATATATCATAGGGATGTGGCATGTCGGCTATATATCATAGGGATGTGGCATGTCGGCTATATATCATAGGGATGTGGCATGTCGGCTATATATCATAGGGATGTGGCATGTCGACTACACATCATAGGGATGTGGCATGTCGACTACACATCATAGGGATGTGGCATGTCGACTACACATCATAGGGATGTGGCATGTCGACTACACATCATAGGGATGTGGCATGTCGACTACACATCATAGGGATGTGGCATGTCGACTACACATCATAGGGATGTGGCATGTCGACTACACATCATAGGGATGAGGCATGTCGACTACACATCATAGGGATGTGCCATGTCGACTACACATCATAGGGATGTGCCATGTCGATTCACATCATAGGGATGTGGCATGTCAACTATATATCATAGGGATGTGGCATGTCAAGTTTGAGAAATATTGCTTCAGTACTTGATTAGATTCACTTAACACAATATTTCAAACAGAATATCTACAAAATGATTCTTAATTACTTTAAGATAAAAAAACGATAATGATGGGAAATTGATTAAAATTAATAAAATAAACAATCAATGATTACAATCATATAAGTTTTGTGATGTAATTATATAACTAGTGGAGTTTAATACTGATAGAAAGTGAAAGCATTCTCTGTTGGGAGTAATATTTTCTTTTTTGTAACTAATTAATATAAATTACTTCACTTACTTGGAATTGATATAAAAAATCTTTATCTTTATTATACATATTAATTTTTACTAAAATTTTTAATTCAATTTTGAAAAAGTATAACTGATTATTGCATCAGGTGAGATTAAACGATCAATCAATTACATCTGATCATCGTCCTATCACCACCTACCAAGGGGATCAACAGATTAGGAAATAAGATGTGATTTTGGTAGATTTACATTTTGATCATTCTTGCAGATAACATAAGTTTTAAATCAGCTTGTCACAACCTTACTGCATTACACCTCAATCAGTAAAACTGAAATTAAGAGAGGTGAATTGAATAGCATTATATTTTAATTTTTTGCAAAACTTACATTAAGATCTTTCAATAATGATAACCATTCAGGTTTCCATGTAACACATTGAATAATATCAGTTTTCTCTACCAAACTTGACAGACTCCCAGTCCCAAAATGTTTCAAAATGCTAGCAACAAATTGAAATCAGTTTTCAAGATGACCTCTGCTGCATGTGCAAACACTTATGTTTAATGAGTCTAAATGTGGGCGAGTGGATGATACAGAGGACACCTCAAACCTCCTGAGGCATCAGTTTGCACCAATTAATGGAAGGACCAGTTGTAACCCTACCTAGTACAGTCTCCCTGAGATACTTCCTAATATAAGGAGCTTTGAACAGGGTTTTGATAATCAGAAGAGGACCTCTACTGCGTCCATTACAGCACCTTAGACATGCCCCCCACCAGATTTACAGAGCAGATTTCGCTACTTAGGTAAGTCTAAGTCAGTTCAGTTGCATGTTTTACATCTATTTATTCACTACTTGTCATTTTCACCAGACAAGTTTGAAGTATAGCACATATTTAGAAACAGATTTTCAGACCACTGTCACCAGGTCAATATTGATTAATGTAAAATTGACTACTTCATTCCATTTAGATTTTGATAATGATATAATGATATGTTCCGCAGACTTCACAACGTTTTGATTATGACCAATAGTACTGGGGTCTGTTTTACGCTCAGTGATATATATCAACCAAGTGTTAAGAGTGGTGAGCACTCGGAAATCAGCCAAAATCCCACTGTGGGTTTTGATATCTCTGCCCATGGGACAGACCAATGTTCATGGTTTTTGCCTCACATTTAAAAAATGTAACAAAATAAATTGTGAAATCCATTCCATGTGCCATCACCAATATCCCATGAAATGTGCAGAAATAGATGTTATCAATTGGCAACAAAGTTATGCTACATAAAATGAGAAATAGAAAAACAGGAGTGGGAAGCAGCAGAGATCCTTCCAGTGATTAGCTAGGCAGCCAAGATACTGAATATCACAGCATGGCAAGAAACGTGGATACAGCAGTATTGTTAATTGGTGCCAATTTACTCATTTTGTCAGAGCGTTTCATAATCTGAAACATCTTCAAATGTCTAATGTGTAATCAAGCACTTTTACTTTACGCAAAAAATTAAGTTTTGAAGACACATTGATGCGATCTCCATCTTCTGAATCTCACTTCTTCCCAAATTCATCACCTCCATTACAGTAAATGAAAACAGAACCACTGTTGTGTAAAGTACTTGTTTTAATATAAATCTTTTGAGCTATTACATATGCTAAAATTAATATAATAATATTCTTAACATCATTAAACTGATCAGTGTAACTCATATCTTTATATATATCCTCTCACTTTCACTTTCCCAAGTATTAACATCATAGGGAATACCGGGGGTAGATATCATAATGGCTGACACTGAGACAAAATATACTTACATACATTCAAACATACACACAGATTACGTAATGGATATTATGTTATATACGTATGAAATCAAAACCATATTAGCACCTGTTTAAAATATCTCTCACAATCACACAATAGCTGTTGGATACGGGCCACCTGAGTATATTCCATGATCTGGATAAATGGACCTTGCCTCTATCCTTTAGATAAAACAATATGTCCACTGCCTTAAAATTGATCAAAAGAAGAAGCAAGGTATCACCAGCTGATTTCTTTTATGAGGATAAGGCCTCTAGTACTGCCCTAAACCACACAGCTACAGCTCGGGCTCCTGGATCAGGGTTCTTCAGGTGATCTGCACTAACATAGCTGGCTCTGCCAGCTTGAGCTTTCATCTTGGCTGTCTCTTCCGCACTCTTCTCAGCAGCCTGTGGAAAGTAACGAGGCACATTAACACTTGTAATGTCCTTATGATAAAAATTAGCCTTTTTATTGTAAGTGTCGAGCAGAGCAAGTGGTCTCTATTACACAACTTGTAAACTGAAAGGAACTTACACCATATCACTAGAGGTATTATAAATATCTGTAAATTAGTCCTTCAAAAAACATTCTTGTTTTTGTAAAAAAATAACAAAAAAGGTCATTTCTTCACAAAGGCAAAAAATCATTGATTTCCATTTTTTTTTTTTTACATATAGAAATGTACTGGTAAAACTTAACTGACCTCTACAGCCAGACGGAATGCCTCCAATGGTGTGTGACTGGATAAGGCTACTGACCACGCTTGGCTGGCCGAGTGTAGAGGGTCAAGCTGTCAATGGAAACACAAAGCTGGACAGGACTTGTTTACAGTATGAGAAAAGGCATGTATCTTTACATATTGAAAGTGAATGGTGTAATTGTATCCATATAATTATATAATCACTTTACCAATTTTTCATCTGACAATAATTATAGATATTTTCTAGTACTTAAAAACTTAAAAATTGTAATCATTTATGGATTAAAGTAAAATATTTAAAGCAGTTTTTTGTTTGAAAGTGTTTTGGGATACCATGGTTCTGTCCCCTGGCTCAGCACCACCATATCTGTAGAAAATGGCAAGTTAGCAAAATTAATGCAAGAAAGACAACTCTACCATTCATGTGACTATATACAACTGAAAACGAGCTTGTATCTAACATGAAGTGCTTGTATAGGAGGACAGTTGATAGAGGTCTGCCTGTAAATCATTACAGTTGTTTATTTATAGTCATTCAAGAGCAAGAAAATGTATTCTTATAGAAGTAGACATTCAAATCTCTATTTTATAACAAGTAATTAAGACTAGCTAAGATAACTGGAAATTACTTCATCATGGTCTGTATTCCAGCTTTGAGGGCTTCACAGTAAGCATCAGGAGAGACTTTGGTCTGTAGACTGGCAGAGGCCGCAGTGAAGAAAAGACTGTACAACTGTAAGGATTATATATGAAGTGAAAATAGCCTTCATTCTTAAACATTATTAACACAGTAGGTAATGTGACCAATTATATGTTTATATTCTAATGAACTCATTTTATATGTAATTTTACTGCTATAATTAAAGAATGGAGAGTAATCTAGCTTTCACAACACATACAAAGTTCGACTGTATATAAAATTTGTAAAGCTATGAATGAATTAAAACGTGCTTATACAAAGCACAATCTCCTGTAATCACATCCATTTTGGATTATGTTATAATTTATTTCTACATTTTTAGGTTCATTCTGGATTCAGGTAGAGAGCATCTTTCCTGATGCACTATTATATGAATATTTTGTGTACAATTAAACTCACCCCTCCTGATGAACCTCCCATTGTATCCTCTGCAGCACTAGCCAAGGTCAGAGCAAGGTCACCAGGACATGAAACAGGCAGATTTGGACTGTCCTTACTTCCCAAACTAGTCAATATTCCTGGAAGGTTATAAAAAAGACAAGAGAAAAGCACTGTTCATTACTTAACAGAGGTTGAGTAATGGCAAACAATGAATTAAACTACATCATACAGCTGTTTCATCCTTCTAGGACTTGTCAGTGATGCTACATCATACAGCTGTTTCATCCTTCTAGGACTTGTCAGTGATGCTACATCATACAGCTGTTTCATCCTTCTAGGACTTGTCAGTGATGCTACATCATACAGCTGTTTCATCCTTCTAGGACTTGTCAGTGATGCTACATCATACAACTGTTTCATCCTTCTAGGACTCGTCGGTGATGCTACATCATACAACTGTTTCATCCTTCTAGGACTCGTCGGTGATGCTAAATCATACAACTGTTTCATCCTTCTAGGACTCGTCAGTGATACTACATCATACAACTGCTTCATCCTTCTAGGACTCATCAGTGATGCTAAATCATCCAGCTGTTTCATCCTTTCAGGACTTGTCAGTGATGTTACATCATACAACTGTTTCATCCTTTCAGGACTTGTCAGTGATGCTACATCATACAACTGCTTCATCCTTCTAGGACTCATCAGTGATGCTAAATCATCCAGCTGTTTCATCCTTTCAGGACTTGTCAGTGATGTTACATCATACAACTGTTTCATCCTTATAGGACTTGTCAGTGATGCTACATCATACAACTGTTTCATCCTTCAAGGACTCGTCAGTGATGCTACATCATACAGTGACATGTAGTTGTTGCCTTCTAATATATCCATTACTCTACCAGTGATATCATTCTACCATGTCCATTACTGTACCAGTGATATCATTCTACCTTGTCCATTACTGTACCAGTGATATCATTCTACCTTGTCCATTACTGTACCAGTGATATCATTCTACCTGTGTAATATATCCATTACTGTACCAGTGATATCATTCTACCTGTGTAATATATCCATTACTGTACCAGTGATATCATTCTACCTGTGTAATATATCCATTACTGTACCAGTGATATCATTCTACCATGTCCATTACTGTACCAGTGATATCATTCTACCTTGTCCATTACTGTACCAGTGATATCATTCTATCAGTGTAATATATCCATTACTGTACCAGTGATATCATTCTACCTTGTCCATTACTGTACCAGTGATATCATTCTACCTGTGTAATATATCCATTACTGTACCAGTGATATCATTCTACCTTGTAATATATCCATTACCGTACCAGTGATATCATTCTACCTGTGTAATATATCCATTACTGTACCAGTGATATCATTCTACCTGTGTAATATATCCATTACTGTACCAGTGATATCATTCTACCATGTCCATTACTGTACCAGTGATATCATTCTACCTTGTCCATTACTGTACCAGTGATATCATTCTATCAGTGTAATATATCCATTACTGTACCAGTGATATCATTCTACCTTGTCCATTACTGTACCAGTGATATCATTCTACCTTGTCCATTACTGTACCAGTGATATCATTCTACCTTTTACATAAATCTAACAGTGATAGCTTTCTACCTGTGTAATATATCCATTACAGTGATATCATTCTACCTTGATATCATTCCAGTGTAATATACATTACTGTACCAGTGATATCATTCTATGTCCATTACTGTACCAGTGATATCATTCTACCTTGTCCATTACTGTACCAGTGATATCATTCTATCAGTGTAATATATCCATTACTGTACCAGTGATATCATTCTACCTTGTCCATTACTGTACCAGTGATATCATTCTACCTGTGTATATATATCCATTACTGTACCAGTGATATCATTCTACCTTGTCCATTACTGTACCAGTGATATCATTCTATCAGTGTAATATATCCATTACTGTACCAGTGATATCATTCTACCTGTGTAATATATCCATTACTGTACCAGTGATATCATTCTACCTTGTCCATTACTGTACCAGTGATATCATTCTACCTGTGTAATATATCCATTACTGTACCAGTGATATCATTCTACCTTGTCCATTACTGTACCAGTGATATCATTCTACCTTGTCCATTACTGTACCAGTGATATCATTCTACCTTTACTGTACCAGTGATATCTGTACCAGTGTAATATATCCATTACTGTACCAGTGATATCATTCTACCTGTGTAATATATCCATTACTGTACCAGTGATATCATTCTACCCATATATCCATTACTGTGTGATATCATTCTATATCCATTACTGTACCAGTGATATCATTCTACCTTGTCCACTGTGTAATATATCCATTACTGTACCAGTGATATCATTCTAACAGTGTAATATATCCATTACTGTACCAGTGATATCATTCTACCATGTCCATTACTGTACCAGTGATATCATTCAGTGATATCCTTGTCCATTACTGTACCAGTGATATCATTCTATCAGTGTAATATATCCATTACTGTACCAGTGATATCATTCTACCTTGTCCATTACTGTACCAGTGATATCATTCTACCTTGTCCATTACTGTACCAGTGATATCATTCTACCTTGTCCATTACTGTACCAGTGATATCATTCTACCTTGTCCATTACTGTACCAGTGATATCATTCTACCTTGTCCATTACTGTACCAGTGATATCAGTGATATCATTCTACTGTACCAGTGTAATATATCATTCTACCTTGTAATATATCCATTACTGTACCAGTGATATCATTCTACCTGTGTAATATATCCATTACTGTACCAGTGATATCATTCTACCTTGTCCATTACTGTACCAGTGATATCATTCTACCTGTGTAATATATCCATTACTGTACCAGTGATATCATTCTACCTGTGTAATATATCCATTCTACCTGTACCATTACTGTACCAGTGATATCATTCTACCTTGTCCATTACTGTACCAGTGATATCATTCTACCTTGTCCATTACTGTACCAGTGATATCATTCTAGTAAAGATATAAAGTATCTATGTATACAAAGTGATATCATTCTAGTAAAGATATAAAGTATCTATGTATACAAAGTAAGTGTTGAGAACTTTAAAGTAAATAACAGCACATGTACAATAATCACTGTCGTGACTGAATTCATTAGTTATATCAATGCCAAGCCTTTACAATCAGCATATATTACTTTTGAGTGGATTTGATGCATTTGTCCACGTACAGACAACAACCGTCCACATACAGACAACAACTGTTCACGTACAGACAACAACAGACAACAACCGTCCACGTACAGACCACAACCGTCCACGTAGACAACAACAGTCCATGTACAGACTGTCCATGTACAGACAACAACCGTCCATGTACAGACTGTCCACATACAGACAACAACCATCCATGTAGACAACAACCGTCCATGTACAGACTGTCCATGTACAGACAACAAACCGTCCACGTACAGACAACAACCGTCCATGTACAGACTGTCCACATACAGACAACAACCGTCCATGTAGACAACAACCGTCCATGTACAGACAACAAACCGTCCACGTACAGACAACAACCATCCATGTACAGACTGTCCATGTACAGACAACAACCGTCCAGGTACAGACAATAACCGTCCACATACAGACAGTCTACGTACAGACAACAACCGTCCAGGTACAAACAACAACCGTCCACATACAGACAGTCTACGTACAGACAACATACGTCCACATCCAGACAACAACCGTCAACGTACAGACAACAACAGACAACAACCGTTCACGTACAGACAACAACCGCCCACGTACAGACCGTCCACATACAGACAACAACCGTCCATGTACAGACTGTCCACATACAGACAACAACCGTCCATGTAGACAACAACCGTCCATGTACAGACAACAACCGTCCAGGTACAGACAACAACCGTCCTCGTACAGACAACAACCGTCCACGTACAGACAGTCTACGTACAGACAACAAACGTCTACATCCAGACAACAACCGTCAAAATACAGACAACAACCGTCCACGTACAGACAACAACCGTCCACGTACAGACCGTCCACATACAGACAACAACCGTCCATGTACAGACTGTCCACATAGAGACAACAACCGTCCATGTAGACAACAACCGTCCACATACAGACAACAACCGTCCACATACAGACAACAACCGTCCACATACAGACAACAACCATCCATGTACAGACAACAACCGTCCACGTACAGACCGTCCACATACAGACAACAACCGTCCATGTACAGACCGTCCACATACAGACAACAACCGTCCATGTACAGACTGTCCACATACAGACAACAACCGTCCATGTACAGACTGTCCACATACAGACAACAACCGTCCACATACAGACAACAACCGTCCACGTACAGACTGTCCACATACAGACAACAACCGTCCACGTACAGACAACAACCGTCCACATACAGACAACAACTGTCCACATACAGACAACAACCGTCCACGTACAGACCGTCCACATACAGACAACAACCGTCCATGTAGACAACAACCGTCCATGTACAGACTGTCCACATACAGACAACAACCGTCCACATACAGACAACAACTGTCCACATACAGACAACAACCGTCCACGTACAGACTGTCCACATACAGACAACAACCGTCCATGTAGACAACAACCGTCCATGTACAGACCGTCCACGTACAGACAACAACCGTCCACATACAGACAACAACTGTCCACATACAGACAACAACCGTCCACGTACAGACTGTCCACATACAGACAACAACCGTCCACGTACAGACAACAACCGTCCATGTACAGACTGTCCACATACAGACAACAACCGTCCATGTAGACAACAACCGTCCACATACAGACAACAACTGTCCACGTACAGACAACAACTGTATAGCGTTAGTTTTCTTGTAAAACACGACATAGCCTCTGAATCATTAAGTGTCTTTTTCATGACAGAGGTAAATAAAGAAAGTTGTGATCAACATAAGGCAATGCTTTAGTTGCTGTTTGGGGATCCAGTTTGTATGACTTTGTGTGATGATAGTGTGCAACATATTGATGTTCTCTTGTCGTGATTAAAATGACAATCCCTGATGTCGCTATTGTTATCATAAAACACGGCATCTTTTATCACCATTAATAAAATGTAGCAAGATGTAGCTAATGGATTTTGTCTATATTCTTCAACTATTCAGCTATGTTTTACTTGAAACATCGAAGATACCATTTTAATGCAGTACCTACCTTGTGCACCCCTAGCCATTGTACTGCCACAGTCACCGTCTCCACTCTCTCGGTCTAGCTCATTAAGCTGTGATTCTGCAGCTACCAGACGCTCTCCAGCTAGCTTCAGACAATCAAAAATAAGGCTGGCTTCAGCTACAAAAGCAATATCTATGAAAAATAAATGAAATCTAAGTTGTTTAACTTTGCATTCACCTAAATAAAAAAAGTGAGCATGTTTAAATCTGATTGCAAGCTATGGGTTATGGTATGTAGTGTTCATACCTGACCCAATGGTTGCCATTTTGGGGCCTGTCTTGGTGACCTGAGCTTGGATGTTTTCCCTTGGCATTCTGACAGGTGTCTGCCGTGTCAATGTCCCAGGTGGCAGAAGGGGGTGGGGCCAAGCTGGGGCAGTTGTAGGTGCATCTGAAAATCAGAGAAAGTAAACTGATTAACCATACTTTTATGTACTAAAATATTACTGTGAAAACACCTCAATACACATAACTTCTCAAGAAAAATTCTATTACATGAGACTAAAATTAATGAATGGATTTTCCAAATATTTTTCTTTTCAATTTGAGCAAATACAATGATAAATCATGAAACAAAGTTATTAAGATCATTATTTAAATGACACAACAAAAGAACTGTTGTTATAATTAAGCAAATTACTACAACCTAATTACCTAGGCAGCGTCTCAATGTATCATCCAGGTGCAGCAGTGTGATAGATATTCCCGCCATTTCCAGGGATGTGATGTATGTCCCACAGTAAGCTCTCTCTACCAGTACTCCTCTTCTCTCTGTCAACAGCAATGATATCACATTAACCATAGAAAACAAAACAATATTGTACATGATAGTCCCCCTCTACCACCCCACCAGTGTTATAGACACAGATATATTGTACATGATAGTCCCCCTCTACCACCCCACCAGTGTTATAGACACAGATATATTGTACATGATAGACCCTCCCATCCACCCCACCAGTGTTATAGACACAGATATATTGTACATGATAGTCCCCCTCTACCACCCCACCAGTGTTATAGACACAGATATATTGTACATGATAGACCCCCTCTACCACCCCACCAGTGTTATAGACACAGATATATTGTACATGATAGACCCTCCCATCCACCCCACCAGTGTTATAGACACAGATATATTGTACATGATAGTCCCCCTCTACCACCCCACCAGTGTTATAGACACAGATATATTGTACATGATAGACCCTCCCATCCACCCCACCAGTGTTATAGACAGAGATATATTGTACATGATAGTCCCTCCCATCCACCCCACCAGTGTTATAGACACAGATATATTGTACATGATAGACCCTCCCATCCACCCCACCAGTGTTATAGACACAGATATATTGTACATGATAGTCCCCCTCTACCACCCCACCAGTGTTATAGACACAGATATATTGTACATGATAGACCCCCTCTACCACCCCACCAGTGTTATAGACACAGATATATTGTATATGATAGTCCCCCTCTACCACCCCACCAGTGTTATAGACTATAAGACTCTTTCCTATATGGGTATGTAGGATAGGGATATTCCACCCTCGGGATCACAAAATATGGTAAAAACCCTCGGCAAGCCTCGGGTTTTACCACATTTTGTGACCCCTCGGGTGGAATATCCCTATCCTACATACCCATATAGAAAAGAGGTTTTTTTCTCTCATTTCTAATCTCATATTATCAAATATTCGCACTCACCTCGCGATAGCCATCACTAGACGCCGCCATTTTTCAGATTTTTTTTCCTTGGGCCATATACATAAAAAAAATGCTGAAATAGATTCTCCATCCCTGAATTTTGCAAACTATGTTTGCGGTCGAAAACATAATATGGACTTTGAATGTAAACATCCAACGTCAGTGTTTAACTGTTTTTTCTTCAAGCAGGCTGGGTCAAATACCCTTTCAAATATATCACCCAGAGACATGCGTACGCGTTCAAATATAGTGCCTTAAAACACGCAATAAAACAACACTTTTCTTTTTAATATTTACTATTGCTCAATGTATAATATATCAAAAACACTTTTTACATCTTTGAACATGTTGGTCAAGTTATTAATACTACTTCACTGTCAATAGTAATCTTACAAATCTTACACATTTATGAATGGAATTCTTGCTTTGCTTGTGAGATGACGTCTCTTACGTCACACATTTCGCGCCACACCGACAGGAGGAAAGTTAGTCACTGTCACTTTCAATCACACGTGGACGACGGCGGAAAGGCTGAGTCCCAGGGTTGGTGATGTTGATATCTATAGAACAGTTTTGTTAATACGAGCCTGCAAACAATGACTCCAATCGACTATGCATGTTTGTGGATGAAGCGGTTGACGTGGACATAGTCGATGAGCGCGCGGGAAAAAACTATGAATTACTCCGCGCGCGAGGCTTTATTACACAGGCGCCTGTGTAATAAACGTCTATCATGACCATGTTTATTGCCCTGGACAGGCCTATCTGACACAGGTGGAAATGAGAGAAACAGATATATTGTACATGATAGACCCCCTCTACCACGCCACCAGTGTTATAGACACAGATATATTGTACATGATAGACCCTCCCATCCACCCCACCAGTGTTATAGACACAGATATATTGTACATGATAGTCCCCCTCTACCACCCCACCAGTGTTATAGACACAGATATATTGTACATGATAGACCCCCTCTACCACCCCACCAGTGTTATAGACACAGATATATTGTATATGATAGTCCCCCTCTACCACCCCACCAGTGTTATAGACTATAAGACTCTTTCCTATATGGGTATGTAGGATAGGGATATTCCACCCTCGGGATCACAAAATATGGTAAAAACCCTCGGCAAGCCTCGGGTTTTACCACATTTTGTGACCCCTCGGGTGGAATATCCCTATCCTACATACCCATATAGAAAAGAGGTTTTTTTCTCTCATTTCTAATCTCATATTATCAAATATTCGCACTCACCTCGCGATAGCCATCACTAGACGCCGCCATTTTTCAGATTTTTTTTCCTTGGGCCATATACATAAAAAAAATGCTGAAATAGATTCTCCATCCCTGAATTTTGCAAACTATGTTTGCGGTCGAAAACATAATATGGACTTTGAATGTAAACATCCAACGTCAGTGTTTAACTGTTTTTTCTTCAAGCAGGCTGGGTCAAATACCCTTTCAAATATATCACCCAGAGACATGCGTACGCGTTCAAATATAGTGCCTTAAAACACGCAATAAAACAACACTTTTCTTTTTAATATTTACTATTGCTCAATGTATAATATATCAAAAACACTTTTTACATCTTTGAACATGTTGGTCAAGTTATTAATACTACTTCACTGTCAATAGTAATCTTACAAATCTTACACATTTATGAATGGAATTCTTGCTTTGCTTGTGAGATGACGTCTCTTACGTCACACATTTCGCGCCACACCGACAGGAGGAAAGTTAGTCACTGTCACTTTCAATCACACGTGGACGACGGCGGAAAGGCTGAGTCCCAGGGTTGGTGATGTTGATATCTATAGAACAGTTTTGTTAATACGAGCCTGCAAACAATGACTCCAATCGACTATGCGTGTTTGTGGATGAAGCGGTTGACGTGGACATAGTCGATGAGCGCGCGGGAAAAAACTATGAATTACTCCGCGCGCGAGGCTTTATTACACAGGCGCTTGTGTAATAAACGTCTATCATGACCATGTTTATTGCCCTGGACAGGCCTATCTGACACAGGTGGAAATGAGAGAAACAGATATATTGTACATGATAGACCCCCTCTACCACCCCACCAGTGTTATAGACACAGATATTATTGTACATGATAGACCCTCCCATCCACCCCACCAGTGTTATAGACACAGATATATTGTACATGATAGACCCTCCCATCCACCCCACCAGTGTTATAGACACAGATATATTGTACATGATCGACCCTCCCATCCACCCCACCAGTGTTATAGACACAGATATATTGTACATGATAGACCCTCCCATCCACCCCACCAGTGTTATAGACACAGATATATTGTACATGAAAGACCCCCTCTACCACCCCACCAGTGTTATAGACACAGATATATTGTACATGATAGACCCTCCCATCCACCCCACCAGTGTTATAGACACAGATATATTGTACATGATAGACCCCCTCTACCACCCCACCAGTGTTATAGACACAGATATATTGTACATGATAGACCCTCCCATCCACCCCACCAGTGTTATAGACACAGATATATTGTACATGAAAGACCCCCTCTACCACCCCACCAGTGTTATAGACACAGATATATTGTACATGATAGACCCTCCCATCCACCCCACCAGTGTTATAGACACAGATATATTGTACATGATAGACCCCCTCTACCACCCCACCAGTGCTTTTGGTCGGCAGTAAATACAGAGTGGTTTACTCGTATCCATAGTTACAGCATCAGCAGCAAAGGACCTCTCTGTTATCATCATCTTTGTTTACTTACCTAGTAATTCTATGGCCTCCTTGGCAATGATGTTAAGCTCCAACATAGAGGTCCCACCAAGGTTGTTGATCATACAAGCCACTCTGTCACCTACAACAGTTATCTCCAGGAATCAAGGAACAAAATTGTTAATCATTATAGATGCTTGGTCGTTTGATCAATAGTATTTTATCATTGTTGTGATTGCATTCAGAAGTCTTTAATAATTCTTAAACATATTCTTATACAACAGATGACCATGAAAATGTGACAATTTACAAAACCGCAATAGGTTAACTTTTCACTAGCATTTAACGGCTTCTTTGCTGCTGTAGGATAATTTAACAGTGTATGTTGGTATTGTTGTGATGAACAGAATTGCACCCTGCACTGTGTCTACTACCTTGTCATGGCAATATATGTAAAAATTCTCTAACTGATAGCTAAATTGTTATTTGTCTAAACAAGAGGCCCAAGGGCCTTTACAGTCACTGGAGTTAAAATGCTTTCTGTAAAATGTCACAGAAATGCTGTTGTTAAAAAAGTGCAAAACATTAACAGCTGTCCCATGCTAAGGCTTCTAACCAAGTTTGAATTTGAAAATGTAATTTTCCTATATAAACTTTTCCATCCATGAACATTATTTAATGCATTCTATCACACTTGGGTATTGAGAACATCTTTTCAATTTCAGTCAATTTGCCTAATTTTTGGCCCTGTCCATCAGTCCCTGGGGGTTAGCTGATGTCAATATATGCATCTTATCAAACTGTTATCTTATACTAATAATTCTAACAAAGCTTGAGATATTTCTAAAAGAAAATAAATTAATTATGCTAAAAATGTATTTTTTCTGTATAAACAACAATAAATTTAATCACCTCCCAATGGGTGAAGGTGAGACCCTGAAATCAAGAAATTTACAATTTGGGTAAAGCACCGACAGACACTTCCATCCATGAAGAGTTCTATTTTATCTTGGTATTCAGAAGATTTTTGAAATTTCAGTCAATCTGATCTATTTTTGGCCCCTAAGCCACTAAGTATCAGCAAAGGTCAGTATATGCATCTCATTACATTGTCATCTGGAACTTATAATTCTTACTATTCTAATTATGTTCAAAAACAAATTTTCCTATATAAACTAGAGTGAACTTTACCCCCTCTCCAGGGGGAAATGTGAGACACTGAGGTGATGAAGTTTACAATTTTGGTAAAGCAACTCAAGAGAATTTGGTACTACCATACCTGAGATTTTTGAAATTTTAATCAATTTGACCCTTTTTGGAACTGCCCCTCAGGCCCCTATGGGTTGGGAACCATATAATTTGCAATTTTGGTGTGCCTTTAGCCATGGAGGGTTTACGTAAAATTTCATTGAAATCAATTAAGGAATTTTCCTGAGGAAGTCAAAAATGTTAGATGACGCCACACAACAATGGACAAAAGGTGATCGCAATAGGCCACTCTGAAACTTTGTCTCAGCTGACTTAAAATATTCACATTTTGGGTTAAAATTATGGAATATTTGACTCATGAAAATACATGCTAATACAGTATCAAAATGAAAAATGTACTAATTTATTTGCATTACAATATCATTGAGAAGGCCACTATTACTTTCTCCAAAGTTTTCTGTCAGATGATGAACTAGACTTAAATAATTTGGAGAAACCTTTTTGTCTTTTCTATACATGTGATCAGTATTTCCGTTTTACCTTCTTTGACAGGAAGATGTGTACAATTGCTGGAATTGGTCATGTGATCAATCATCATCTTGACTGCTTCCTTGGCACTGACCAACTGTAAAAAAAAAAAAAAACATCAACCCAACCTCGATCATTTACCAAGGTATATATTGCATCTATGAAATGTGACTCGTCGATATTTGAATGTTTGACTTGTGTAGTTTGATCAAAGTGAATAATGAAAATACCTTAGTTCTTTTTACACCTGCTTCACCATGGACTCCTGTAGGTAGGAAGAATGATAACATAAACGGTATATAATATATGTCACACTGTAGACAGTATACACAGTATACACATAATACACTGCAGAGAGAAATAGTGTAATGTACTAGTGTAAGGAAAGAGATGCAGACATCACATGTGGCTGTTGTAAATAAGTTATACATCATCATTCTTTATTTCTCAAAGCTAAGAGTACAGAAAAAGAAAGTTTAAAGTGAAATGGATAAATTTACATGAAGAAAATGAGTGCTAAAAGCATATTGCAATCAAGGATCACTTTTGACCAATTTTCTGAGCTCAAAATACATTTATATTTCACAGTTCACCAGCATGGAAATAGATTTCCGCTGTTTTATGCAGTAGATAGGCACAGTCCTTTGTAAATTCCTCTGTTATAGAATTACTTTCAAATTCAAATCCCGAAATGTTCCCTCTAAATATTGTCTGGAGCAGGAGTTCTTCTGCAAGGCTGGACATGATCAGATATGGTTGTACACCGTAATAATCCACGACTTTTGTCATGAATGTGTCTCTCAAAATAAATGTACTTGTACATTCTGTGACAAAATGTCTTATTGTGTCATAAAACGGATTGTTACACAACCAACATGTATTGTACTGTTCTACAGGAACACACGTTAGCATTTTACAAATATAAAGGACTGTCCTTTTGCCGATGTCCGGTGTTTTGAGCATGACATACAGCTTAGCTACAAAGAGGTACATGTGTAGTGGGTTCTCAAAGTTTGAGCGAGTCCCGCAGGAAAACCACAAGTCTAAGAGTCAGATATTTGGGTCCCATTAAATCCTTGTTGTATACTGTACATCGTATATCATTGTAAACAGATAACACACTGTATGTTATGTAACATTGTATCATATAAAGATTTGATATACTTTGCTTGTATTTGGCACAATTTCTACATTTTGTTGTCACAGTACAGCTAGGTAGCTCATGTTCATTTACAAATTTTTTTCATCTCCCATCAAACATATAACTGAGAAATATTACTACATATATATTGAATTATTGTGCTAGTGTAACAACTAATTGTGACATTTCTTTCCATCGCTTTAGATTTTTTTCAGTCACTTTCCAATATTCATACAGTATTTTAGGATCATTACCATCACTGACAAGTCCTTGAAGGATGAAACAGCTGTATGATGTAGCATCACTGACAAGTCCTTGAAGGATGAAACAGCTGTATGACACAGTCAAATTCATCATTGACTCTACTGTACCCAACTCTAAATTTGTATTAAAAGGTACCATTTACATGTGTGTCTTTTGTGCAATTAAAAAAAATACATTAAAGCAAAAGATTATCAACTTACCGAGTCCTAACTCCATTTCATCATCTGCAATGTGGAAGGAAGGCCCAGAACCAGGAATGCTACAGGGGGTCAAACTTAATCCAATGGTCCCTTCAGAAATAAAGTCATACAACATACAAACGTATGAGTGATAATCTACGACTGATAAATTATTTAAATTGAGGAAATTATCTAACAAGTAATGTCCTGCTTTATCTGATACTGAAACCTCTGCCTGACGTTATAAACACATCCGGGTTTTTTCATCATCCATTAAGGCCATTCTATATCCTATCAACAGTATACCAAATCACAGTGACATCCCAAATCATTACGATATTGCTGAATTCCTTTTAATAAACAGCTGATACAATCATCTGCAGAAGGCCAGTATTCCTTACAATTCTACTTAATGCTTTACACTCACATTATATAAAGTTACAAACCCATCTTTGAAGCAGCATCCTTGGCAACTGTGACAATTTCTTCCAAACTCTTGCCTTCATCAGACAAAGCTCCACATATCTTTGTTTTGATAAACATGCAAAAATGAAATGCAAGGCACTATATGAAGTTTCAGTACATACATATGTATTGTAAAGTTTCATATGGAGTTATACAAAGGCTACTGAGTTCACTAGACAATAAAGTCTACACAGGAGACAGACAGTCAGAGTGTGCTTACTGAGCTGTCACAGAATGATAAGCACTGTTTTGTGACGACTCCAAATCACACAAATATTTATCTAAGCAAGTCTTACACCAATGAGTACACTTTAATGTATAATATCATTTCTACTGGTTTCTCACAAAGCATATTTATTTAGACTTGTAATAAAAAAACATGGAAAATTTCATTTTTGTAGAAATAGGTTTTATGGGATAAAGAGTATCAAAAATAATATCCCATAATAAGTAAGCATACATCAAAGTGTGCATAAACTAGAGAGAATGTTACCACTGACATGGGGTATACAAGGCAGTGCAGTGCTGGTCTCACCTTGTGGATAAAAAGGGTCCCACAGAGTCCCCTCCTGCCTGCAGTCTTGTCAGAAGAGGTCAAGGCACAATCCTCCCCTACTACTACCATTTCTACCTTCACCCCTAGTTGTGTCTTGGCTCTCTCAGCCGACATGCCAAAGTTTAGTCTGTCTCCTGTGTAATTCTTTATTATCAGCAATACGCCAGCTGACAAACGGAAAGAAAATTCAGTATTCAAAACACTTTATCCACAAGGAATGACTAATTTTGATGAGAAAAAGAGAAAAGATACTTGCACATTGTTGTAAATGGTAGGTTCTAATGATACCTGTTGTGTTAACATGCTAAGAGGTGCAGTGATTCCCTCACACCATCAGATAAAAAGTCAGCAAGGATAAGAAGGGAGGGAGCATTGTGCAGTTTCTCAAGCCAAGCAGTAGTTACATTTAAGATTTTTTGGGCTAGCTATGGGAGAGGACAAATAGAAAGGGAAGGATTGCAATGTTTGAATAAATTGAAAGAGGATGGAATGATGAGCCATGATTACCCTTGCCTAACAATATTAGCACATCAAAATTCAGGCGTCAAGACGTGTGAGTGGGAGGTGACTTCTGACACAGGCAGCTTCTGGACAGTTGTTTGAGGGAAGTTCAGTGAATTCTCTAGTCCAATAGTATTTTAATATTTCCCATTTATTCCTATTGAATGAGGGTGGGGTTAATTCCTCAAGTCTTATAATACATGTATAATCAATTCCGCTTCAGGTAGATTTTAAAACGGGGCTGGGAGAGAAAGGGAAGCAGCAATTCTCCAAGCCCTACAACATTATCATGATCATTTTTGACAGAAGCCAATCCTGGAAGAAATTTTTGAAGGAAGAGAAGAAAGTGCAGTGATTCCCTAAGTCCTAGATTATGATTATTTCTGAGATGTATATTGTTGAGGAGTGCAGATAAAAACAAGAGGCCCATGGGCCTTAATGGCCATCTGACTATAAAGATGTATATATGATAGAGGCTCTATGGGCCTGAATCTGTTCAAAAGCTTACACAGAATAGTTTGTCTGTCCATTAAGTCAATATCTGAAAACTTGAAATCCTTTTCCTCAAGTTACTACACAACTAGTGTGATCTAAAACCAAGTTGAAAGAACTAATTTGAAGTTCTGAACACATTTAACCCCAATGACCTTGAAAATGGTTCACAGTCAATCATTTGAATATGTTCCGTTCCCCTTCATCAAATTATGTTACAGAACAAATATCAATAGCTGTGACTTTTTCATTATTAAGAAGAAGCCATTTGAGGCTTTCAACATGTTAGACCCTTGTGGGTCAAGGTTATTCAAGGCATATGACAACAGATGAAACTATAGGTTAAATGACCTAAACCAGTAGTGATTCCCAGTCCTGTATTTTTGCTAGTAGTAAACTCTTAGGGGATGGTAACTGAAGAGAAGCAGATGTAGTATTCCAGTAGAAATAACATGTTATCATCATTTCTTACACTGGTAGATATGTATAGGTTGTAAGCAACGAGTCAGATGGTGTTAAGCAATTAAAAAGTGTTGGAAAAGGTTTTAACAAAGTATCACCTAGGAATCTTGGTGCTCGCCATTGGTGCTCTTCATTTATCTATATTAGCTGTCACATGTCATGTCAAACTGATTGGAACTTCACGAGCCATACCTACCTATAAAGAGAGACTGGCGGAGCCATACCTACCTATATAGAGAGACTGGCGGAGCCATACCTACCTATAGAGAGAGACTGGCAGAGCCATACCTACCTATACAGAGAGACTGGCGGAGCCATACCTACCTATAGAGAGAGACTGGCGGAGCCATACCTACCTATACAGAGAGACTGGCGGAGCCATACCTACCTATAGAGAGAGACTGGCGGAGCCATACCTACCTATACAGAGAGACTGGCGGAGCCATACCTACCTATACAGAGAGACTGGCGGAGCCATACCTACCTATAGAGAGAGACTGGCGGAGCCATACCTACCTATATAGAGAGACTGGCGGATTTGTCCTTCTTGCATAAAATATCAGGTAAAAAACAAAGCTTACCCTGTTCAGAAGTCCCAAGGGAGTTTTAAATAATTTTCAACTCAATCTGATCCATACTGTATACTGCCTCTTGTCAATTACAAAACGTTGCTCAAGGGGCTATGTTACTGGTGTGAGGATGGAAGAGGTTATACACTTGGTGGAATAGCAAGGCAGCTAAGGTCTGAAGGAAGAAAGGAAAGAGCTAAGACGGCAACATAGTGAAAAAGGATAAAATGGACGGAGATGAATGGGAAGGTTAATCTGTGTGTGCAGGCAAGACTGTTACATATTCATGAGAGAGAATGGAAAGAAAAAAGAAGAGGAAAAATAAGTTATTATTAAACAAAGAGTGAAAAATAATTGTAAGTAGGAGGAAGAAAAAGAATAGTTTGTGGAAGCTGGCAGAAGTTTGAAGTGTAAATAGCAAAGGATTGAAGGAAGAGGGAAATGGATTGGAAGGAAGAGGGTAATACATTGGAAAGAAGATGGAAATGTATTGGAAGGAAGAGGGAAATGTATGAGATGGAAGAGGGAAATTTATTGAATGGAAGAGGGAAATGTATTGGAAGGAAGAGGGTAATATATTGGAAAGAAGAGGGAAATGTAATGGAAGGAAGAGGGAAATGTATGAGATGGAAGAGGGAAATTTATTGGATGGAAGAGGGTAATACATTGGAAAGAAGAGGGAAATGTATTGGAAGGAAGAGGGTAATACCGTAAATATTCGCGTATAGTGCGCACTCGCGTATAGTGCGCAGGTACTTTTTGGAGATCAGATTTTCAAAAAAAAAAAAATCTACAGAAAAATTAATTGACTGGTCACTGCGACGAAACATTTGATGTGGTCTGATCCATTGATAAATAGGAAACCACAATGAGCGTGACCCTAACACATGTAATTACCTTAAGTAAACAAATTTACCCAGGTGACCTAACCAGCATGAAAGGCTTGGCTGATTGTATAATTAACGGTTAATGACAGTTAACACGTTGAGTATGAGGAGACTGATGACACCCGGCTTGGGCTGAACGCGTACTATTGGTCGGAAAACGATGTTGTTTTAACTGTCTGAACATTTTCAATCCTACCTTGTCCCCATAAAAGCAGGTGGTTTGTTCAGTATAGGCATGATCTTTCATGGTATCTGTACCCACCGCGGTATCCGAAGGTATTTAATGATAGATTGTTTGCACCAACTTCGACATGGGGAAACTGCGAACGCCATTTGACTACGCCGAGAGACTGGAGTTTCGTGCCGCCGGTGGCCACTTCGACATTCCAGAGTGAAATATCAAAGCACGGAAGAAAGAAAAGACCGTTTAAAGTCCGAACCACTGACCAGAAGGGCTGACATAGGTGCGACAGCGAAACACCCAGATATGGAGAGAGAGCTGTTCAACTTTGTATGCGATCGCCGATATCCCGGCATCGCTGCCAGTACAACAAAACTGCGCGTGCGGGCCATGCAGATCAAGAGAGGTCATGGGGTCACCAACTTTGGGCATCGGTGGGATGGGCTGTCCGATTTATGAACAGAACGACAATCGCCTAAAAAACTTCCGGATTCATTGAATTCCACAGATACATCATCAAAATGACGGGAAACGAAAAAAAAATTAGATTCACCGTAATGCTAGCGTGAATGGCAGATGATTAAAACATTTTATTTTTTTGTTGTTTTTATCTCCAAACTATCATATAAGACCGACGACTTTTACATATAACTATGTGAAGGGAGGTAATCCAATATGGCGGATACAGAATTCGGGAATGATAACCCCCGGAATGGCATGTACCTGCGTATAGTGCGCACCCCCTTTTTGACACGACAGTTTCAGCCTAAAAAAGTGCGCACTATACGCGAATATTTACGGTACATTGGAAAGAAGAGGGAAATGTAATGGAAGGAAGAGGGAAATGTATGAGATGGAAGAGGGAAATTTATTGGATGGAAGAGGGAAATGTATTGGAAGGAAGAGGGAAATTTATTGGAAGGAAGAGGGAAAAACATTTCAAGGAAGAGGGTAATACATTGGAAAGAAGAGGGAAATGTATTGGAAGGAAGAGGGAAATGTATTGGATGGAAGAGGGAAATGTATTGGAAGGAAGAGGGAAAAACATAGGAAGGAAGAGGGTAATACATTGGAAGGAAGAGAGAAATACATTGGAAGGAAGAGGGAAATTTATTGGATGGAAGAGGGAAATGTATTGGAAGGAAGAGGGAAAAACATAAGAAGGAAGAGGGTAATACATTGGAAGGAAGAGAGAAATACATTGGAAGGAAGAGGGAAATGTATTGGATGGAAGAGGGAAATGTATTGGAAGGAAGAGAGAAATACAATGGAAGGAATAGATAAATACATTGAAGGAGAAGAAATGAAGTATCAGTTTTAAAAGAAAGCGGTACAGAAGAGTAAGCAGAGCTGATGGATTGGTGGAAAACATATAGCAGGGAGGGGATTAATAGATGGGAGTTGATTGTTTCACTGGAATGAAAGTCAAGAAATGAAGGAAGAGTAAGTGTTAAGTTGTGAGTGGCAGACAAGACTGGTCGGGAGAAAAGCTTAGGATAGCGAAGAGGATGGGGCAGATTATTCCAACTGCAAAGATGTGCATCAGAACAACTGAAGAGAGAAAGACAGGACAAGAATTCCATGGAAGTGAATGTGTCGTCTGCCCAGCAAGGATTCTGGAAAAAAAGTGTTATGGAACAATAGCTATAGATATTCATTATATTGTATAAAAAAACCAATATACTATATATGGTAACACTGTCCTTGACCTTTGACGTTCAAACCTCAAAAGCAATCCCAAGGAAGCACCATATGTAGTTTGATTTTGATCGGCCTAAGGGAATTGAAGTTATTACAAAAAAACAATTTCCTATTTATAGTAAGTGACCTTGACCTTTGGACCTGAAAAGCAATCAGCAGCAAGCAAAGTGAGGCAGCATTGTATGAAGTTTAAGCTTGATAGTAATAGTTAGATGTTACTTTTGGTAGGCAACACAAAAATGATTGGAGGGTTATAAGCAGTTCCGGATAGTAATGTGAGGAGAAACTCAGGAAAGCAGAAGCATTAAAAGTGTTCAGAAGATAAATATAATGTTACATGTACTCGTCAAAGATCAATTGATCTCAGTTGAGGGCCTAATTGCTGTGACAAAATTTTATTTGATGCCAAACCCAGAATGTGATGTTACAGAATGTCGGCCTGAGATAGAGATGAATTGATCTCTAATACATATGGGTATTAAGATTCTATTCCTTTTTATGTTATTGTGTCGAAACTGAATATTTTTTAAACATATCTATTATCCAAATTCCTACATTTGATTAGATTAACTCACTCTCTTTGCTGTCATACTCAGAAACATAACTGGATAGGATGTCATTTTAATAGTGATATCAATTGGTGCCAAAACTCATGTAAAAAACAAAGGTAGCAGAGAGATTAAACAAGACAGAAATATCAAGCACTGGGATGTGGGTGGTATTTCCCTGAAACTGATCATTCTTGCAAGGATAGAGTCAGGGACACACCTTCATGACCATGAGAGCCCCTGTCAACCCTCTCCTCCCGGCTGTCTTATCTGTGGTGGCCAGAGCACAGTCCTCCCCTATCACAACCACGCCCACTCTCAGTCCCAGGTGACGTGCTCGCTCCACCGCCAACCCAAAGTTGAGGCGGTCACCCGTATAGTTAGCGATGAACACCATACAACCAACTGACATGGCAGAGAGTGGTGCATGACGTGCAAAGTGCAGAGAAAATTAAAGGTTAGTACCACAATCAAACTTCAAAATGTTTTGTTTTTAAATTCTGAGCAGAAACAAGCAGAGTACTGATGATATGCATGTGTGTACCTATGTACAAAGCGATATTTATAATGAAAAAGGTAAAAACACCAGGTAATAAAATCAATGATACTATAATAACACTACCTAAGCAAACCAAGAATAAACAAGGGTATCAGTAAATTGATAAGCGTACCCTGAAAACAACTTCATTGGAAACAAAATCTTAACAGATGACAATAATTCTATAATTAAGGTGTTGCAGGTCCTGACTTTTGTACAAATCACCCTTAGCATGCAAAATGAATACATCAAGTTTCATTATCTTCATAGTTTAAATGAAAACAAATGTATGCTTAAGGCTCAAGATTTCAACAAAGGGCATTCATTTCATAATTTAGGGGTGGCAAATCCTGAATTTGGTACACTGCACATTGTCTTAGTACAATCAATGCATACGAGACATTTCAACATCATTACTTAAATGCAAGCAAAGTTGTGTTATGCACTTATGGGACCTAATTTTGGTACACTGTACATTGTCTTCATATGAAAAATCAAGCACCTAGTGCCATCAGTTCCAATATCAATACAAGCAAAGTTATGATTCTGACATAAAATTTGAACGAAGGACACAAAAAGGATGGATGGAAAGAATATCGGAAGGACAAAGAAGCAACTACATGTTTCCCTGAAGGTGGAAGTATATACATACCTGAACCAGGTGCGGATACAGCCTTGATGCCGGCCAGAATGCTATATGGGGGAGGGGATGCAAACACTGACCCAGCTACTGCTGCTGTCAGCATCCCAGGGCCAACATAACCTACCAAAGGATATGAGATATTTACATTCACTTTGATATTATTTTCTCCAGTGTTTTACATTATCTACTATTGTCTGAGAGTTACAATCAATAAGTACATGTATATATACTTGAGTTGTACAATTGTCATACTGCATGTATTTTTTTCTGATTTAATACAATATATTTGTAAATGATTACTTTTTAAATATTTCTGAACATTCTTACAAACTACCCCAAAGTAAATGTGTCAATATTTGGGATGATAGATATAAATACAGAGGAAACACATTGATAGTAAAACAAAAATAATATCCATCAAAGTAATGATCTAAAGAGGGATTGCGGTTGAATTTCTGTCTACTTCAAAACTCACACATACATGTATATAAAATACAATCAATAACCCCCTCCTTAAGTTGTTAGTTGTTATTGGGACCCCAGGAATCCCCTAGCCTGTGCTGTACATGATCAGTTGGATCATATACCTGCATCGACAAGGTTGATCTATAGCTTGTTATTACTATCTGTTACTGGTGGTCATCTAGGACCTTCATTTTAAATGACATTGTACAGGTGTTTAGCATCAATCAAAACTTCCTTTATTGTACTAACAATCATTTCCTTACATACTAAATATCCAGTGTTTTATACTGTTATACCATGCTAATGTTTTTATATGTTACCTGCATGAGCTGGTTCGTGACCTGACCCTCCCCCGCTAAGAAGGGAAACCTTCCCGGCCCCCACCACATTTGGTCCGACGTCCGTCCGCACTACCACCCTCAGTCCCTCCAGTAGCTGTAGTCCGGGATTGACAGCGACCAAACCCTCCAGATTCTCGTCCACACATTGCTCCACAGTGTTAATCAATTTCTTACAGGCTGCCGACATGGTTACAATCGCTCCAAACGCTTATCTACCTACCGTGAGAAACTTCGCATAGTACAGGAGAGGCGAGCCGACCATGAATCAAGGTCATTTACAAACGTCTTTACATTGTTATTGGCTTACATTTAAGATAAACGCACGCATCACATAGTTAATACATCAGGGATATTCTCGAAGGTCATTGTATGATTAGAGGGGGCGTATTAACATGTAACTGAGACGGTTTCACAGGGTTTGATTGCCACCACAAGCACACATATATAAGTTTTTTTTAGAAATGGGCTTATTGTTGGATGATCACAGTATATTCTTACCACAAATTAATACCCGAAATGAACCGAAAACGTGGGCATCATGAGAACATCCTGATCATGCAGTATTTCTATCAAGGCATTTTCCTCTGAAGAAAGAATACATTTTATTTCATTTTTGCAAGAGAAATGTAGAGAAATATAACAAGTGAACAAAAAGACATTATTGTAATTAATCCATCCATCTTTCTTTCTTTCTTTCTTACTTTCTTTCCAGTATGTAATAACGGAACAGAAAGGAGAGATATCGTATCGTTCATTGACGATCAAAATCATTTAGGATGTCTAGAGACAGGTAGATATAGAAATATACCTAGAGAATCCAGGAATTGTAAACAATGTATAGAGACAGGTAGATATAGAAATATACCTAGATAATCAAGGAATTCTAAACAATGTATAGAGACAGGTAGATATAGAAATATACCTAGAGAATCAAGGAATTGTAAACAATGTCTAGAGACAGCTAGAGAATCAAGGAATTGTAAACAATGTCTAGAGACAGCTAGAGAATCAAGGTATTGTAAACAATGTATAGAGACAGCTAGAGAATCAAGGAATTGTAAACAATGTATAGAGACAGGTAGATATAAAAATGTACATAGAGAATCAAGGAATTGTAAACAATGTATAGAGACAGGTAGATATAGAAATATACCTAGAGAATCAAGGAATTGTAAACAATGTATAGAGACAGGTAGATATAGAAATATACCTAGAGAATCCAGGAATTGTAAACAATGTATAGAGACAGGTAGATATAGAAATATACCTAGAGAATCAAGGAATTGTAAACAATGTATAGAGACAGGTAGATATAGAAATATACCTAGAGAATCAAGGAATTGTAAACAATGTATAGAGACAGGTAGATATAGAAATATACCTAGAGAATCCAGGTATCGTAAAAACGCCTTTTCCTCGTTCTGTAGAATGGTTGATTAACGGACACATGTCGTTGAAACAACGTGGACTCCTAGTTCTGTAGAATGGTTGATTAACGGAAACTTACTGTTGAAACAACGCGATCATCTCTTTTTGTAGCATGACTGACGTACGTACAATTATCGTTGAAACACTGTCGACTCCTGGTTCTGTAGGATGGCTGAAAACCAACCTACATTTTTTTCAGAATAAAAGCTGTACGTTGAATTATTATTGATTTAATGACGTTGAATTTTGAAAGGCTATCACGTCTTTCAAAATCTGATATAAATTCAACGTTCATGCAACGCTGAGTTTACACGTTGATTGAATACCCCTAATTATTGATATCATTCATTCGCATTATTCATATCAATAATTCTGGACATTTAGTGATGTCATCAATTCGTTTTGTGATAAAAATTGATTTTTGATTGATTAATAATTCGATATAATGATATAAATAATTGTATATATTCTCTAATATGCCAAACAACAATATTTACTAACAACTTCAATTCTTCACTCTCAACCTTAGAAAAACCAGAGACAGAACCCATACACATGTTCTGCCTGGTTGGAATATATTCAAGAGAACCATTTTGATACCTTACTCGTAATTACTTTTACTCCGTTGCCCATTTCGGCTCACCTTATCGTAAACAGGTGACGTGCAGGTACATACAATGTTACCTCACCAGAAACAGACATCTGTCGGGAGATCAACACGATGTATAATCTACTACCCTAGTTAATGCCTTACCACGTCGTAGGTGTGTCACGTGCAAGATAGCTCAGTACATCAGCTCAGTAATGACTGTAGAGACAGTCGTTTTTGGCTTATAACAGGGATTGAAACTGCAGCCGACATGAGGATATGGGACGCCCTTGACCGAGTCGACTTAAAATTGTTCGAGGGCATATTTCTCATCACCCTGTGTCTACTGCTGTTTTCGATATCATACTCGATATGTATTTGTATTACAATGCTTCTATTCATGTACGTCTGCTTAGTCGTTATACGTAAGCGGAAATGCATCTTATTGGAGACAAAAGGGAAGGCAGTGCTAATTACTGGATGTGATACAGGTGAGTTCAAAGGTCAAATCATAAATATAAGAACACTTAAATATCAAAATAGGGAATTTTAAAGAACTATAAATGACATCAATCACTCGCTTTTGTCGTCATTATTTTTGCAATGGAGACGGCGTTTTAATAAGTGATTTTAGTTTAAATAAAAAATGGCATGTTATGTTTAAAACAGCAAATGTATAAGAAATGTAAATATAAACGTTTACTTGTGGTATCTATATTTAGTATGTACAATACTAGACATTAGCAGAACCGAAACGGGTAATGTGACTGCAAAACCGTCTCTTTTATAACATGTAAGTGACACGCTTACACAGTGTAAAGATTAGTTGAAAGTCTAAAGTAAAAATGAAAGTAAAATGGATCAGTGTTTTGTGTATATGTCCATGTTTGATTGCCGTAACTTTCCAGTCCTCTTGAATATCCTGCATTTGTGTTAAAAGTGTAATTTCTAAATGTTGGAAATTAGCTTTTAGTTTTAAACTACTATTTCCCGCAATTTTTACACAGCATGAGATACGCCTTTCCTTTTCTCTGGTAAAACACAGGCCCTTATTAATCTATCAACAATAGAAACTCTATCGTTAATGTACGATTACGTTTCCTTACTTTGTCCAAGGTTTCGGATACCATCTAGCCACACGTTTAGACGACCATGGTTATGACGTGTTTGCTGGAATGTTGTCTACATCTAGCGAAGGAGCATCTAGTCTAAGATCACGGAAGTCAAAACGCCTGCACGTTTTACAGCTCGACATTACGTCACAAGATGACGTAGATAAAGCTGTAAAATATATCGAGTCAAAATGCGGCAATAAAGGTTAAGTATACATTAGGTCACGACCTATGAAAGATGTTGGTATTTTATATATATAAATATATATAATTTATATAAACATATCAAAGTAATCATAATCCAAACTCAAATTCAATAAACTGGGGCAAAATATGACCAAAAGAAAGATTTACTAGAGACTAGACTCTTGAAAAAGTACCAGGAGAAAAAGACCAGATATTCTGGAAGAGTAAGCGCCTTATGTTTCATCGACGACGCCCGTCATGTAAATCTTGGTCAATCCAAGTAAGTGATGTCACGTTTTCAAATGAGAACAAGGTATACATCAACGGAAATAACACGGAAACTAACGAGCATCAAACATGTCCAACTTCATATTGCACTAAGAGATGAAATATTTTACAATGTGATCACTATGATGACCGGAAAACCTCCCCATAACCTGCATCTTTGGAAACTCTGTGTTACGGATTTGTCCGTCTGTTGACGACTTCTTGCACGAAAATGTGATAATCGGAACAGGCCCTTGAATATCGAATCAACAGCGTCATGTTAACACCATAACATCGTTGGGGATGCAGGCCGGGATGATGCTATCCAGAAACGGAAAATTCAAACTGGGAAGTTGCACTTATCATATGTCTTGGGAGAAAGCTGTCCATGTTGGTTTCGTTGCAGGAAAAGATTGAGATAAGCAGCTGATGTAGAATAGTATGGATATGATAAACACATTTAATGTTATTCAAAGTCAAGGCGTCATCAATATATCTGAACTTACACAACTTTGCAAGATCTTTGTGACCTACCATGATAATAACTTCAGTAAATTCAGCCTCGTATGAAAGCAAAAACAAGTCGGCCAACAGACAGACAAATTTAGGTCCTATTGGTATGCCAATAGTCTGTTGTAAGATTTTACCACCAAATCTCGACGAATATGTTGTCAACCAGAAACTCGGGTCATTTTTTATGATTTCGTCTTCCTCACATTTCTTCTATGATTTGCACGTATTTTTCACGAAAACGCTTCAATATACCGTAGTTTACAACCATATATCTGTTACTGCCCAAGTTCTCATAGCAAGATACGAATCAAATAGGAATCTGACATTTATTGCATATTCACTAATACAGTCAACACTATTGTCAAACTTTGATACAGGTCTATGGGGAGTGGTGAACAACGCTGGATTTAATATCTATGGTGACGTGGAGTTGGTTACTATCAACCAATACAAGAAATGTATGGACGTCAATCTGTATGGTATGATCAGAGTTACCAAAGCCTGTCTTCCTCTCGTCAGGAAATGTAAAGGTAAACAAGATATTCTACTGATATCAGAATTATGTACAATCGATTTACGATGCCATTACACGTGCATATTCATTTCATCAAACTAGATATTCTTAACTGTAGGGCGTGTGGTGAATGTGTCGAGTGTCAAAGGTCGATATGCCTGGCCGAGCGATTCTGTGTACCATGTCAGTAAATACGGCGTGGAAACATTGTCAGATTCCCTACGACTCGAGATGCGCAAGTTTGGAGTAGGCGTATCTGTGGTTGCACCGGGTGCGTTTGATGCCGCGACCTCATGCAGTGGTCCAGCATCGGTATGGACTCTTCAATGTCTAATTGTATATATAGATATGTATTGATACAAAAAGTATTCGGTGATAAGGTTGAGTGTATGTGTCTTTATTGAAAAACAGTATTGTTAAAGCATCTCTAAATGTAAAAGTGTGAGAGTATCATATATATATATAACTGATTTTACCAGCTGGCAAGGATGAAGAATGAACTTGAAGAATCTTGGAGTGTCGCCTCTGACAACGTAAGGCTGGCTTATGGACGGGGACATATTGATGCTTTGTATGAAAATCTAGCCAGCAAGTCGCTGCCTGGATCGGCCACATCGCCCGATCCTGTACTTGATGCTATCGAGGACGCCCTCGTCAATACTCGACCTCAACCTAGATATGTAGTCGGCGGAAGTAGTGGCTTGGTAGACCACTTAGCAGTATGTTTTTATTATCTACATTTATACCTAAACGTTATTAGAAATAGGCCCAGTTTGAAAATGGCAGTCTTGGTGCTCTCATAAAGTATTATTTCAAAAGCTTTGTAGTTATTAAACTATGCATTACTATTGTAAATATTGTTTACTGACACCATTGTTAAGATAACCATTTGTTTTATTTCAGATTTTAGCTCACGTCTACAGCTTTCTACCAGAATGGTTTTCTGACTACCTGTTGGTACGCATGACTGGATGTGATCAAAGTCACGCAGAAGATAAAGTGAAGAGAAGTTGAACGATCCTTTGTCTACACCTTTATCTCATTGTTTTTATTTTCACTTCATGGATTTATAGTCTTTCCGGTCTTTATACCCATATTACTATTTTTCAAAATAATTGGTTTTTGTGGGGTTTTCTTTTTATTCTTTTATTTAATTCTTGAGTATTTTTCATTCACAAAATCATATGTCCATTGATTAATGACCTATTACAATTGCAAGGGTCCTCAACATCAGTCAGTTCTTGCTAAGCACTATTGGTTCCTGAAACCACTTGCTCACACAATAGAAATCTTTTGAAACCCACGATTTGAACATCACGAAATGACTATATTTTCCAATCACAAATGTAAAGTACGATTTGTTATCATAAACATCAAATAAATCGCCGCCATGATAATGATGTCGTCTGTAAAAAAAAGGAAAAAAATATCAATCAAAACTGAGCTACGTTGTTATTGGTTCAAAAGCAAATATATTACGCCCTCAGATTGAAAGATCGGGGGCATATTGTTTTCGTGCTTTCGGTTTGTTTGTCTGCTATCAATTTTAACTTTGCCCATAACCAGTGCACTGTAAGAGACGGCTTTCGTATTTGGCACGTGTGCTACTTGTCACAAGACCTTTCCGGTGGTACCAAAAATATTCACTATGTGACCCTGACCGTGACCTTTGACCTACATTTTTTTTTTAAAAAATTAACAATAGCCATAACTATTGCACCGTAAGAGGTAGGGATTTCATATTGGCATGTGCATTCCTGATGACCTTTTTGGTAATACCAATATTTCTGACCATGTGGTTCTAATTTTGTTGCAGCCGGGGATATAGTGTATATTAACCACATCAAGTTGATACTCTGTTTTTATTTGGTCAGTACCTCTGAAGCCATTCTCTTTTAAGAACACATTGTTACTTCCAAGTCTAAACAAGATATAAATTTTGATTCATGAGATACAAAAACTCAGAGAAAGTATCGCGAACACGAAATGTACATCAGGGAGAATCTGGATGTTGAAACAGATTTGGCTCTATCTCTCATTAACCAGCATGTAAATGTTTAGTTCATGGTAAGTGATAAAAAAATGCAATGTGCACTAGCCCATAATTCAATAAATTTCTCAATTTTCATATATCTGACAAACTTGAAGTACATGTGTATATATTAGTAGTCTAAACCGTGTCAATTTTTGAATGAATTAAAACGTTACAAGCAGGTTACAGCAAACTTCGTACCAGGCTTGATGTTAGTGAGGAAAGACAAGCTAAGGATGAAACAGTCGAATTCATGCAGAGTGTTTCATGCAATGTCAAAATATGAGGTTCAAGACTGTGATCCAGAAACTCCTATGGAAATATTGTACCAACGCCTAACTCTTATACACATCTTTATTGTAATAAGTAGAAGTAAGATAAACGATTGATTGGCAAACAATGTTTTATTTGTGATAGATTTTCATAGCAAATGATCATTATTATATTATTGTCGAGAAAAACTAGAAAATGAATTAACCACAAAAGCACGTCTGTTGTATTGGGAACAAAACATAATGTTGTCGCATCTATTAACGGCGGTGTCTAGGTTGCGGACGTGGTTTGTTGACTTGGGTCCTTTTATCAGAATTATTGGTCCTATCCCTTGGACTCGGGTTAGATGTTTTAGCACCTTTAATTTTGCCAACGATCATGTATATGATTGCTGCTATAGTGATTGCCCCAGTAACACTTCCGGCGCCAATTCCGGTCGCTTTGAGGAGCTGTACTGTAGTGGCTTTCGGCCGCTTGTTAATGACCACAACCTCTTTACCACTGGTCAGTGTACACATACATGTCGCTCTACCCATTTTCGCCGCCTCTGCCTACAGGATAAACAGAAACAATCAGAAGAGTAATGATATTAACCACAGAACTCCTACTAATCAGAATGCACAGAAGTAAATGTCGAACAGGCTCAATTGATATTGCGAGCAAGAATACGTCATGTTATTTTGTACAATTGACCAACACCTGTTGCTCCGATTTCATTTCCATGAATATAAAATCGCGCATGCATGTGCTACATAAACAGAACGGCTCGCACGTGTACAGGAATATAAAATCGCGCATGCATGTGCTACATAAACAGAACGACTCGCACGTGTACAGGAATATAAAATCGCGCATGCATGTGCTACATAAACAGAACGACTCGCACGTGTACAGGAATATAAAATCGCGCATGCATGTTCTACATAAACAGAACGACTCGCACGTGTAAAGGAAAGCAAAACAAGACTAACATTGTATACAAATAAATTCCATCTATACACTTAATTTATACAACAATCGATACACTAACGAGTGTTCTTTAATTTCCTGTTAACTATGAATATCATCGTCTACTTCACTGAAACCAATATCCTTCTGACGAACCAATTAATCGGGCGAGGAACGACGTAAACATTTAGAAAAGATCTCGTCATCTATTTTAAAATCAAGAAGACAACAAGACGACGACAGAAGGTCTCTCTAGATTCACTGGAGATATATGATACTTACCGCTGTATCCATATCTGAAACTGATAATAAGATATATAGATTAATCGACAAACATATTTTCGAGTAACTTACAGAATTTTTTACTTTGTTCTTTTTTTAACAGGAATATCTTGACCCGAGTGTAAAAGCTTGCACAGCTTTAACTTAAGTAATGTGTTAGCTGTGTTTTCTTTACCAGGGAAAACTTTTTTTTTCTTTACCCTACCAAACATAGGAATGCGTTTTTGTGAAGTGGGGAAGAAATATTAGTCCTACTTATTATTATACAATGCCATTACAAGTATTTATCTTTAATTGGCTGGTGTTGATCTTACCTGTCACAGCACAGTTTTCTATCAAAGAAAGAAAACAATTTTTCAACAATCTATCGATTTATTGACATGTCGTAAATTGTCTTTATTTTACAATTCTTTTCTACAAATATGCTATCGGGTGTTTTTTTCATTAATGCTGATGGTGTGGTTATGTGGTAAGTACCATTTATTCAGATGAAACAATCAAAAGATTGAATAACAGGCGAATTTAGATACATCATTTCTCTAGCTATATGTGGCTACTTCACTTGGACAAGGAAAATCTGCATACATTTTATATAGTATTTTGAATTGAAAATAAAAAGTATGAAGGGAGGTAACACATTTTGACTACAAAATTAGCATACACCAACCACATATCTTATCATCAGAACAACAAATACACGGTATATTATTCAATCATAAATATTCTTATTTGTTTGTAAATGAGGTAAAAGGATTTATTTATTGATAATTTTACACAAAGTTTGTACATCTAAATAACGCACAGGTTATATATTTCCGAATCTTTGCAACCAAACCGAATTATAATGATACATATTGGTAATTTGGATATCTGTAAATTACCTTACCTGATTTAACATGGATATTAAAACATTTTTGCTGTCCTTGCTCGCTGAAAATGTACAGGAAAACAGTACAGAATATGTATGATGACGACGTTAAGAAATTCTTTACTAACAGCGTACAGTATATCTTTGCACACATGTTATAGATGTGATTCTTTTACTGTGGAGGTTATTCAGATGGTTCAAAATTTTCCTGCTTTTACCAAAAGTTTTAATCAATTAAAATATTATTTTTATTGAAGTCACATAATGCTCTATGGTGTTCTTTACTTCTTAATTTCCAAAGTATCTATTTTTCACGATTGAATAAACGGTCGGAAGCGACATTAACAGTGATTTTTTTTTTCATTTCTCCATTTTTGAAATCAAACTATCATTTTTGCCGCACAACCACAGCTCCAATCAGACCTACCCAGTATGTGTAGGTGCGAAACACACTAATTTGTTTTCCGTTGGTCCAGCAGCAGGTATGAAAGACATGACGGATTGACAGACACCTGCGGATGGTGTAGAAGTCAGTGGAAATGACTGAGTGTTCCGAATATGTGTTACACCAGACTGTATGATTTTGGGACTAAATAAAAAAAAAAACCAGATAGGTGAGGTTGATATGCAAGGAGGTCGTTGTATTCTTATACTTTTTTACAATCAAAATTTGTAAAGACCTATTTCAGTAAATCTGAAAAAATGTTTGTACTCAGAAATAAAACGTGCATTTTGACGCAAGAACATACTGTGCGAAAAAATCATTTTTGCTGTAGATCTGGATAATTTTGTTAATATCAATTTGTTAATTAAAAAACAAAATACAGCTAGGTTGATTCAGAAAGCAAAGGATAGCAAGGAACTTGCCACTTGTTAGTGGTACCACCAGGCCGTGTTTCGAGGTATATATAACAAGATGACCCAGACTGACACTGTACTGTCGAGTGATCCGGTAAGGTTGACTGTGTAAACTGGGGCTACAAAAAACAAATATACATAACTATTGGGATTTTTTTTCATTTCTCGTCATTGTTTTTTTGTTCTGTTTTCATTTCCCAGTATTTTGATACTACTACTCCTAGTGAAATAACATTGATTACCCGTGGTAGTTTTATTGATTACCCGTTGTAGTTTTATTGATTACCCGTGGTAGTTTTATTGATTACCCGTGGTAGTTTTATGGATTACCCTTTGCTTTACCTTAGTCGAAGGAAGAGTTGCTCCAGTACCAACTGGAAAAAATGAAAACGTTATGAAAATCATCCTTTTAATGATCCATACGTTCACTGACTCATTCTGCCGTACTTTCCATCATTAACATGGCAAAGAGACATGAACTATATAATAGTAAAAATACCTTTCTGAAGCCGAAAAGTTGTCTGTAATGTGAACGCTTGGAACAATAACCGGACATTAAGAGTGATTCTGCTTATCTGATACACAAATAATATACATTTGGCCACAAGTAAGGGGATACCAATATCTCGGATTGGACTTTTATTTAATTTTATCCTCTATATTTCGGAAAAATAACATTTAACAAAGAAACAAAAATATCTTCAAAAGACATTCCCAAAGTCAAATAAGTCATCAAAGCACCAAAATATATCATTTGATCAAGAAATTGAAATCATTAACGAGTTCCAATTGCATATAAAAATATCAGCATAGTTTGCATGGTACAATTCTTGTGTCCGTTGTTTCATACAAATGATCAGCTGCCGAAGTTTATTTTTAAGAAACCTCTGCCACTCCTGAATCAACTCGTTACTCTAAAATTGTCTGGCATTCTGGACATAACTTGTTTGTGTCTTCCAGTCAGCACAGAACGTTTTACTGGTCAGCAAATGCAAAACCACCTATTGTACAAACGTCTTTGACGGTACGCCGGCTAAAACGAGCATTGTCCTCTGAGTCTGTTTGCAATGATATGGGCTCGCCTTGTCCTGTCTACAGACATCCATCCTTGGCCAGTTTGGTTTAGACATGACATTAACCGATCAGTAACAGAATGGCTTATCATTTCAATGGCTTGCTTTCTTTCATCATTTGTCTGTTTTCGATGTGCCAACTTTTAAATATAATATGAGCACGTATATGACTTATCACTAATGCACGTGCAAGCGGCTATTTATAAGGTAAATTATATTTGTGTTTTGTTGGAGTACGGGGTACCCAAGTACAATCGTTAAGTTGCTGGTTATATCACTTGATGGCATACAAACTAAACAGACAAGGAGATACCGCGAGGAGGTTTATTTCGGAAAAATCAGTTTTGAATGAAAATTTCACAATAAAATCAAAGGTCCCTAACTCATAGCCAAAATATATATTGAGAAATATTTAAAACATATGTTTTTTTAACGAATTCTAATTGTTTATGACCTTGTTGTTTTTGTAGTGTTATGTTTGATTAATTTCTGTAAGTAATGCTGTCTTGCGGTTGCAAAATATGGTTTTCTTAATCTGGACTGAGAATGTATTTGCTCATTTTGTCAGTTATGTCGTAAATAATGGTCGTAATGTGTGCTGAAAGAGTATGAAGTGTTAATCATTCAGCTGTTTACGTATCCCTTACCTTGGGGTTTGGTGGCCTTTACCGTGAAACAAGCTTCGCTGGTTTTTCTACATATAAAGGGGAAAATGTACTTCTAAGAATAGTACTCATTACAAAGTTTAGATAATAGTACCAACATGGACTTTAAACAATCGTTTACAAGAATATTGTGTACCGTTAACAGAGTCCTTTGAATGAGAATTGTTAGTATAAAAAACAATGTGCTCATATTCACACGTGGAGCCTGCCCTTATGGCAAAATCTATTCAAGATTATGAAAAGACAATATATGTGTTGTAGCATATACAATATGCCGAAAATAGAACCCGACATTTGCGTCATTTACACTTACGAAGCAATATCATAAAGACGTTTCTTAGGTGAGTCCATCTTTGTTCATCTGGATTTTCGATCACGTCTTATTTATAACACCTTATGTAATTTTCTGGAATATGGTTGAAAACATCAAAAAGAAAGTAGCTTAGTTTGGATTAATAAATTTAAATTTAATTACTATTTAAAACCTACATGCCAGAATTCGGCCTGTTGACCTGTAAACAGACACGTGTTTCTCTATCTGTGTTTGCGATGACTTGGACATGGACCAACTTCTCGGTAGTAGGTGTTGAATCCACCGACACAGGACTGGTGGTAATGCCGCTATCTACTTGTCCGAACTTTATGTTCGACCTGTCACACACAAGCTTGTATATTGTGGGAAGTGTATTGAGTTCATACATTCATATCATTATTCCTCTAAGCATGAAGAGTTAAACAAAATTCATATTATAGAGATACATAAAATATACGAAATGAAAGATATAATTATAAAAAAGGTTGACAAATATAGGCTAGACGAAAGATACAGTGTAATGCATTCACACAACCAAACATATTACCAGTGTGATACAAAAGATAGATCAATAAGTACGCCCACATATTCACTGGAAAGTTAGAAAACAAATTTTCTCTGCAAAAATGCAGCAGTCTCGCACGAAAAAAGATCATAATCCTCCCCAAATTTCACTCTAACAAGATCAGGAGGAGAACCAAGAAACGTGCCTATTTGAATATCACGAATCGCCTGGTCAGGAGTAACGTAAACTTAAGCAGAATAGTCGTAGCCGAAATCGTAATGTATTTTGTAATTATCATTATTACCAGGGTAAGTAGCCTTAATATAGAGGCATTGTTGTTGGGCGGAAATGCGTCACGGATAGATGTACACGAGGTGAGCTGTTTACGGTTTCAAACATTGTAAACATTGCCTCGTGTATCCGATATGGATTTATCGCTATTTAACAGCATGTAAATCGAGCACAGAAGACAGACTGATAAGTGAACTGTTAACTCCATCTCTATTCTATTTTAGTTGGTATTGTTATATTGTACCATGTTATTATCGGATCAAACAATCTAGGTATCTGTGATCTCGAGTCAGCCGTGACCATTGTTTATTGTTTAGGCGAAATATGTTTTATTGATGTCGTTTTTATGCTTTTTCAGAAAGTGTGTATGTAATACTATTGTTGTATATGTACTAAAATACATACTTGTTTGTTAAATATGCAATTATATAGATTGTATCGCTCGTTTAACGTCTTTAAAAATGTATGGAAGCCCCCTTCCATTTTCACAGTGTTGAACATAGTGGGTAGTGGGTACGCGCGCGAGTGGAAAATTTGTGGAAGCCATGAGGTGTCAGTTTGCGTAGTGTGCGTGCAGTTTTATGTAAAATGAGAATAAATTAGAGCCGCACATTATCATTACATATTTGAAACATGCTTTAGTAGTTTGTTACAGGATTGTACATTATCGGTAATTATCTAGGGTACATTAGATTAGTGTTCAGGATTTATGCTATAATAGATGTTAAGGAAATATTGTAATACGAGTGTTGTGTTTAACTATTGGTATCAATTAACTTGTAGCTTCAAATGGCGGGCTAGCAGCTTCAGCTTGTCAGTAAGGACCAGGCAGGTGCACCCACTCAGTATTACTAAGGCCTTTCGCCAAGGTCAAGGTCAGTCGTTCCTCTATGCGGGAATAATCATGCAGGCTCTAGTCATACATTTACCAAGTTTGGTGTTTACTGCATGAATACTGCTTGTACTGGCAATTATACCGGTGGCTCAAGATTGAGCTGGATCGCGAGGAAGCGACAGTCGTTTTAACTCTGTTGAGTTGTCTTCATATGGTTCTTGATATCATCATCATCATTACCGTAATTGTGTGAAACTACATGAAAATTTTAATCTCTTGGTTTAGACGTGAGCAAATGTGTATTTGCGAGCGAGTCTTGTATATAACCATACAAACTATATTTTGAATTGTTAATAAACGTCATCGATTTGTAATCCATTTCAATTTTCATTTTCCTGGAAAACTAACCGACGCGTTTACCACCTGAACAGTACCCATTCCAATACAGATATTTTTACTAAAATTGTTTCAGACCAACATTCGCTCTGAACTATATATTTCTTGATTAATAAGAAGGGTAATTTAAACGAAATAAAAAAAAATTCAGAACGTACATACAATTTTATCTAGTGAAAGTAGATGTATCGGAACTACTTACGCAGTAACACCAGCACCTTTCAGCAGTAAGGGTATGTTACAAGGTTGGCCAACGATGCATGCCACCGTCACTGGAATAGTTGTATCTATGAAAGCAGGATCCGGCTAAGAAAAAATAATATATTATGATAAAAATATAATAATAAAATTTTGTATGATAAATCAAATGAGTTTTACATTTTGTTATATACATTGAAGTCTGGCATTTTATTTGAGATATAATGTTACTTACTCCATCTGCAGCTGCAAACGTCTTTAATCATTAGTTATACCTTATGTACTAAACGCATATTTTATGTTACTCGATTGCCATTTTGAAGATTTTGCCGAATTCCTACATGAAATTAAAACTGGAAAAAAATTATGTAGGTTATTGTCAAGTCTTTGTTCTGACCAATCACTTACTGCTGTAAATTTCTCCTATCTTCATTATCTACACACAATTAATCTTATTCCTCACTGTAAAGTTTCCTAATGTTTCAAGTATTTGCTATTTTTTTCTAAACCAAAAGTTTTACGTAAACAAGAAAGATTTCACGACAGTCTTCACAGATTTTCAGAATAAATTCTGTATCATAGTATCCATTTTTATGATTTCATTTTATGCTCCAACATGTTGAAAACTAGAACCCTAAAACCTCCATGAAAAGGCGAAAAGAACTTTGAGTGATAATGTACATCAGAGTAGTTCGATATGTTTATGTAAATGTTTAAAGTGTATTTTGATATACCTGTGATCCGGATACTCCAGGAGCGAGAATCGACGAATCTTAAAAAGAAATTAAAAAAATATATATTTCTCCACATTTTTATGCACTTAAGTTTCTAATATACAAATGTATGATATCAATATATTTATAATATGCAACACATGTTCTCTTCGGATCGTCTTTTTTGTGCGCTGTTTTTGTCATTGAAAAAAATCAAACAATAGTAATTAAAAGTAATGTAATATTTTGATTGGATGACCGAATCTATATTAAGGAAATTCTGCTGTGTTGTAGATTAGGTGAACTAATATTCCTGATCATAAAATTTACCTGTTTGACAAGTTGTACCCTTCCATCCTGGTGGACATAAACAGGTCGCTTTTCCATTGACGTCTTTACAAACGCCCCCGTTTTGACAAACCAAGGGTGTTGAAGAACATGGGTCAACTGGATGAAAAGAATATATGTAATTTCTATTTAAAACAATTGTGTTCGCTTTGTCACTGAAGTCCTTATACTTAAAAAGAATACAAGACCATGACCTTCAATGTCATGTAATACATATACTTGTAATCCTTTGTAAATAATATCGCATCGTGCTACAAATTTGAAATGAAATAATATACCTGTGTTTAGGGGATTGTCGCACGTAGTGCCGGTAAAATCGGACGTACATACACAGCGAGCGCTGAGTGGCATTACATTGATCTTGGCAGTGCAGGTGCCGTTGTTCTGGCAATGTAAACTTTGACAAGGACCTCCTGTTCATGAAGATTAGGATTTGTTTGATCAAGTTAAGAGAATTCAAAGGTTTTCTTGAAATACTCAGTAAGTGAACCCATAAGCATTTCCAACATTATAATTAGTAGCACAGGACTCACTATTTATGCTTACAAGTGTATCAAATTCTTCTTCTATCTCTTCATATATATGTACAGAGTTTTTGACTGTGACTTATTTGCTATTACCATGAACGTTTCACCACTAATGTTACTTTAAATAACTCACCTTCCGAAGCAGCATTTGGACCAACAACATGCACTGTGATACATTTCAGCTTTCCTTGATCACCACTGGCAAATCAATTAATAAATAATCAAGATATTTAATAATGCTATCTGCAATCATTTTGTTGATTTTCAACTTCACTCATAACACTTAGTTTTATATTCATAATTAAACGATTTAATGTCTTACACACTCTTTTTATGTTTTGAAGTAACTGTATTTAACTATTTAATATTTTTATGGTAATCACACTGTTTGATGCGTACTACTCAAACCAACCTCGTTTTGGTGGGCTTCAGACATACATGGTTATCTCCCATCTCACTATTGGTTGGTAATATGGTAACGTCTGTATTGCACGTAGAAGTTGTTGTGGAGGGTGTAGAGAACGCCAATAGATTCTTCATTAGTGTTGTTCCTGTCTGTAGAACATCGGGACTGTAAATAAAAAATATATTGTTAAATCTTCCAATGAAATAATTAAAAAAGACTATGATAATCACATAAAGAAATTGAACATATATGGCGCGATTTCAAGATATCGTTCACAAGATGTCAAAATTTGATAATTACTTGTTTAACATAACAAATATATCCCAAATATTTTCAAATGTACGCATTCGCTAGACATCATTGGTACATAAAAGTGTGGCATTGTCTAAGGAGAGACTCGAAATGAAAAATGAATTGTGAGGTAAAATATGAGCTTTGGTCATAGTTTTCAAATATCAGATACAATATATATGGGGTATACCAAGTATTGCTTGACGTCCCTGTTGTCGTAGTGAGGTGAAGATGACACAGAGAGTCGACTTCACATTCAACAACAGAATTTTCCGGTAGTGTTGGTGACGTGAACTGTGGCTAAAGAAACAATCAAAAGATAAATTTGTTACCATTTTATATACCGTTGAATTACAGACTGATAATTACACTAATGGCGACATAAGTTATTGAATGCTGTGTAGTAACAAACGAATGAATGATTTTACAACACAGATATCTGTATGACTTTACAATAATTTATATTAAATAGGGAAGTAATTTTTAATGTTTAACGGTATGCCAAATCAGTTCTAATCGTAAACAAAAATGTTTGATGTATGAAATTTAAGACGTCACACTTTTGTTGGAATTATATCACAATGACTATTTCGTCTTTCAAAAAGGATATTAATAGACAGTACAACGCGCATTTTTATAGATGATGTATTTGTTACATGATAATGTTTAGAAATTGGAAGAAAAGTAGTGTTTATCGGAATATATCACTTAATAGCACATTTGTCTACTTATATATTGCTGTTAATGCAGTTTTCATTAACCATAGATTTGTGGGTGTACATAAATGAATATGTTACAAGTAAAGGGGGAGTTGGGGGAGAAAGCAACAGAAAAAAATACTAACTTTATTTCCGTCAAGAGGTTGTGAAATGATACCTGCAATGGCAAATATAGATTATCATAATGCTATTAACATGTTTGTTACATCAGATATACTTTTCGTTGATAGAATGAAATTTCAAAAAGTGAATATCTTGAATAAAATTATAACCGGAAACCCGTTTCAAGATTAACATGGAAAATACATTGAATACATTGGAAAAATTCAGCAATCGAAAAAAAATTTCACTAGACTGTAATGACTTGGTATATATACAATATTATTATACCTGTTGGCGGTTGCACTGCGTTTACATCGAAGCAGATTTCGTCGACATTTCTAAACAAATTAAGTGACAATTAGATTCAAAAGGATACAGATACATTGGTATAGCTAAACGATATATAGCATAAACGTCTTCAAACATTTTATAAGAAGATGTCAAGATAAGCAGATTCTTACTTATCCTTTTATAGCTTCATTATACAGAGTTGAAAATGCTTGACAGCTTGATTTAAACACTGAATACAGACATTTGAAATATATCGGCGGTAAGTACTGTTGACTTCAAGTAATATCTTTTAACTTCCTTGATTTTTATTCCCACAATGGTTAAGTATTGACTGAAATACATGTAAATTGATAATACGTACGAAGAAGCCGTTTTTGTTTGTACACAGACGTGTTTGGTTCCAGGCTGTGTTGGTGTGACTGGAACATGCAATAGACTGGTGCTACCTGATAATGGATGTACAGTCAATGTTTCTGCTGAGATACCGGGATCGACCAACCCGAAGGCAACATTAGATCTAAAATAAAAACATCACGTGTTGTCTTCGAGGCAAACTAGCAAAGCTAACAGTTTAGACACAAATAGAAACAACTTGTCCATTGAGGACTTGTCAGTGGTGCTCCTTCCTAAAACCATGAAGGCGACTGAGGGAAATGAAAACAAATGGCAAAGAGGTAAGGAGATGTATCAACACCATAATGCAATACATTTGATAATTGTTATACTGGATGAATTTCCGAATGAATTTCCTACAGTCTTTATCTCCTCAAAGGAGTTCACAATAGACTTACTGTGTTACAGCATTTCCTGACACAGGTAAAGGTATAGTGCATGTTTTCCCGACAAAACATGTCACGGTCTTCGGTAACGCAGTATCTACAAACACTGGTTCCGTCTGAAGTAATATAAATAGAATCATGTAAACATTCAGCTAAAACCTATGAAATAGTGATTGGGACAATTTTCTTAAAAAAAAAGAGTTTATGAAAATTTATTTTGTTGTATGCGAAATAAGCGATAATAAAATTATTGCTACTATAACAATGTTAACAGTGGCAATACTTGTGTGAACGTACCGATGACACTGTAGGAGATCCATGTATCTGTTTTGATCCGTCTGTTAAAAAATACGAGTCTGTAATAACATTTCAGAATAGTGTATCCATCTCATCTTCCTGTTTTATAGATATGTACGAGATATATGAGCTATGAAAGTTAAAGAATATCAAATATTTCTTGGAAAGTACTTTTTCAAATTTTGTTGTGGAAATAATGCACATGAGTATATTGTTGATAAATTGCTGTCATGATCTTGCCCGAAAGTAAAAACAAAGTATTTCTCTTGAGAATACACTATCACGTTCTTATTTACCATTGTTACACAGATCACCGGTTTTGCCTGAGGGACAAAGACAAAATGTTTGACCATTTTTGATGAAACCACATGGGTCAACTGAAAAAATAAATAAACAAAATAGAAATAAAAAGTTAAGAGGTGATGATTGCACTTTTTATGTTTTGAAATATAAAAATGTCAAGAATTCATTCAGAAGAATTTTATATGTTGAAATCTTCTTTTTTTACAGTCCGTTTCGATTTCCGATTTCGTACAAAACTTTTTTTTTAAAGAAATCAATCGAATGCAATATTAATTACACAGTGTAATTTTGCAGAAACCCAACGTACCGAACAATTTTTACACTGTCAATTAACATTAATCTGTACTTTGCAACAGTGTATGGCCAGATAAATATAGCGCAGGACATATTTTGAATTAAAACCCTGCTATCAAAAACAACAGAGAGTATTGCAGAACTGCATACTCTAATATTGTTAGAAGCAGAAAGATGTACTAATAGAAAATACCGAAAGTTTTTGTAACTATCTAAATGTGAGAACCAACAATGTCTACGACTGTCAACGTATAACATTCAAGAGTTAATGAGACTGCCAACAAATGTAACGCTCTAGACTTTCTTTGCCTTCTGATTTGAGAGTCAAGTGACTCAAAATCCTGACAGCCAAAATTTATTATGACTTGACTGCCAAAGTGTAAAAAAATCGTTCGCAACTTGTCTCGTACGACAACCAAGCTTTTCTAGAATTATCGGTGAATGGCAGTGAAGGGTTTCTGTATGTACCAATGAGTGGTTATCAGGTGTTTCTGTATGTACCAATGGGTGGTTATATGGTGTTTCTGTATGTACCAATGAGTGGTATTAAGGTGTTTCTGTATGTACCAATACGTGGTAATCAGGTGTTTCTGTATGTACCAATACGTGGTAATCAGGTGTTTCTGTATGTACCAATGAGTGGTATCAAGGTATTTCTGTATGTACCAATACTTGGTAATCAGGTGTTTATGTAACTACCAATACGTGGTAATCAGGTGTTTCTGTATGTACCAATGAGTCGTATTAAGGTATTTCTGTATGTACCAATACGTGGTAATCAGGTGTTTATGTTACTACCAATACGTGGTAATCAGGTGTTTCTGTATGTACCAATGAGTGGTATTAATTTGTTTATGTAACTACCAATTCGTTGTTATCAGGTATTTCTGTATGTACCAATGAGTGGTAATAAGGTGTTTATGTAACTACCAATACGTGGTAATCAGGTATTTCTGTATGTACCAATGAGTGGTATTAATTTGTTTATGTTACTACCAATACGTGGTAATCAGGTATTTCTGTATGTACCAATGAGTTGTAATCAGGTTGTTTTTAAAACTACCAATGAGCAACACGCTAGAGTTTATACTTCTCAACGTATGTTACAAAACACAAACGTAAATAGCCCCCTATCAATGCAACGTTAGGTGGATACAGTCTCTGTTAATATCTGAAAGATCAATATATTCGGCAGGTGTTTAGGTTATCATTATTTCTTTAAGAGAAATATGTGTTAGGATGTTTCATCACCTTAACGCATAGTAGTGTCCCTATCATTCCTGGAGAAAAACACAGACTATAAAACTGTTCTTTGTTATGCGGACATCGTCATATTTCCTACTTCCGCAAATATTCAGAGTCGACGAAAACCGAATTTTGATGATATTAAAATTCTTAAAAGCAGATTACTGTTGCTTATTTGCATCTTAGAAGTGATTTACTCCATACCTGTATCACATGCCAACCCCTTAAAGCCCAATGCACAATTGCACTTGGCTGTAGCTGTAGATCCGCTGAAGTCAGCATCACAGTTACCTCCGTTTTGACAATGGGTAGATTGGCATGGTCCACCTAGCAGCGACATGAAGCATAGTAATAACCCTTGGCGTGCGAGATACAAATATAAACCACAATATACACATTGCATCTCAAGACGTTTTAAGTTCTGAAAACTAGACCAGCAATAGTGTTTTACTAGAAACAAATATGAAAATAATTGTTAAATTTAGTCAGTCAGGTATCTTAATCAACACTTACCAGTTGATGCATCGACATTTGGGTCCGTAACCTTGATAGTAAAACATTTAATGTTGCCTTGCTTACTGAAAATCAAACAAATAAAGTCATTAATGCTAAAAAGATCTATTTCTGTAGAATATGGGTTATAAAATAATTCGCATTTTAATGCTTCTTGCAAAATATATGTATTTATATTTACTGAATAATTCACGTAATCAGTATATAAGGCAATATGTAAGGGAATACAATTAACAAGCGAGATCACCAAACCAATCGTATAGCCAGAACAGTGGAAGGGTACCTGCTTAATGCTGGTTTCACACAGACATGCTGGTCACCTTTCTGACCAGATGTTGGCGCCAGTGTTAATGTTGATTGACAAGTTGGCTTTGTTGCAGTGGCGGTTGGATTTGTTTTGAACACGTGTGTATTTTGCATCTGTCCCGTGGCGACTTGCACTATGTCTGGACTGTGATGTTGGAAGAAAAACGACAAAAACGTGATGAGGGACGTACATAAATATACTTAAAAAACATAGACAGATTTTCGTAGAAGAAACAAAGCATTTCAATTATGAATTTATCATAATATATTTGTGTTTTCTATGATTATTGGATATAACACAAGTTAGAGCTACCAAAATGTGTATTAACACAAAATTTGTATGTGATATGGTATTAAAACGAAATAGTGTTGACTGTGACTGTAGCACAATCCTACTAGGATAAACATGTTTGTATGTGATATGGTATTAAAACGAAATAGTGTTGACTGTGACTGTAGCACAATCCTACTAGGATAAACATGTTTGTATGTGATATGGTATTAAAACGAAATAGTGTTGACTGTGACTGTAGCACAATCCTACTAGGATAAACATGTTTGTATGTGATATGGTATTAAAACGAAATAGTGTTGACTGACTGTAGCACAATCCTACTAGGATAAACATGTTTGTATGTGATATGGTATTAAAACGAAATAGTGTTGACTGTGACTGTAGCACAATCCTACTAGGATAAACATGTTTCACGAACATTTCCCTTTGTGCATTTAGCTTATACTTGCTAATGATGGGTTTGGGCATTATCAATGCTCTGTCACGCTATTATTATATTTCCGTTGAAAAAGACAAATGTGCGTGGAATGACATCTTATGAAATTAACAAACAAACATGATATCGCTCGTTGAAACAACATTTAAAGTCGATATCATACTGCATTTTATCCAGATTTGACCGACCGGTATACGACATTTAGATAGAAACAACATATTACTCTACAGGTAAGAGTGTAGATCAATATTACTTGTACAAATGTTGTACATTCTTTGAAATATTTACCAGTTGTTTGTCGAACTTCCGGGAGTTGCCGACAAATGGATATGACACGTAGCACCTGCTTTACATTCCACAACAGAATTGTCAGGTAACGATGGCGACGTAAACTGAGGCTAAAAAGATAATTATATAAAACCTTAATTTCCCCAATGGTGTTGTAATTTTCTCGGTACTTAATTACAAATGATATAAGATGATTATTGCAAGAAATATCACCAAGTTTAATTGTAATATTATATACTAGCGGGAAAACCCGATTTCGATAGTTATATATAATTCATTGATGATTAGTTCATTGCTTTGGTTTCTCGAGTATTTCCGCATCACTGAAAAAAAATTGATGATTTTTGTTGTCCTATGACAGGCAGCTTTCGCGTGAATAACGTTAAAAAAGAGGTACCGAACGTCGTTTCCTGATCCAAATCAGCAGCGTGTGTGCAATGGCTTCAGTCGCTGCTCATTCTCACCGTAACATTGATGACATCGAGGTGTTTATTGTCCTTTGAAGGATTTTATTCCATTCCTGAATGAGGTCCTGCGTAAATTAAGTGACATCATATGGAACGTTGACGCACTTCCTAACCCTCTTGTCCAGCTCATCACACAAACGCATGGAGGCCAGTCAAGAAATTGGACGTTACGACAAACTACATACGATATGCGATATGTTACTGCTGTAAGGTTGCCATGGAAAAAAAAACACAACAGGTGTTTTCAGGCTTGGATATATCCCTTCCATACCGTGACAGACCCTCACTCGAATCTGTCATTTCCATTACGCTTCTCCAATGGGGCAAACAAAAGTCAGAGACGTATCCTCTATCTTGAGGTCGCGACGTAACACGTAACATGGGATGGCCACACAAGTCCCCTGTAGCTCTGAGACGCCCAACTAAACAGGATATTGTCTAATGTACAACATTTGCTGGGCTACATGTCGTTGTCCCTGTATTATCAGAACAATGACCCTACCACTATCGACTCAATCGCGGCATTTCTTTCTACTATTGATTCAAAAAGAGATGATGTGCAGCTGACCTGTGCTGTTCCAATGTTCAATTTGTATCCGTTTACCAGCACATACGGTGCTGGAGTACCCCGGATGCATTCTTCTTCGAAAAATCTGCTGAAAGCATGTAGCTTCGAGAGGGGACACGGTCGGCTGAATTGTAACAGAACATTTTCTCAGTGAAAGGAGGTAGCTCAGTGTCAAATTTAATTAGATGTCTTGCACATGTCTAAAAGTTATATTACAAAAACTAACTTTCGTTTCTTTTTTTCGAAAGTATATATAATCAAGGCTATGATTACCTGTGATAAATCAGGAATTGCTGTTGACCCTGAAATCATAATGCGAAATGAATAAAAGTGAAAGCATGTCTTTAAGAAGATATCATTTATAAGTACCGCAAAAATTCTGTCGTGGTTACACAGTCTATGACAAGGAAAGCAAATAATGGCCTCTCATTTGGCACACTTAAATGTACAATTACGTTAACAAAATAATTAACTTTTCAACTTGAACATTTAACGAAACCCAACAAAGGAAATAGTATATAAAACGTCACGAATTCGGACCAACAAATATTTGCTAAATGCACCTTACTTTGCGATCTTAGAAATAACGACGTTGCAAACAATTATAAACAAAAAACAGTACGGAACACATGGATAGATGACGATATTGTTTTTGTTAGACACACATGAATACATTTTTACTGACTTCAAATAATCGTAGAGTAGGTATATTTACCGGCAGGTGGCGCTTTGGAATCAACGATAAAGCACATCTCGTCCACATTTCTATAATATATTTATAACATAAGGTTATATATCTATGCAAACGGATTTTCAGTCATCATTTTGATTATGAAGTGTACATAGCTTGTTGGATAGTAAATCAAGTTTCTCCCCCTACTGACCAAGGTGAAGTCTATACGACGGACTAAAGAGTAAGCTGGTAGAACATGATAGCAGATAAACGCAAAGCTAGTGGGAGTTATATCACCATGGAAACTTCCCATATAACTCGACATTCTTAGGCACTTACAGGTACAATAAATTCAATATATCATGCACTTCCACAGACAGACATTGGCAGACTTATACCGAACGTCAACACTGATAAAGCCACTTCACATGGTATGACGGACACCATATGTAACCACTTATAATTAAAGGAAGCAAATTTCTAAAAGAGAATCATGAAAATAATGGAATTAATTTTAAAAACCTGGAATGCCCATAGCAACGAAACGTCGTACATTATGTATTATAGTAAGCAATGTTATAACATATTTGTCTCATGTGTCAGATAGGATATATTGATGATATTTCAACTCACTGTGTGCTTGTCTTTGTCTGCACACACACACGTTTATCTCCAGTACTAAATGGCGTAAACCCCACGGTTGTTAGGTGTTGGTTAGTTGAAACCGTAGACGGATCAACGACTACCGATCCAGGAGTCACCCCACTGTCTAAATGTCCAAACTGAATATTGCTCCTAAATTAGGAAAAAGTGACAGAAAATTCTAATATCTTCCATAGCGAGATTATCATACTTCTGAAATATAAACGTAATCGTCGATTATTTTTTAATCGTAAGAAAGAAATTAAAATTGAATACATACGGTGTGACTGGTGTTCCCGCCACCGGTACTTGTATCTTACATTCTTCGTTAATGGTACATACAATTCTCTTTGGTAACACTGTATCCACAAATTTGGGGTCAGTCTTGTAATGAAAAAATAATATCAACATGTTAATTCAATATGGTATTGCGATTTAAGTATTAATATAAGTTTATAAATAAGATAAAATGATATGTAGTTACACGTCTAAAATAGCATCGATAACTTGTTCATTCTGTTGTCATGTATGTACATGGGACGATAACCAATAGCAACCGTGACAGTAAAGACACAATAAAACTAAGTGTAGAGTTTGATCAAAACTTTGTGACATACGTTAAAGGGATGCAGATAGGTGTAAATATTTTGATCATTATTCTGGAGACTTCAAATTACGGCACATATCGGCAACATGTTCAATAAAGTCAAAGATCTAATATGTAAGAAGTGAAGCTTACATTTGGTCCTGGAAGTGACCCTGGTATAGGAGTTGAAGAGTCTGAAATGGTTAGATTCGTAAAAACATGTCTTATGAAATGTGGAGAACATTTTCAAATTTTAGATTTAACCTTTTTTTAAAATATAGCAAAGTATAACATAACAAATATAACATTTCGTTAAAAAGAATACAACACTCTGTTGAACAAAAACAAAGCAACCCCCTCCCCTACAAAAAAAAGAAATAAGAATGATATCAATATTTTTTAGTTCTAATGATTTCTTACTGATAACAAGTACTTTTTCTGATGCGACGCTGGTGATATCTAACTGATAACAAGTATTTTCCTCTGATGCGACGCTGGTGATATCTAATTAATAACAAGTATTTTCTTCTGATGTGAGGCTGGTGATATCTAACTGATAACAAGTATTTTCTTCTGATGCAACGCTGGTGATATCTAACTGCTAACAAGTACTTTCTTCTGATGCGACGCTGGTGATATCTAATTAATAACAAGTATTTTCCTCTGGTGTGACGCTGGTGATATCTATCTGATAACAAGTATTTTCTTCTGATGCGACGCTGGTGATATCTAACTGATAACAAGTATTTTCCTCTGATGCGACGCTGGTGATATCTAATTAATAACAAGTATTTTCCTCTGGTGTGACGCTGGTGATATCTAACTGATAACAAGTATTTTCCTCTGATGCGACGCTGGTGATATCTAATTGATAACAAGTATGTTCCTCTGATGCGACGCTGGTGATATCTAACTGATAACAAGTATTTTCCTCTGATGCGACGCTGGTGATATCTAACTGATAACAAGTACTTTCTTCTGATGCGACGCTGGTGATATCTAATTAATAACAAGTATTTTCCTCTGGTGTGACGCTGGTGATATCTAACTGATAACAAGTATTTTCCTCTGATGCGACGCTGGTGATATCTAATTAATAACAAGTATTTTCCTCTGGTGTGACGCTGGTGATATCTAACTGATAACAAGTATTTTCCTCTGATGCGACGCTGGTGATATCTAATTAATAACAAGTATTTTCTTCTGATGTGACGCTGGTGATATCTAACTAATAACAAGTATTTTCTTCTGATGCGACGCTGGTGATATCTAATTAATAACAAGTATCTTCCTCTGATGCGACGCTGGTGATATCTATCTGATAACAAGTATTTTCTTCTGATGCGACGCTGGTGATATCTATCTGATAACAAGTATTTTCCTCTGATGCGACGCTGGTGATATCTATCTGATAACAAGTATTTTCTTCTGATGCGACGCTGGTGATATCTAACTGATAACAAGTATTTTCCTCTGATGCGACGCTGGTGATATCTAACTGATAACAAGTATTTTCCTCTGATGCGACGCTGGTGATATCTAACTGATAACAAGTATTTTCTTCTGATGCGACGCTGGTGATATCTATCTGATAACAAGTATTTTCCTCTGATGCGACGCTGGTGATATCTAACTGATAACAAGTATTTTCCTCTGATGCGACGCTGGTGATATCTATCTGATAACAAGTATTTTCCTCTGATGAGACGCTGGTGATATCTAACTGATAACAAGTATTTTCTTCTGATGCGACGCTGGTGATATCTATCTGATAACAAGTATTTTCCTCTGATGCGACGCTGGTGATATCTAACTGATAACAAGTATTTTCTTCTGATGCGACGCTGGTGATATCTATCTGATAACAAGTATTTTCCTCTGATGCGACGCTGGTGATATCTAACTGATAACAAGTATCTTCCTCTGATGCGACGCTGGTGATATCTAACTGATAACAAGTATTTTCTTCTGATGCGACGCTGGTGATATCTATCTGATAACAAGTATTTTCTTCTGATGCGACGCTGGTGATATCTATCTAATAACAAGTATTTTCCTCTGATGCGACGCTGGTGATATCTAACTGATAACAAGTATTTTCTTCTGATGCGACGCTGGTGATATCTATCTGATAACAAGTATTTTCCTCTGATGCGACGCTGGTGATATCTAACTGATAACAAGTATTTTCCTCTGATGCGACGCTGGTGATATCTAACTGATGATATGAGTTTTCTCAAGTAAAAGGGCAGATAACTAGAAGCAAGAATTGGAGTTCAGACAGGAAAGGGAACATCTGAGAAATGAAATAAAGTGGTTTAACAATAGATAATAAAACATGTACTGATATTGATGTCTGTATGTCCATGTTTTTTTTAATTTGTATCCTGAATAGATTTTGTATATTTTTCTTTGTTTTAGGAAGAAAACAAAATCATATCTATATAACAACTTTAAATAAAAACAAATACAACTTTAGAGTAAGATTAATCTCTTACCATTATAACAATTGTTTCCTCGTTTACCCGGAGGGCAGATGCAGAAACTGCTTCCATTCCTAATGATACACGTACCGTTATTACACGTCACTGATGCACACTGGTTAGCTATAAATAAAAAAAAACAATCAATATGAAAAAAGCTGCGCCACAATTCATTGCGGTATGTAAAAGTGTGTCAAAGGAACAATTAAAATATCTCCATTGAATCTATTGGTACCAATTACAGATATAGTTTATGCTTATGGTAATAAAATTAATATATTGGCTATGAGAAATAAATCATTCCTACATGGCTCTCCCTTACAAAACGTCTAATGAAAACATATGTTTATTGTTCAGGTCAGATTTGCATTTCGTTTTAATGTATTGTAATTTCTTATTTCTACCATCGTGTTTTGTAGATGATTCCCCAGTACATATTTACCTGTATTACATGTGAGACCTACATATCCGGGTTTACACTGACATTTCGGAAATCCTGACCCTGAAATGCATGTCCCATTGCTTGTCGGACATGGCAACGTAATACAAGGGTCTTGGTCTACAAGAAAACATGACGAAATATAAGAGATATTTCAAGTACACATACTTTCCTCCACTAGGATTTGTGTCCTCATTAGTATTATACTTAAGTGGAAATGTACACGATGATTTAGCATAAATCTATTACTGCAGTTATTCAATGTAAATCAAAATACGACAGACAAAAGACTTACCAACATGTAAATCGTAGCAGCGAGATTCCGCGTTTCCCCTGAAAATATATAAAAAATCAAATATAATGTGTTGATCCGTGAAAAACAGTATCAGCCGGGGTGATTTCAATTTCCGTATTGTGAAAGATTTCTGGAGAGCAACATCCCTGCATCCCCAACCCATTGTGTTTACATGCCGCATTTGATTCGATATTCAAGGGCCTGATCCTATTATCATGATTTACTTGTAAGAAGACGTCAGCTTACGGACAAATTCGCAACACAGTTTCAAAAGATGCAGGTTGATTAAAATTATGGGAAAAAGTTTACAGTCGATATAGTGATTTCAGTAAGAAATGATTTATATCTGTGTACAATATGGAACAGGACATGTTTGATGCACCTTACTTTGCATGTTGGTTCTGTTCTTGTATACTTTCGTTTGAGAACCTGACATTACTTATTTGGATTGAACAAGATTTTACATGGCGGGTGTCAGTGATCAAGCAGAAAACGCCTAATCTCCCTAGTCTTATCCCCACTGCACTTTTTCAGGAGTCTCCTTGTAATCCTTTCTTATATTCATATTTCGCCCTACTTTTATTGAATTTAAGTTTGGATTGTGAGTATTTTGACATGTTGATATTTTCGTGTTGGTTTCTGATTTCATCATATTAGTTTTACCTAATATATCAATACAATCATATTCCATTGTTTATATAGGTAATGGGATACATTGTGTAAGAAATTTTAATCCAAATGTTTGTAGTGGTAAAACTCTTTTTAGAATTAAGTTGTATTCAAAGATTTTTATTTATTGCTTTCTTACCCACTTACGACTGGTGCTACTTGAAAGCACAAATGTTTGTCGCCTAAAGTGTTGGAGGGGAGACTGATGTCCGTTACACACGTCCCGTCATTGTCCAGGACTGGTGCGAACACATCAATGCTACTGGATAGGGTTCCTTTCTCGGTAACTCTGGGATCACTGTCATAACCAGATAATGGAAACGAAGTAGATGTCATCAAAAGTCCAATAAATGGTGTTTGCAATCGTAACTCTAAAAAGTTTATTTAGAAAACTAAATTTAAAAATATACATACTGTAGAAATATGTTATTAATTATATATCAGTTTAACGACAATAAATGTATAGTTTTTGCTAGCGCCCGCCAATAGAAAATTGAACAGTTCAGTAGACATACGTACCAATTTGATCCTGTGGGAGCAGTATGGATGAGGACATGACAGGATTTGTCCTTGGTGCATTTAATCACTGACCCATCGGGAAGGGTAGGTTCCACGATCTACCAATAGATATCATATAGAAATGTCCTCATAGAATCACAAATTGGGAGTGATATCGAGGATCAACACAATTATGAAAGACCAATATAAGTGTAGGGGACAGAAGTGCAAGAAGTAACAAAAATTATATAATTGATTTTGCCTTTCATACAATTTCATACTTGACGTTCCTTTGCTATCAATACTGTCAAAACAACTTCGTTTTGAAATTTGGAAGCTGAATGTACACATACTGTACAATAGTTTGAAAAAGAAAAAGAAAAAAATGAAAAACTGTTATACAACTAGTGATGACACATATCCATTAGATCGTGTACCTGCTGGCCACCGGGCGTAGCAATAGTTCCAGGTGCAGGAGAACCAACCATGTTTACTTTAAAACACACAATCTGGGCAGCGTTTCTAAGAAAAGTGAATGAAAATGAGATTTTATCCTGGATTTTAAAGTCTTTTATTCCAACAATAAATTGCTACACAATGATATCTGAAATGATAGAAACTGGAAATTATATTTTTGAACTTCATTAGAATTTATGCAACAGTATTTTCAGAAAATATATACTTTGAATGAAACGGTGAAGATGTTCTTTCGAAGCTTTTAGAAGTGTCTAAGTAGTGGGTTTTTCAACCTCACCTAGACAAGAGGACACATTTGGAGTATATTGTGTGGTAGTTGCTCCAGGATTTGATAATATATATATATGTCAATTTTTATGGTAATTTTCATAGCTTGCTCTCGTTGTGTTTGAATGTTGATTCGATTAACATATCAGCCTTAGTTGTTTTTGTAACCACCCACGTACTACGTACAATATGAGATTTAGAATTGAATAAATTTCTTGACAAGCCCAGTGTGTTTTTTAAAATCGGAACACGGAATAAACATTGTTTTCCGAGATACCGCTTATGTCAGGCCCTGTTCAATATTTAAAATACTTGTTCTTTTTTCAATTCCAAGGACAGGTTCAAAAAGGAAAAAATAGACTAACCCTGTTATGTCTGCAGTCTGAACACATGACGTGTGTATTCCTAGATTACTATCCGTTACAGTGACGTCACCTTTGTAAGTCCCTGGTGGGCTTCCTGGGAGTTGGTGAGGAGGATTGGGAACATCCACTTGTCCAATTTGTGATCCTGGGTCATTATGTACCGGAGTGAGAGTTGGTCTGAGAAATAAAAAGTTTGATATAGAAACTCTGAATTGTAAACATGATATTTAAAAATTAATTGACTAAGTGACAAGGACACTAAAATTATGTAAGTACAAAATGATACATACCCATCGTTGTACGTTTAATTTGTATAAATTACCTATGTAACAACGGTGTGTGTATATATATATGAGAGATGGAACAAAATAAACATTTTCCATTACTAATTTCTATTACATACAAAGCATATTTAACATCAAACTTTTCCAAATTCAAAAGTACTGATTTTAACGTACGGGTTGTTGGGGTCTCCGGTGACAATGAGTGGTACATGGCAGATGGTATTCACCACACAGGATACGGTATCAGGTACGACGGTATCAGTAATCACTGGTGGGGAACCAACAGTCTTAAAACGTAAAGATGGTGATATGTATACTACAATGCCAGATACCACAGCTTGTACCGTTGTAGAACCAACACTAAGTAACAGTCATGAAGTGTAATTCATATATGAATCAAAGTACACAAGTCCACAATATAACAGAAATATAGCTGGTTTGGTATACCCGCCCGACCCAGAAAAATCGTACCTTATGAAAAAAACACAAAATAAAGAATAATGCTATTTGAAATGTTTAAACCGGCTGTTCCGGATTTATTTCTGTCCGTTAGTTACTTTGCAGAGTTGAAAATACATCTCTTAAACGCTTGAATGAGAGAGTTTGAGAGTTACAATGTTTCAGCTGTAGATTCGTGTTGGCCTCATAAACGACTTTATGTAACTGAACTGATAGATTTGTGCCTTTCTGTGTCGTCCAGAAATGATAACACTGAGAAGTCTAACAATATGTGGCAGGTAGATTATGACTAAGCCTGGGATGAAATTACTTAGCAATACTAAATTACTTAGCAATACTAAGCGCTATATCACAGGAATTTAAAGTCCAACCTGTGAAGTAATTTTTACACTACTGAAATAGCAGATATGTTTCCTGTTATTTTAGTAGTATGATAACTTTGATTGTAATACATAAACGTCCATTTTCTGTAGATGCACTCCGTGAACAATAAGAAATCAAAGTACTGAAAGGCTAAACGTATTGAAAAATGTTCACAAATAACCGCAAAGCTATATCACTTTCCCCATTCTCCTACACTTTGGAATGCAAAAATTACTAAAATAGGAAAACCAGAGGCTATTTTTCTCAATTTTAAGCGATTTTATATCGTCTTTAATTCGTATTTCAAATTTGACGACAATAATGTGAACAAATCAAAATAGGTAAAAAAAATAACAAAATACACACAACCCTATATTTATCGCCAACAAGCCAAATGATAAATAGCTCTATGATGAAGTTGACTAAATAAAACCTTTGAAATACCCAAGATGTTGCAATTACTATCCTGTCAATATGAGGATTTAGACAAATCGAAAGGACTTTATGCCTACTTCTTTATTTTGAATGTATTGCAAAGTAATAGTCCTTACTTATTATAATTATATTTGTAGTTGAGGAAAGTAAATAAGGTGTACACAGCATTTCAGATAGATTAAAGTGTAAGTAATTACATTAAATGTATTTACATGCCTATCTTCCAGTAATTATGTCTATAAAGACATAGTTCTTTGAGATTAAACTAGACTTCCATATATATACAAAATTTACAATATTTTCACTATAGCTACTACTATTTATGATCTCCAATGCATTAGATAATGTCACCATGACACGCTAAATGAATAAATATGTTATGGAAATATTTCGTTCTAGTTAATTGATAATTATAAGCATGAATAATATTTTGGGGTTTTTTTTATACGCGCTTTGTTTGAAGGAATATTTTCATTTCAAAGAACTTTGATACACATTAACAAACCTTGAAAAATCAGCACAATCAACCTTCATCAAATAAAACTAAAAGACAAAAAATATATGTTATAACAGAGCCAACATCATGATCAGTACACTATTAAAAAGATATTTTTCATAAATCATGAGCACCAAATGTACCTTGCCTACGAAGCGCAAACTTTTTATCTTCAAAAACTTGAAAAAGTGTCATGGCGGTGGGTGTGAAAAACCTGAAAAAGTGTCATATCGGCGGGTGTGCGCGTAGGACGAACAGTCCAATTTTGTGACGTCTAATGAGGTAAAGTGATGTTATATATTAAGACGATCTTGCCACAACGACTAGGATTAAAACAAAACTGATGTTCTGTTTGTAAGTTTTATTTGTTTATAAGTGTTGTTAGTTGATAATTCAAACCAAGCCCCATGACTAGCTTCTTATCAACTCGCACGTACAGTGTTCTGTACGCTTACGTCATGTCGAGAATTCCGTAAAATATATTGTTCAAAATTTATCAAAAAGTTCAACCAAACTGTGATTCTTTTTTGAAATATATAGTAATCGTATTGTTATTAAAAAATAAACAAATTTGGATGCTTTTAAAATAACGATTTGAAAGATCGCGGCATTATTTACGCAGAAAATTGCCCCTAGAGGGCTCTAACTTTTTTCGATATTTCAGCCAATGAGAAGGCCAGGATCGGTAAATTTTGTCTGAAAGGCCGTCGCAATAAAAAATAAACGGAGTTGTTAGGTGGATCGGACAATCTGAAACACATTTTATAGAAGCATGCAAGATTCTGTGCCTGAAATGCAGAAACGTTTTGAATTGCTTATCTTGCGTTTGCCAGAGGTGATCATGATTCACACGTAGTAAAAGTTGGAAAAGGATAATCTTAGTTGTGTCAATGTGTTTTTCGAAAGTGCACATGCTTGAATTACCTAACGTTTTTCTCGCTCGCAGAACTTGAACTTGACAGGAATTTAAGATTTGATTGTTGGTAAAATTATGGCAAAGAAGGCAATATCCCAAAGCACGTGGATACGCAAAGCAGTGACCAAGCAAGAGTATTTGGTACATATCAACAAATCCACAGTTTTTTTTCTGATATCAAAAAGTAGAATAAATACACATTGTATCAAATACACACATTGGTTCATTAATTGGTTAGTCTCCCTCAAGCTGCAACCATGCTCAATCATCTTCCAATTTATTTTGAAAAAAAAAGTTTTTTCACAATATTTCAGGATTTGTATATCTGTAAAGAAAACGTCTACCTCCATCATTGCCAACTTCTCTGACTTGTTATTATAAGTTCTTTGTTCATTAATAAGGATATATTCCGCAATAAATTATCTTTTTGATACACGTAGTATTTTTGTGTTTAAAATATGTTAATGAAATTCAAGTATATAATCTTTAAAATTTCAGAACTCTTCCTACCTACCCACATCGAACAACCTTTGCCGGATTACAGAAAATTTAATTGTGGCCTTGTTGAAAGATATTATGCAAGTTTTATGCGCAATCTGTTATCGTCATTGCTGTTGTTTTGTGATATAATGGATTACATCTCTTTAATCTCTTAGATCTATATTTGATTCGCTGTCATTTCGAGAATTAAAAGATTATTTTCAATCAATGAATAACGTTTTTTGTCTCTGCGATAAGCTATGTTTATAGATTTTTAGATAATAAACATGAATATCACCATCAATCAGATATTAACTCTGGGGGTAAAAAAGAGAGTCGATTGATCGTGTAGTGAATCAATATTTATTGATTATTAAAAGATACTTACAGGTGGTATTGGATTCCCAGCCATGTGGCCGACAACATGGGCGCCGACTTAAAATAAATATATATGATACATTAAATGGATTAAGTGATATTTGGAAATATTGGAATTTGCTCGTCATGAGTAGCACTGAATGATTATCTCTCTCATGCGTTATTCAGGAAAACCTCAAACTGCAAAACACAATTTTGAGTCAAACCAAACAACTTTAAACGCATTGTCTTTCTGAAGTCACACAATGCCATAATCGTGAGACATACCCCATAGGTGTAACGTACCAATACTACAATCCTGTCCAGAGAACCCAGCGATACAGGAACAAGTGGCGATACTGCCTGACGGATCACCTTTACACAGTCCACCATTTTGGCAGGTCTGTCTCTCACAGGGTGTTAACGCTAAGATCATAACGGTTTCAAAAGTACAAACTATGGTGGTATATTTCTGTTATCCAGTTATATAAGTTGTGTTAATGAAACAAGTCTTTTGAGAAAAATGTCACCATAATAGATAAGAATCACTGAATAGAAAAAACGTTTATCTTTAAGAAGGCCAGGCGAATAATCTAACATCTATTTCACTCGGTTACCTTTTCAATTTACATATTTTATTTCAAGCCTAAAACATGTTTTTTTCTTTAATCTGTATTCGACAATGGCTTTCACCATTTGATATTATACCTAGCTATCAATGCAGTCTTGAAGAAAAGACCGTACCTGGAGATGTACTCGGAATCTGTAGATTGTAGCATCTCTTTTCACCCGTAATACTGAAACAAGTAGACGTTTGACATTATCTTATAAAAAGGAACTATAAGGTTACAACAATTTTTTTAAAAAATACAACAGTATATCATATAAATGGCCGAATGTGTTATTTCATTTACTTGATATAAGAGAATATCATAAACATATATCACGGCTCGATTACTGTCAATTGAATGGAAACGTACCAGGTAAAATATTTATACATTTGCCATTAAGCCATCAGATCTCATTTCAGAATAATTTTATTACCATGATCTTAAAGTAAAGGGAATTGGACAATAGACACAGCCTATGAAAGTCCGCTCATTAGAAAATGGAACAGATTACACATGAACTTTATCGCAAAAGTACACAGATAAACCCGCATAACAGCTATAATATAACATGTAATAATGACATATAAGAAAAGAAATGCGTAATATGATTATACCACACTCTTTTCTTATAATTTATCAGAATTACAACAGTCCGTTTCTCAGACTTGGTCAGCACAGACAAACTGTGGAGAAAACCTATTGATACCTTGGCAGAGAAGCCTTCAGACAGATCTGATGATCTCCTGTATTACTCGCACTGAAGGAAACGTCCGTTCTGCACTTGCCGTTTGTTGGTGATACAGGATTCAGTACATGCAAACCACCGGGAAGAGTATCCGCAGTAACCGAAGGGCTGTCGAAAGACATGGAAACTTATTCACTTTTATCATATGAACCCATTCCTGTTATTGGTTTTGGTAAATCCTGTTGACTTCGCATATTTAGATTGATTTACATTTTTAATGTAAGATGCATTTTGGAAATCATATTTCATAGAAATCTTTACTCATATTGTGTTAGATATTAACATTTCTTGGTGTTCAGGATTACTATAACAAATTATACTTAAACTATCATTAAGGCTTTAATTCCTTATAAGTTGAGTAGAGACAATCGCATTTGTCCTTTTATCTCTTTCTTCGGATGTCACTTTTTCTTCTCCATACGATGGGTGTAAACCAAACTTTCACTTGAAATTAATATTTAGACGGAGATTCCTAAGACAGTACTTTTAGACCAGGTGTTCCAAAAAGATCAGTGTCTGCAGCTTAAATTACTATGTCTATAATTTGCTGGTGAGGTGTATATTGAAAATTTTCAAACAAAGGACAATTTCTATTTGTAATACCATCCAAGTGAAGGATCAGGAGTTTGGTGCAATATCACGTGACATATTTTGTTGACGTCACACGAAATGGACGATCCATTCGAAAGCGTTGGTTGGTTGAAATGAGGAATACTCTGCAATAAAGTTCATACATTCATATTTCCTAGTATACATTGACTATAAAATCATATTTAGTATATCCTCAGTTGTAAACAAATGAATGTATTAACTTATTCATTGACAAAGACAAGGAAATGCTATACATCATATTCGTTACGTTATTCGAATTTTTTACCGAAATTACTTCGATAATAAAAAAATTATTCAAATACCTGCTGTTAAGTATATCATTATTGTATTACCTTATTTTTATCCAACAAATCAAAAACCGAATTTGTAATTCAATAATGTGTATAGCTTTCATAAAATTAATTGCTGTGATCAGCATTTTCCAAATCAATCTGGCAACCTCTATGTGCTAATACTTTTCTGGAATGTGTCACAAAACATTAAATATCCTGTTCATTCCGCTTCAGAGTAAGACGTCTTATGAGGATAACATTGTGCCAGCGAATTTTGACGATCCTACTTTACGTTCTAAATTCTCATTCTCTAGATCTTTTGCATCATGACGAATCCTCGAAGAACAAAACCACTGTATAATACACTTTAAGTCATTTTTTACTATGCATGTGTACTTACATTACCGACGACTGGTGTTGAGCCTACAAGTGATATACTAACACTTAACAAATACGACCATCAGATAAACAATAAAAGGATATATTTGTACGCCGAACTTTTATTCAGATACTATCATTACAAACTAACAAATATTTAAACTATTTCATAGAAGTTTAATCATTTCATGTAGATAACAAATACTTTGTTTAGGACACAAAAATGTTTAGGAAACACAAATAGCATAATTGTAGTTTTTCTAAAATATGATGATATTAAAAAACAGATAAATAAAAGGAACTAGCATTGCATATTTCTCTTTAATTAAACTATAACTGAGAATGAATACAGAGAAAACCTGAGAATATCAGTAGCATACCAGGATTTGTTATCTCCACCTTAAAACAGTGTTCGTCGAGTCCGGTTCTACAATAGTAATAATATAAAATGTTCCTTTATATACATATTTATCTAATATATGTTATACTGAGTTAATGGCAACGAAACAACTGCTGAAACCAAATTCCATGTATCATTTCAAATATTTTCGATGGATTGGATAAATAAAAAAAATTTAACAAATGGGATGAAGCCTACATAGGTTTTCTCCCTTTGTTCCGGATATATGATATATAAAATAGTAGAAACAAAAAAACATAAGTTTATTGCTCCTCTTTAGACTTTTAACTCTCGACACAGAACGAAAATGGAAAGATAAATTAGTAAATGAGAAAGCGTTAATGATAAAAATAAAATACAGATATTCATTCGGCAAAATTCATATGGGTCTAATCCGAATGTTACACAGTTATACATCTATATCATCGTCACATATATATATATATATATATATACTTTCATTTTCAAGACTATGATTATGAAATGAAGAAACGATTAATGACATGTTTAATTTTTTATGCTTTTACATTATGTTCATGTCAACAACACTTGGTGATCAAACATGGAGCCTTAAATCCATAAAGAGTATAATTTTCAACAAACTTTATTTACGTTATCATGAGAAATCGTTAACAGACGCAGGCTAAATCACATTCTAGGTCGGACGACGAACAGTCGTGGATTACGCTAGTTAGAATATCAATAATTTTATCTACATTGCTGATATGATAAGTATATGGGATTTATTGTGTTGATATACATCAACGTAAATCCAACGATTATACGTGTGTACACGTCTCGTATACAATCCGGACTTTAAAGACGGAGTGTCGATTTTGTGTTAGAAAGCCCGTAGCTCCACACGGAAGATAAACAACTTGTCCTGACGAACCGAACACTTTTGGTAAGTTTGTTATCTTACGCAAGTTTCGGGGTATTATGATTTGATATTTCCATAGATACTCAGTTTTACGATCATATTCAATACTAGTGATTAATACTGAAACTCTTATTTCTACCACAGACGAAGTCGATAAGCTCTATACATGTCTATCAATGTTCTATAAATAGATGTTGATTTACAGGTCATAGAATACGATCAGTTTAAACAAACCTTGTGTTGATTATTGATGGAATGTAAGTGTGTGCTGCAATACCTTACGTGTACAGCTACTAAGCCTCACAGTTGCCTATCTGATTTTGGTGTACGATGGTAACTGTAGTTTCATAGATATAATACTATGTCAATAGAAATCTGTGTTCGTGAGACAATATGTAATTTCCTTCTGTACCCCCAACAAATATTTATCAAGGATGTGTTACCATATGTCCGGGAAAAGTTGTTAAGGGCGCGTCAGAAAAGCTGGACACATATACAGAATAAAGTATACATAAAGTTAAATATCTGTCAATATTGTTTAAAGCATATTTGACATTTTTGGAGGAATGAAAGTTATTGCAGATTATTGAAGTTATAAAACGTGATCATTGTTTTTGAATTGTTAATTTTTTTAAAAAAGATACCGTGATTTAGACCTTAAAGCCTATTTGGCAAAATTCAAAATAATAATTTATATGTGTTCAATTATAATAAATATATTTGTGCATTTGACAGGTGAGTTTTATCAAATAACTACACATACATTCATTAATTTTCTAAAATAAATTTTCTTACATTTAATCAAACAAATCCTCATTTAGAATGTGGCCGAGACGTACCGGTAGACTACTTTCCTAGGAGTGTGACATACAATTGCTTTCGTTGCGATCACATATACGCTCGGTGTCTACATTGCATTATATATAATTATATGTACTTTTTATTAATATTGGTATATGTCAAGATGTTATTTACTTAAAGATTAAATATCTTGTAAAGAATATGAAAACGACTTTAATTTCTCCATTGTATTTACCACATACATATATTGCAGAAATGGCGTGCTCTCTTCAAGCCGAAGAAAAGGCCAAACCTCCAAAGAATGACCTGGTGTGTAAGCCCCACGGAATGGAAGCAGTGTTTGCCTGTATGCAATGTGAAGATGCACTGTGCTGTGAGGACTGTGTAGTGACCACGCACCAATGTCATCGATTCAAGAAAATATCAGTGTTAATGGCCGAAAAGCGGGAAACAATTGAAAACTACATTAGATATTTAGAGGGGCAAAAATTGCCATCGCTGAAAGAGCAAATGGAAGTTAATGAACGAAAACTGCTTAAAACTCAAAGAGACTCAAGGGAAGCTCGCAGAGCAATACTTGAGAGATCTAAACAACTGAAAGCTGAACTTGACAAAGTTTTAAATAGGAATGTTCGGAGATGTGAGGAAATGGCGTTTGAGAACGAATCCAAATTAACAGTATATAAAGAACACATGGAAAACATCCTCACTGAGCACAGACAGAAGTTGAGAGAAGTGCAGCGCGTTATCGACGAAGGATCAATTGAGGAAATCATACACACCAGAAAGAACCTGCCACAGCCTCCCGTATATCCACAATATCCCGACATACACCTGCCTACCTTCACGCCAGGTGACCCTAGTCAACTGAGAGCAGCTTTTGGAACCATTTTATTAAGCGGTGCAGAGGAAGAAACGACTAATGAAAATAATCCAGCACCAGTTCTTCGTGAAATTGAAGAATTAGATTGAGGCTGTTGAAGTTTTGTTATACAAACATTTATTGAAGTTTTTCAAGTACATTCCATACTTTAATGATCTAATTAATTTAGCACGAACAATTACTGAAGCAACAAACCTTTACTGCACATTGTATTATATCTGTGTCTTACCCAGTGACTGGCAGCGCCTGTACACACACTGTTTTAGTTCCAAGTTGTTTTCCCGTGATTGGGACTACAACTTGGTTGACTCCCTGAGGAAGATTTCCTGTTTGGTCTATCAATGGGGTTTTAACATCAACACCACTGTCGGTATGGCCTATGTGAATGTGTGGCCTGAAAAAAAGTGAGAAGGATGCAACGTTATATCACTTTAATGATTTCGCTAGGAATAGTGATAATAAGACCATGGCCTATGTACCTTATTGGGTAAAGTTTTGATATTTTTGTCATGTTATCTGGAAGGAAAAAAAGTTATATTTCAATACACAATTCCATGTATTTTCATTAATAATTGGTTTGGCACAACATTCAAACGTGTTTGTTTAGTTTCTTAGACAAAAATGATTTTACACAACAAGGTCGTATTCCTTATGACTGAGTTCACACCATCGATTATACATGTCGTTAATTGTCTTAATGCATCTAAATAGGATTGTGGAATTTTTGTTTCAAAGGAGAAGATACACAATGAAACATAAAGATGAAATCAATGCGATATGTGTTTTAAATTAGAGGAATATGCCTTTTTATCTTTAAGACAAACAAAAAACACAAGAAGCATCTGTGGGCAATCTATAAAGATGTGTAATTTCAGATATGTAATATGTAATAATTCTTTAATCGATTGATTAGTTGCTCATTGATTGATTAATGCATAAATCGTGAAACTGAAAGATGTATGTCTGCTTCTCCAACAAACAATGTTAATTGTTTTATCCCAGCGGTAGGAGCATGTTCTTTGGTCACAACGTCGGCGTCTCCTAACAAAACGTTTTCTTCTCGAGTTGTTTCAGCGCTAATTACTCTATGTGTACCCCTCTTCCTTTCCTATCTGGCAAGTATATACATTCAATAGAAGTCTAGGAAGGATGCTACAGTATTTTAATGTTCAGTTTAATTTCATTTTGTTTATATAAATCAAACAGTTCCTCAACTGAACCTACATTGCATCAAAGTGGGACAAGTTTACAAAACAAGCACATCCTGTATTTAACATGCATTCATACGGATCTCACCTAAGAGATGTTGGTGTAAAATTTTAAGTTGATGTTTCTGCATGAATGGACGATTAATTCACTGCTTTATCAAATGTACATTATTTTGAATTGTCATTTAAATGACTTGAATTATGTATAGGTATCAATTATTGTACCAATTTGCTGTCTGTGATATACGCAATCGTTGATTGCTCTTGTTGATTAGTTCATGTCACAATATTCAATAATTCAATCGTGAAAAGTGTAACATTAATTAGGTAATGTGTTATATATCGCTGAAAAGGTCAAGTCCTTATAAAGGAAATGTATTTATTGCTTAAGTATTGTTTTTATTAACGTATAAAATATGTTCCCATGAGAAATGTTCTGTTGATATATTTTATTTTATATAATAGATAAAAACACATCGGAGTCATTTTAAATCTTTTTTTTTTTTTTTTTTTACAATTGTATCGTTTTAATGAAATGGAGTCTGCAACAAGATTTGCAGATATCAGACACTATACAAAGCTATGGGTACAACAGGAAGTAGTAATCTAAACAACCACCCGTACCATTGGACACAAGCACCAAACACGCATACACATACACCTTGCTAATCAGTGACAATCGGTAAGGATCATTTGTAATTGTCACATGGCATGTCAACAACGGTATTGTCATACTTTTATATTGGGAACTATGCTCTTAGTTAAAATAGTCCAGTTGTATTTCATAGGATTTGAAAAATCATGTTGTTTTCTTTTGAGGCTATTTTCAATGAGATATTTATCAATTACTTGCACTGAATAATTAACAAATGATTTACTGAACGAAGATGTACGCTGACCCACGGGTTAATTTATTATTGTGTTATATGCTATGACGTATACAAATGCTGTAACATATGGGCGATTTTATTCAATCTCTCGCGTAATTTTATAATTTTACGTTATAGATAAACTCATAAAAGTATAATATGCTATCCATATTTATTGTTCTTATACGGATACATATTACCTGGTACATACTTAGAGAAGATGTAACGCATCAGAAGTTATATATTAAGTTGTAAAGAGTAATTGTTTTCAGAATCGTGAAGAAATGAGATGCTAAATGTTGGGGGACCATCATCATTTTGTTAAAAGAAACCACAAACAAACATACATTTTCTAATATCATTATTACATAATTACTAGATAACAACATATTTCCGTTGAAAGAGAGGACAGTGTTTCAGAGAGATAAAGGGACATTTCGAATCCCTGGCCAACTTATGGTAATATATCGTATTATGTTAACTTTTAGTTCGTATAATAAAATTGACATACCATTAAAAAATACGAATATACAACACACAAGCATAGAAGAAACCAGTATTGGGCTGATTTACCTATTCCCTTGTATCTTCTCTTTTAGATTAAATATCAATATATATATTTCATTAAAATTATTAAAGTATCACTTACATTGTATTTACGGCTCCATTAACCATTAACGGAATCGCACACTCTTTATTTATTTCACATTTTACGTTAGTCGGTAAAGCCATATCTGTAAATATTGGTGTGGCAGCTGTGTGTACAGGACCTTGATTTCCAGCTGAAAATCAAATTTAATCAGCTTTAACGTTAGGCTTTGATGAAACATATCACGCTTTTAATTTTTGGGGAAAACGTCTTTTTCGATATCAAGAACATGATGATCTCATATGAAGTCTATTGTATATATAAAATATATATCTTCAACTTATCCTGTTTAAAAATTCTGCGAAATTCATATATTTGTCACGAAAATATTTCATAAATTCATGTAGCTTTATACGAACTTAAAGATCTGCCTGTAAAACTATCTTATCCCTTTAGGTATCATTGATTGACAATCCTGCTATTTCCAAATGAGGGACATTGGATGAATTATTTAGTTTATTACCACTGATGTATTAAAGATTTTGGTACATTTGTTTGGAATATAATAACAGATTACTTTGCTTTGGTAAATAAGATATGCTAATGAGTCGCATTCAGAGGTCCAGATCACTGCTAAAGCCGTACTTGGAAGAGAGAGCATATTGTAGCACAGTTTTCATGCAGCAATTTTTATGAATAATCACAAAATTGAACAAAAATGTACTTACAATTTTCGCAGTTGGGACCGCTACGATCTAAGGGACAGACACACTGACCATTAGCCCCACACACGCCGCCATGACGACAAGTCACTCCGTGACAAGGACCGGGTACTGATAACAAAAGAAGGTTTCGGCAGTCTAATGATTTCTTTGTTTTCATACTCCGACTAGCAGTTTCCTTGTTGTTTTCTTGAGTGTTTCATTATATTTTTTTTTATACAATTTGGCATTAAACTTACTATGTGGGAAATGCGACTACCACCAGTGAATGCATAGACTATAGCTTCATATTTTTTGAGAACATACATCTCTTTATTATCCGGTAAAAAAGGCCCTTGGTAGCAAAAACTACTACAATTAACAATAAACAGTAAAAAAAAACGCCATTTCTTCAAATATACAATTAGTGCCTTAATCAGCTTTGTAATGTTGTTCTCTGTCTCCGAAGTGCTTGTACACAGTGCTTATTTCATATTATACATCTGTAGGATTATCAAAATTATGTAAATGTGTTGGTATAAAGTTTTTTTTATACATGTAGTTTAATTTTAAAATTCTTTTTAAATAATATTTTTCCATACTGCTTTGTAATAAAAAGGGCAAATGTTAAAAAGAAGAAATCGGATTAAAAATTTCATATTTCAAATCAAATTGTTATTTTATCAACCAATGAACCAAACATACCTATATGAGTATACTCCACGTCGAAACATCTGCTTTCTCCTGGAATACTGAAGATATAGCAACAATAGCGATAAAACAGGGAAAATACCAACACTACATTTCTTAAAATGTAACTTGGAGAATTTATTTATGACTGCGTGCTATTCATTCATGCTTTTAAAGGTATGCTATGACCTGGTCATACCTTGATGCCGTTCATATATAAAATGTTGTCTTTTTCATACGGAATGAAAGACGTGTTAGTTCCAACTCTAAATCGAACTTACTATGGTAGAGATGTTTCAAAGCAGAGCGTGTCTGTGCCTTGTTTACTGGTCGGTGGCGTGAGTGCTATATCTACAGCACAGGAGCCAACTACGCTGCTGGAGTCAGAATGGAACAAATGCAGGTCATCGGTTGGGCCCTGGGTTTGGTCCACGGATGGACTGTAGAGGAGGAGATAGTGCAATTGGTTTTAATATTACAATTAATTATACATGATGTTCATGGCTGATTATACTGTAAATCTTAAACCGAAATCAAATTTCGTAGATATAATATTACTTTTGAATTGATAGAGTATTCAGCTTCCCTGTTTCGTAAATACAAATACAGATATAATGTGTATATACAAACCACCCATGGTTGATTCCGGGGGACATTTGCATGGTCACGTGACATGTCTTCCCTGGTTCACACTGAACAGTAGAATTGGGCTGGACTGTGGGCTCGATGAAATGTGGCTAAAAAGTGCGAACATATCTGTTTGTCACACAAATCAAATTGATCTTGACGCATAACATTTTTAAATAGTGGTTGAAATATATTGTCACATATCCATTCATTTTGTGATTTCGTCTTATCAAACAAATAACTTACCTGAGCTGTATTAGGAGTAGTTGAACCTAGATAAAGGAAGAGAAACACGTTATTAGTTTCTGGTTTAGGTTGTCAGTACTATTCAAATGGAGAAATAACTAAACTGATGATATTTTCGCGTTGTGACATTGCAAAGCATGCGAGGAAACATAATCCGCCAATTTCTTATATATATAGAAATAAAATAATTACATTTATATATATTTACATGTGGGCACATTTGAAAAAAAAGCACTATCAACATTTATGATCACAGATTATGATGAACATATCTTATAGGAGCCATATTATTAAACTTTTTATTTCTTTATTATATCATTAAGTTGAATTGAATGTCATGCAACAACATCTGGTAACAGGCTGATGTTATCATTGTAAATTATTACCTGCTGTTGGGGCGCTGACGTCAACATCAAAGCAAATTTCATCGCCCACGATACTGAAAATAGAAGATTTCTGAATTACTAAAGATCATTCGGATGGGGGATGTAATACGGTTTATATGTAGCTATCTGCTGTATATAATCTGTTACGTATTAAAGAAACCCTGAACATTGACACGAATACAGTAGAGTACACAAGCGCAAGTAAATATGATCCAATAGGACATAAACACAAAACAAAGAAAGAAAGCATAAGAAATATTGGGATACATACTCGTGAGAACTAGTTGGAGTATGAACACAAACTTTCTTGTTTCCCGGAGTATTGCCTACGACGTTTATTTTGCCTTGGTACGTCCCTGCCGGGGAGTTAGGATCTCTAGACACAGACGGAGAAGTAATGTTCAAACCGCTATCCACTTGTCCAAGTTGTAACGCCGGTCTGGAAACAAACAGCGTGAACGAATTACGGAGGGTTATTTGTTGTATGACGTAAATACAGGCTCTTATTTTCCCCGTTTTTGACGTGCATCGTTTGAATTATAGCATTTGTTTATTTCTCTTCCTAAGGTTTACAACAGATTAATTACAGTGACAATTAAGTAAATTTATGTTATCATCGAACAGTTTTACAACATTTCCGGTCACAAACCACATTTCAATATAACCGTTACTTAATTTGAACTATTTAAAATGAAATTAACCACTCTGTCATCGACATACAGTGTGCTAGTGCTTCCTCCCGGTGTCGTAAAGGTGAAAGGTACTTGACACTTTTGATTCAAGGTGCACTTTATTTTCTTTGGAACGGCAAGGTCTCCAAAAGTGCTCTGTAATATTACATGTACAATAATTTACTGATATATGTGATTATCTTCGCTTATTTAATGTCTACAATCGAATTTCTTTTCTTGCCTCACATCTCCGGAACTTACAATAAAACTGAAGCTTTATACACATTGTTAAAACTGTTCTGTATTACTGACCTGAGTAACCCCCGAAATACTTGCTGGATTAGTGAGAGATTCACCATGAGCTGCAAAAGTAAAGAGACTTATTCAATATATCATAACTGATTGTAGAAAAGACATAAAAATGAATAGCGTCTTTCAGTTCAAATAAAAATACATACAACAAAAAGGAAAATACCAGCATGTCAACATAATCGTAACCCAAACTCAAATTCAATCAAAATTAGGCACAATGAGAGTAAAAGAAAGATTTACACGGAGACTCCTGAAAGAGTACAAGGAGAAAAAGCGAGGTGTTCCGGAAGAGTCAGCCTCTTCTACGTCATAAACGACACCCGCAAAGTAAAACATTGTCAATCCAAATCAGTCCAAGAACAGAGTAAAAAATATCTCCGCAAACGTGAGCAATACCCCACAGTCTTATTGTAAAGTTGGAAATGTGTGGTTGGGGTGAATGGAAAGTTATCTCAGGAATGGGTTGTGTATGTCCACAGGCCCAACATCCCCAGTGAAAATGGTGATGACCGGTGATGTAGTTTGTGAGATAATAAGCGGTATGCAATTGTGGACGGACGGACAGACAGACGGACTGTGGGGTCATTACAACAGAACCATCAGAAAGAAAAGCATCAAACACGTCCAGCTACATATACACAAAGATACACAAATGAATATCACCTTTAAATACAAATTTGGAGTTAGATACTTTATAACAATACAATAAATTTAATTGGATTATACGGCATTTTCGTCTTTCTAGGACTCGTGAGTGATGCTAAGGGCTTAAATTTTGAAGCATATGGTCGACTGAGGAAAATCCAAAGTGATCGTCGAGAAGTCAAAAAATAGACGGTTGTTGCACTAACTGTATAATTTCTTTTTTTTTCAAAAATGTAATTTTCATTTATCTGACAATGCTGTGTGCCATACAAATATACGAACGAATTGAAACTGGCATGCACGTCAAACTAGAGGAGTTAAAGTCCACCAAAAGGTCATATAATTCTACGTAATGAAATCACGATCTAAAATTTCACCAACTTGCATCTTTTAAAACCCCACGTTACGGGTCTGTCTATCAGTTGACGAAAAGCGTGATTATGAGTAAAGGTCCTTGAATATCGAACCAACTACGACCTATAACACCATATATTAAGGATGAAGGGATGCAGTTACCAAGAAACTACATCATTAGGTCGTTCTGTCATTTTATGATTCACATTTAAGTGATGATAAGGAGGCTAAAATGTTGCAACCTCGTGGGCTATTGCGATAATTGGCCAGAAACAAGAGCGGAAGTGCCCCTTCCCCCTCAAAAAAAAAAAAATTAATAAATCTGTATTTTTCAGTGATTGAAGATTTCTGAAGAACGCCAAGTACGTGAGTGTAATCTGGACCTTTCCACTGTTCGAATGCAGCTTAAGGCACAGCTTCGGGACAATGAGGTAAATGAGCAGTGTTTACTATCTGCAAACTCGAACACTGTACAAAAAGCATACAAGTACATGTACTGTGCTTATAATAGCTGATGCATCCATTATGCTTCTTCTTAACTAGTGCTTTGTTCTGAAGCGAATTGAAATAGAAATACAGGTATATCAGAACGTTAGTATTGATAAAACACACCTGTATTTGATCAGTTTTATGACATTAACAGAAGCCGACCACATACTGATAACATTATAGCAGCCTGTGATAAGTTACAAATCACTTACCTTGGCTACAAAGAGGTCCAGAAAACCCACTAAGACATGCACATTTTGATGTCGCTCGGTGACCGTCACAAAATCCTCCGTTCTGGCACAACGTAGAGGAACATGAACCAAGAACTAAAATGAGAAAACATCATTGATAAACAATTAAATGGGAGGGGTGGGGATCGGTAATGCCATATCTTAATGAATTGAAGGAGGGCGAAGTTATCATATCCTTATTTTTTGGTAAGTAAATATTAGTATATTCAGTGTCTAGGCAAATGCCATTTAAATAGTGTATAAGGCTTATTTTGACATAATTTACTTCAAACATATCAGTGTGTCTATACTGGAAAAATATTAAATCCGCGATTAACATTAACGTCTAATAAGTAACAGTTTAAGTATACATATACACAAATCTACCTCACCTGACAACGCGTTAACGACGTTAACGTCATAGCATCTAACCTCTCCGTCACCTCTTCAATACAAAAAAGGAAACATGTATGTTATACTGTCTCAATCTTACCAAATGAGCTCAAAAACACTAACAATGTTTGAAGGAAATACGAAATTTTACCGAGGAAGCCAAAGTATTCCCGAGTTCGTATCTATTTAGAGAATACACTACACAATTTCAATGTGAAATGTAACGTTTCCAGAGTTAAATGTATTACTACATCACGTAAATATTTTTAAAATATATTCATCTTGTGCACGCCAGATATGAAAAATGAAAACTATGTTTATCATCTAATGTTTTGCACACTGTGTATTTTATTCTTATTTGCGGTTGATTAAAATCTCACCCGAACACGTCATGTTTGGCTGATGTAGCTGTGAAACATATGTCTGTGTAAGTTTTGGGAGCATCGTTTAAGAAAACAACGTCAACTTTACACGGACCTGACAATGATGTGCCTGTAGCTTGATGGATGAATACACCTGTATAGACTTTTTCTGAAGATCTGACTGATGGACTGAAACGAAATGGGAAATACAAAGAATAATTCATGTTATCGTGGGCAGAAATCAAACTCATTATTCAATAAAATAATATTATATGTAGATAGGTCTGTATCTGTTTTAATTACCATGTGTCATCGCCGTCGTAGTTAAGTACCCATAGACTGAGATGACAGGGTTTTCCTGTCTCACATTCGACTGAGGAGTTGTTCGGTAAAGTAGGATCAACATAATAAGCATGAGACTGAAAAAAGAATTGTATTTTACACAGGTATTTTAGCTAGTCTGTACAGAAACAAGTGGAATAGGTATAGATATAAATAAGATTTTAGAAAACAATTCTGCTCACGTTTCAATCAGAATCCTATTTCCAGGATCAAATTTAAAAAAAAAACCATATACTTGAAAGGACTATTATTGGTATCGCAAATACTTCATATTTAATTCCAGATATAGATTAATTCGCCGGTTTATCTTAACTTGTTCAATTCGTTTCATTTACCTTGCTTGGCAGGTGTAGATGTCCTGTAAAAGATGGAAATGAGAGTATGACTATCCAAAAAAATTATATTATTGATATTATCTGAAATATAATTCTGAAACATATTATTCATATTTGATATTAATAGAACCAAGAAATGTATACTTACCACTCACTGCATTGACCATAACACATACTTCATCGGCACTTTGTCTGGAATTTAAAAATGATATTTCCACTCTATTAATGTTGTTTTATATACACAGTGTAACATAACGTCTAAAGCAATTCATGTTCTTTTATCTTGGCATTTTGTAATACATGTTTTATAAGTTTATCATCTATTCTGTAATCTATACAGTTTTTTTATCTAGATAAATTCTGATGTTTAATGCTAATAATGTCCATTAGCAATGTGCAGCTTACTACACAAAAAAGAAGTGACTTACCCAGCTTGATTGTGACTTTGGATACATATTTGATGTTGACCACTGGTCTTACTAACCAACTCTACACTGGCGTGGTAGTCGGTTGGTGAGGAAGGGTCCTTGGTAACCGTCGTCCCTTGTACATCAATATCACCGCTGACGTAGCCAGGACTTACCACAGGGCTAAGGAATGTATACAGAGATTTGTATGTACTTATGAAGAAATACTGATTACACACATACCTTATTGTTTCTTTTTATAAACATACATGGAAAAAGAAAGGACAGTCGATCTATGAACGTAAATCTACCTTCATTGTGAATAACATATTTTCGGTAATCATAGCATGTTTGCGTTCTTAGACTCTCGTTTAAAAAATATAGCTAAATATAATTTATATCACTGATGATCCCGTTTAATAATGCATACAGTTGAACAGGAGAGAGGATTAGGTCCAAGACCAAGTAAGTTACTCTTAACAAAGCGCTTGGACAAAGAAATTGACATGTGCATTATATACTGCTATCTCGCCAGATGTCCAGCGTATATATATTGACAAACAAAACCACAACCAGACTAAGCAATCACGTCCGATTTATGTATTACATATAGATCTGTATAGTAAAACTCAAATTCAAAAAAAAATATATTAACACTGAAAAAACATGGATAATAAGACCATGCGTTCCTGAAGAGTAAGCGTCTTCTGCTTCATCGACGACACACACACACACATACACCCACACACACACACACACATACACCCACACACACACACCCACACCCACCCACCCACACACACACACACACCCTTACACACACACACGCACACACACACACACACACACCTCCCGTGTAAACCTTAGCTCAATGAGATCATCATGGCGACCATAAAACTTCCAGATAATTTTCATCGACATGCGTCTTTTAAACTATTGTGTTGCGAGTTTGTCAGTCCGTTGACGAAAATCGTAATAATGAGAGCTCACCGTTGAATATCGAATCAACTGTGAGATGTAAATACCATAGCTTGGAGATGCGGAGATGTTGCTATTCAGATATGGAAAATTCACAATAGGAAAATTGAAATCATCACGTTTATCATACAGCTTGATGGAAAGCTGTCCGTGTTGGTTTCGTTGTAGGAAAAGATCGAGATAAGCAGCTGATGTAGAAGAGTCTGTCGTATCTTTGTTTTAGAACGTTACCTGCTCCCAGGATCGCCTATGAGTGTTGTCGGTATTTTACATGGCTGGCCGACGTAGCATGTCACAGTGTTTGGCAATGCCCCGTCCTTGAATTTACTCTTGAACAGATAAAGACATATTTCGTAATTATATCAAGCTCATAACCTCTTTTTAAAAAATCAATGTTTTAATGAAAAGTCTAAAAATATTGAACACATTGCACAATTAATTTTTAAATGCTGAATTTTCCCGGTGTATTAATTTTCTATTTGTATTAAACAAATATAGTAAACTTACCCCATTAATCTGCGGACTTGCGACCGTATCCATGGATTCTAGTTTTAAAAAGTATGAAGCGGTTAATTCTGATATTAGTTTAAAGTATACCAAATAAGTAACTGTATAGCGACATGATGCTACTTCAGAACTTCTTTGTGTAGTTTTGTTTCTGTTTTGTTTATTTTTGGAGGTTTTTTTACGATTAAAGAAAGATGAATCTAAACGATTAGGTGTACCTAATGGTGTACTGTTCTTGAAAGAGAGCGGACGTTTGTGTGTTATACCCTAGTACACGTAAAGCTTACTTTGTGTGCATGTTGGTCCCGAAAACCCAAGTTTGCAGAAACAATTCGTCTTAGCCCCAATGATATAACAGTATCCACCATTATCACAATGAGGCGGACTTGTGGTCGGACAAGGACCTAAATAACACAAGAGAATTTATTACTATGTTTATGCAAAAGTCATAACATATATTTTACTTTAATAGAATGATTAATAGTATCTGTTACACGATTGTATTGACTCTTCAACAACTGGGAGAAGTAAAACAAAAACCATGCCCTACATATTTAATTGTTTTACATGTAAAATAAACATATTCTTGTAACGAACCTCACCTTTTTCGCAGGACAAACCAGTGTATCCAGCAGTACATACACACACGAATGTTCCTTGGTTGGACCCACAAACTCCTCCGTTCTTACAGGGACTGGAGGCGCAGTGATCTACAACAAAAATAACGAACACCATGACTTGATCAATGTAGTCGTAGAAATCGTTAGAATGGTCTTTGTAAACATTAATGGTTGAAATCAACATCACATCGGTAGTACATACCCACGATTGCAGCAACGCTCTTCATGATAAAACACCTTGCTTCACCTAAATCGCTGTATGTATAAAATAGTAAAAATGTTCGATGTACATCTATTATTTTAATTTCACATGAGATTTGAAATCATTTACACAATAGCATGATGCATATACACCTAGATCGGCTTAAACAAGCCTTTACCTGTATAAATAGTTGACAATGCAGCGACAGAACAGTTAACACAAATATACAGATAACTGAATATCGACTTGAAATACATATCATGAAAATAATAAATAAATGATTAAAAAAATGTAAATTCCAGTGATTAGATTTACTAAATCGGCTGTTGGTCGCTACCGGAAGTAAGTAAAACAGCGTTTTATACTAGAGAATCTTAATCCAACAGAAGGACAAAGCTCACCCAGATTTAAGGCATATCTTCTTTTCAGAACCGGTTGTTACGGACGACGCGAAGTCATATACAATATTTGTCATGCAAGAGGTGCCCATATCAGACGGTTCGAATACTGCTGTTGATACTGTGTCACTGCTCAATACGTGTTTGCTACAATGTATACAATTACAAATTGTTGTATTGGAGATAAGTGATTGGGAGATATGTTTATTTATCGATTTTATTTTTGTTTCTTTAAGATTTTGTTTAAGATGATTTTATTTCTAACGCTAAGCTTTATTATCATGCAAAATATTGAAGTGAACGACTACTGCGTGAAGCAGAGCACACGGAAAGGATGGAGATTAAGATATTGATATTTGAAAGACGTACCAATTACCACTTTCAATCGATGCAAAAACGAAGAAATGGCAGGGTTTTCCTATTTCACACAAAATCTCACTTTGATCCGGCAAAGTAGGATCAACAAATGTATTACTCTGTAAAAATCCAAATGTCATTTCAGTGAAAACACAATGATGACAGCAACTAAAGACATTAAAGTGAGAACGGTACAAACATGTTGTTGAAACAAATTTCGTTAGGGAATAAAATTCATGAACACAAAAGTGGTAAACATATTCAAAACGAACGAGTGTACAAATACGTGTTGCAGAGAAGTACCTGATGTTACTCAATATTTTCAAAAATGCCTCTTGTTACCCTATCTTTGTTTTCATTGCAATGCACATATATGATAAATATCAGATACAGTTGGTGATCTTATGTGGAGGTTACCTTGGTGGACGCCATGCGTGATTAATACTGTTACATAAATTAAATACAATTACGAAACGTTTAGCAAGAACGCGGCTAATATAGATCTGTTGTTCTTATTTGTTTTACCAAGTAACTTTTTTAAAGTTCTATGTTTGATAGGAGGGTGTTAGTTTGAGGTTTTGGCATTATGTGATTATAAACATTCCAATACTTTCAAAGACAGGCCTAAAAAATGTTTATTGATAAAATATATCAATACCAACATACTGATGTCAAGATTTGAAAAAAAATTAAATATATGAACCTTTCTTTACTGAACCCTCCACCATTATACATACATTTTCTGGCATACCATACAGTACTTACAGGTTTCGGAGATATAGGAGCTCCCCAAGGATCGATACCATCTGTAAGCAATTCGAATTCAGCAAATTACACAGTGGGTTAATAAACATGTGAGTGATATTTAGTAGAAACACTGTAAATTTATATAGATAAATAGTGTCCTCTTTGTGAGAGATAGATTATTTCAAAATTTTCACTTTCTTTAACGTTGATCGACGACTTCTCAAAATAAAATCTTATTATTATTTTCATATCAGTAAGGCACATTTATCATTTAACTCCCGCTACTAAGAACACACCACACTATTAAGAAGATGTATTCTGAAATCGCAATTTTCATGCAAGATGTCTGAAACTAACAAATCACATCATACCCCATGGTGAAAAAAGATGCCGGCTGATGAAGAGTGGGAATTCGAATATCTCATTGAGACGTGTTTTATGCTCGTTATTATGTCGGTCAAGTTAATGTTTATATTCGTCTCCTCTGGGAACGTAACATTACTTATTCGGGTTGATCAGGATTAACATTCGGGTATTTTTGATGGAACACAAAATGCTTACCTTTTTGGAACACCTGGTTTCATTTCCCTTCAGATATCTTCATGTAACGCTTTATTTTGTTTAATATGTATATACGTTAAGGATACACAAACACACAACAAATTGTTTTAATATAGTCATGCCTTAAACATGTAAAAAGCCCAAGCGAGCGGGCATCTCGCTAGTGGAAACTCTCTTTTGTCTGGCCTCCCCACTGCTCATTTAGCAGACAAAAAGATGTATATTTATACCAAATGTTTCACACATAGGTAAAATGTGACATGTAATAATCTGGTTGTAAGATGACCTAAGTATTGCTTTTTGAGTGATCTTGCATCTAATTTGACATTACAACCAGACATACCTTTGGCACAGTTATCTGAATGACCATGTGAATGCAATGTTTGAAATTTCTAAAAATCAATAAGGTTTCAATGATATCAACATATCTATAGTTTACACGTAGATTCCTGAAAAAGTAAGAGAATATTAACAGGTGTTCCGAAAGAGTAAGCATCTTTTGTTTCATTGACAACAGCCGCTATGTAAATCTTGATCAATCTAAGAAAGTAATGTCATGTTCTCAAATGAGAACAAGGTATATAACAACGAAACCAGAAGGTAAATTAGCGAGCATCAAAGAAGCCTAACTTCATGTCACATAAAGAAATAATATATTTCTCAATGATATCTCTATTTTCGGATTATGATAAATATGTGTTGACATCTTATTATAGTATTTCCTCTCCTATTCATAGACCTGACAGGATCCTACTCACGTTTGAATTCGTACTCGATGTTGAAGCACTTCGTGTCAGTTGGATGTGTACTACTGATATACAATTAAAACATTCAACATACAGAATATAGCAACAATGTTAGTAATGCAAATATATTAACTTTCGTTATATCAGTTGGAGATTATATATGAAGAGACAACTATCTGACTTCCGAAAATCAAAACATTATTAAGTGTGTGAAAATACGTTTCTGAATTATTAACATATACTGTCTTCAGAGTACAGAATATTCTCAAACCCATTATTTCAACATGTTTCAAAATTTGATTTATAAGCGAAAACACGAGTAATAATTTCTATACTTACTCGGTTGATTTGGCTACTTGCAAACAAATATGCAGTGTTGGGTCTGCCTTAGTTTGAGCTTTGATCTTTATGTCATAGCGGTATACGTTTCGAATACCAGGGATCTTTGGATCGACCGCAGATGAAGGGGTAACTGTTACTCTGCTGGGCTGCAGGATGGTTGTCACCAAAGGTGCAGTACTACAATTACAATGCATTTAATGATAAATACCTTTCTTGTTCCACATACTTTCTCATGTTCTACGGCCTTCTTATTCAGAACGCGACACTTGACATGAGTGGTGGTTTCTTATTTTATCCTAATAAGGTTACACTTACATCGCAATATATACATTTAAAGAGAGCGACATGGAAACCTCGAAAATATATCAGCAAGTCAAGTCACAGCAGCCTCATTAAATATGCACATAATTTGCTTATAATCTAACCTGAATAAGGGATTAAGATAACAAGTCTACCAAGCAAGTCTCGTCATAATACATTTGTTCATTCAAAAAATAACATGCGGAAAGCATTCATTTAGAGTGCCAAAGAATATCCACCAATCAGGTCACACGTGTCTCAGAAAATATGCATAAGATTTGCCGATATTCAAACCTGAACAAATAATTCAGGTAGTAAGCCTACAAAGCAAGTTTTCTAAAGATATTATCATTCCTTCATAAGTTATTAGTACCATATCCTTGGGATGAACAATACTATTCACGGTATCCTTGAAACCTAATATGGCATGGCGTTTGATAAAAAAAAGTGGCCATAGTCTTCAATTAATCAACATTTATTGGAAAGAGGATTTGGTGTCATTTTCCATTTATATATTTCATTTGGTAGGATTTTTGAAATAATATTATGGGAAAATTCATCAATAATTTGTGCCCAGTAAAGATAAGCAATAGGCTTGAGTGAAATATTTTGATTTACAGAGTTGTATAACATTTGCTTAGTAACCTTATCATTCATATTTGGTGACAAATGTGATCTAATTTGGTATTTATATACATCTGAGTTTTTTTTAATTTATTTTTTTCATTCTTTTGGAATAGTTTTAATAATTGTTTTATATATTCATTTCCCCTTATCATCTGAGATGTTCAGGGGTGTTTTAGTAAGTTCATTGTTGTGGCTAAGCTCTGTCCAAGTTTTTATTATATTTTGAAAAAATGCATTAATGCATACATATATGTTCACATACATACCTTCCATATACTAATAGGCATTCTTCTGACCTGTATATGGTACATATAGATATGTGTACATGAATGTATAATTTGAAATATACATCTCATATGTTCTTATGTACTAATTCATTTCATACAAATATGTAAGTACTCAGCATACACTACTACTTACATACGGACATATACATATTGTGTATCTCTATTATAATCTTTTAAATACATTGTATGATATTTACTCCATAGCTTTCATTTAAGAGATCTGTTTTAATAATAACCTGCTTTTTTGTATCACTTTGTCTATTTTGCTTTGTTTTGTTGCTCTTCCAGAAAATTATCCAGAATGTTTTGAGTGCCATTTGACTCAATGTTCTCCTTGTATTTAACAACTGGTTTTATTACTTTTCTACTTTTGATCTCTCTCTTTCTAGACTTTTGTTCATATTGGTTGCAATTATCCCCGTTGATGATCTAGGTCTAGTTCCGAGGCGCCCTTTGGCCAAACAGTTTTTACAAGTAATATTTTCGTTAACCCGTCCTTTATGCCATATCGTGGCGCGAGTTTTTGCCCATGATGGTAGAGACGAATCAATGTTCTTGATGGTTTCAAGTATATCACCAGTTTATTAATATGCCAAATTTCCATTTATCATTAAACGTTCTCGACAATTTCACAGTCCTGCAGTGTGAGGGCATGCTTAATCTGGAGATTATCTGCGGATAGTGGAATGTTCTTCATCTTAACAAGCAATGTATCTTCCTGAACAGGATGCCCTCGATTTCTAGTATATATGGGGAATAACTTTCACCTGACTGAAATTCGTTTGGTTACCAGAGTGTCTTGGCTGTTATCATTGTCTAGATAAATCCGCAATAAGCCATTCACACTCTGTAGGCCCGCAAGATACTCTGCTGGCACAACGCTGATATAATTTACTGGTACAGCCTCAAACTTTCGACAAGTGTAGTGGTTCCGAAAAAATCAACTTCCGTGAGGAACAGAGGTTTAGTCATACGTTTGCCGCGTATGACAATGCACGTACAGTCCCACCAATGTCATTCTTTGTTGCGAAAGCATTTTGCACGTGATAAAGCAATAAATCTTGTATCTTAACCTCTGTTGCAGAAACGTTCAAATATATCTTATCTTGCTAGCGACAGACTTAAAGCGCCTAAAAATCTATCGGAAAATCCAAAAATAACCATGTATCATATTCTTGTCTTCTGAGAAATAAATTCCAAACAGCAATAACATTCTGCCAAATATTTTTTTTTATTATTATTCCTTTGTAGTATATAACATAGTGGTACGTACCTCCCGCTGGAATCGGGCGATGTATATACTGCAAATACACAACTTGACGGGAAGTATCTGTTTCGTTCACACTTAATCAAATCCTCAGCTTCAGGCGTTGGCGCAACAAATTTCGGCTATAGAAAAAATTTTGTTTTACATGAATAATTTGAATTCCCACCCTCAGCTTTCTCGTTGTCATTGAAGGACTTACTTTACCTCGCCAAAAGTAATTATAATAAGCAATAGAACTTTTGTTTACAGATATAGTGAGAATTCTAGCAAGCATTGTGTCCACTGGAACGTCATTTGTATTTCTACCGGTTTTAAACTTCACGAAAAAGAAATATTAATTACAATTCCATTCATAATTTCTGGAACATTAATCATAATCAAAGTCTTTATAAGGTACAAGTAGTGATTCAACAACGGTTCCAGCAATAGTCAATTTTCATTTATAGGTGTAGTTGGTAGGTTAGAAAGGAAAAAATGCACCCATAAACACTAAGTTATTTAAGTGGGGTAAATAAAGATCTACGTACATTTTGGCCTCCATGGGATGTAGGACCTGAAATTGATTTTTAAAAATATAGCAACTGGCTTCTAGTAAATGATTTTTCGACCATCCAAGAATTGTTTTGTATGCTGCTACGAAAGGCAATAGTTAAAAAGAAACATTATCCGTCAGAAGAATATATTTGAATTAAGTATCGAGACCGTATTCTGTTGTATCAGCCCACTGAGGATATCATTCGTAATTTTTTTTAAAAAATCAACCCTAATCTATCCACAAATATTACTGGTAGTTATCTACTTCGCATCAAAGTATAAATGTCAAATGACACGATATAAAATAGTTAATGGATTTGTAAAGTATCAAAAACCAAGGTTTGTCATTCGAAGGATAACCCATATCCCCGCAGCCAGAGATCAACACATTCTTTCATTGTGTGTATAGAAACTATCGTAAATAATAAACGAATCATTTTTGCAATATCTTAGAATTACCCTCTATCCCCACCCCAACCCCCACCAACAACCCCCACCCCCCAACCCCACCCCCACAATAAAAATAAAGGGAAAAAAAGCGAAATCTTAAACATGCACCTATCAATTGACAATTATTCAGACTTTACCAGTAACATCCTCTAATGCCTATAATCATGGCAGTGACGTTCAATATGGCGTGTACATCATTTTTGTTGCGTTTAACAAAATAGTTCAGGAGATGTTATCCGTACAAGATGTCGATCAGTCATGGTAACACGATGCAACAATCACCTTCATCAATATCTTTATGATCGACGCGATGATTTCGAAGTAGTCCGAAACTATTGAAACTATTTACAAGAAACCTGTTTCGGTGACCATGGTAACAATTCGCCAAAATAATAGAATATAAAACTACATGACACAATACTCGTGTGGCTTATATATCGTTGCCAGGAGGTTTAGAATTTATTTGGACAAGTGTTTGTTGACAGCATGACACGATAGTTCAGATGATAATTAAAGTTAAATAGAGAACAATACAATGTATATAAAAATATTAATGAAACCAAATTGAAAATATCATGTAGGTGTATAGATAAAGATTTGTCTTAATTATTGTTGGTTTTGCATTGGAAGTCATCGTCTCTTTGCCACCCAGTATGGGGGAGTGACACAGGTTTATCCGAGGTATATTAAAGAGAATTGTATACTGAAATATCACTGTGAATTCATATGGTTAATACTTACTTTGACAGTTGGATCCGGAAAACCCTGTCGAACATAAACATGTTTTTGATCCTGCCGAACCTATACATATTCCGTTAGGGGCGACACATTGCGCATCACAGCCTAAAGATAAACATTCAATGTGTACACTTCTTAATATCAAAGGATGTACAATCCCACCAGACCGTTGAACATGCTAAAGCAATAATTACACAATTGACATTTATATTTTAGCTGATGCACAAAATGTGTTACTGTTCAAGACCATTCCAAAGCATCCTTTTCTTATAACGAATGATTTATACCAAATATCTAACTGAATACACAACAGAAATCGTTTTTGTATATTATGAATAGTGTACAGTGTGAGGGACTTACTGCAGGCTGATGGATTTGATATGCAAGGATCAACAGTGGGACTCGGATGGCCTGCAGAAGACGTAGAAATGTATATTAATTGTAAATTGTTGAGATTTGTGTAAAATCGAGCTCATTGAAGTAAAATGTAAAAGTGGATATGGTTCTTTTGTAGTATTAGAACTCAATATTTTATAGTTTAGGACTCAATAAAATCTGAGTAGTACTCACAGATTTTATAAAAGACATATAAGTGAAGAACACTTTCAGATACAATTTTAGAATTAAACACTACATCATACAGCTACTTCTTTCCCCTAACTTTGAAAACTAGGACGTGATTGAGGGAAACAAAATTGATCGATAGAAATATCAAAACCTAGGTTGTTTACCTGTACAATCGGTCCCAGAGGAGCCATCTTGACAATGACAGGTATATCCAGCCGCTGTATCTTCACACACACCATTGACACCGCATGGATCAGGTCTGCACGTGTCTATAGCTACAGGTGTATAAGAATTTAATATGTATCTACTACTATGGCACTACTACTATGATATAGAATTAGAATAACTACATACAATCTACGAATACACGCAGCGTTCGACAAATATATATAGAATCTAGTAAGTAATATCGACGGTATGGCCCAATATTGGTACTGGATCCCAGTAAATAAATGAAGTATGATCAATGAAGTAATAACGACAATACGGACAAGTGAATTGTCAATTTTTTCTTAATATCCAAATATCATACCCTTACTTTATAATGAAAGACGAAAAATGTTGCCGCGGAAATAAAAAAGAATTCTTTCATTCATAAAAGATAAGAATAGTATTCAAAAATGAATTATTTTCATTTACACATACACTGACACCTGTGCCGGAAAAAATAAGCCAGCGATATACTGATTTTTTTTCTCTTTATATACTTCCTTAACATCAAAACTTTCCAAAAAAAAATATCATCAGTAACAAAGTTTAGTACTGGAATAATACCAAGAAGTACATTCCTAAAGAATTATTTGGAATTAAGACATGTGTACATACATATAAAAAAATCAGTAACTTGGGAAATTCAAATACTCCTTCGATGAAACTGCATGCTATTTCAATGTCAATAATGCTATTCTCATGAAAAATCATAATTTTAATGTACCATAAACATCTTTGAAATTTTATCATTATTTTTGAAATTCGTTTTATTCTTATGCATACTATTGAATCAGCAATTTAGCAGCAGCTCTAGACGTGAACTATGAAAAAAATACTTTACTCTAAATAGGTATGTATCAACTGAGGAATTAAGCGATGTTGTTATAGTAATAACTATGCGGAGACTTGTTTAGTTGGTGCGCCGTGCTGATAAGTTCCTATCACAAACAAATTTGTGGTCTAGCATAAGGAATAATGACTGGAATCGATTTTTGAAAACACTGGAAACAGAGGACGCTTACACATCCGGAGCATGTAATCTTATTCTCCTTGTACTTTTTCAGGAGTCTGCTGGTAAATCTTCCTCTTTTCATAATTTGCCTTAGTGTTATTGAATGTGAATTTTTGATTATGTTCACATATTGGTGCTTTCTAGTTGTTTTTGTATGCCATGTAAAATCAATGTTTAGCGAAATTTAATTCCACATACAAAGATGGTATCTTACTGCTTACCATTGTCGCAATATACCCCTATGTATCCACTGGTACACAAACATTCAAACTGAAATCCGAGGTGGTGGCACGTGCCCCCGTTATTGCAAGGATTAGGAATGCATGTATCAGGAGCTGAAACACAGAGTTTAATTATCACTTTGATTATCGATTATCAAGTTCAGTTTGATTTTTACATTTTCAATTACAAAGTTTGTTAAAGGGCTTGTACAAACCCTCAGGGTATACTGTTAACATTCCCATCTTGTACACAAAGGCACTATTGTTGAAATCAAAGTATAGAGTATTATTCTAAATTTTAAGACTAACTATTAAGACGTTTGGGTGTAATCTTTTTCACGATGGTAACAACAGACATTTGAATTCCTGGGGTGTCTTGTTTTCACTATTTTTGATGACGGCTTTACATCTCCTTGATTTTGTCAATGGTGGTTATACTAAATGAACGTGGATATTACTATTTTTAAGGCTTATTCATTTTGAACCATTAAGAATCCATTGATTAACTGACTAATCAAAGGCCACATTTAAAGTGGCTACACCAATAAACTGCAAAAAATACATAACATGGAATAATAATAGTGAGAAGAAGTGGTTTGTAAATCATAACATTATTTGATATTTGATCCCTGTGACCTTGAAAGTTGATCAAAGTTTCAATAAACATAAAAGTCCTTCATCCCAGCACGCCAAAGGCCCAATATCAGTACTCTGTGCCTTTTCAGTCATTGCGATGAAGTTGTTAACACATTTGACCCCTTGGATATTTAATGAAACTTGGCAGTCCTTCATACCAGCAAAAGTAAGTAAATGAAAAGAATAAAAGAAAAAAGAAAAAGCCAAATGATGAATTGATAATAAAGGCTGTAGAAAAGGTGTAGACAGAAAAAGGGAACGACAGATGGATAGACATGGCGATTCAAGTATGCCCGTTTACCTTTAATTTCATTATCAAGGTTTAATAAGATCATGATTGTGAACATAAATTTTCAGCCGTGTGCCGAATAATCATTACCTATATCACATACGGCTCCCTTGTATCCTGGAGGACATAAACAAGAATATGATGTTTTGTCACCATTCGTAACACACTCGGCGCCATTTTTACAAGGTTGTATTTCACATGGATCTAAAGAAAACATGAAAAGAGGCATCGAATAATCTTGTGTTTAATACAATGTATCATTGAAAACATTGGTGAATACGTTGATGTTTGAAGAATCTCTGTTTTGAATATTAAATTAGAAGAAACTTTAATGTTCCAGAGCGTAACGTACAAACAGCACATTCGTTTGTTTTGTATAAATGCCAAAAGGGGAAGAGTCAAAATTAAAATGAAAAGATGAATGAAAGCTGCATTGTTTAGGCTGATGTGCTATACCATACCTTTTGGTTGTATCACTGCTTGAAAGCATTTCATGATTACAGCATTCCTGAAAATTATTAAGCGGAATATATCAGAAAGTGTAAGAAAACATGGCGACTTTATACTTTGAATTACTGGTAATATCTTAACTTATCTGTGTCTTTAGCCCCACCCCCTGTCAAGTGCAAAATGAAACTTACGCATCTGATGCTCTCAAGCAAATTTTCTTACTCCCAACTGAAGAATCTTGGAAAGCAATATCAATCATTTTCGCAGCTGCGTGTATGGCGTGTGCATCTTTAATTTGACTAGCATGACTCCCCGCGGCGTCTGAACTAATTAGGTCTATTCCTGTTATCCCTCTGAAAGAAATCAACAAATTAAAAATATTTTATTTTAAGTTATATTTTTCTATTTTATTTCTTACATGGAAACAAAGTCATGGAAACGTCGATATGGTTATACTGACAATTACATTTGATATATGATTTTTGTAGCTATTATTAGTACGGAATGTTCAGTAAAACCAGCACTTACCCAGGTGCCAAGGAAACAGCGTAGATAGGGAAACGGCAAATGGATCCAACCAAACAGGTAATCTCTCCGTTAGATGGGAACCGGAGGAATGTTAGATTTCCCTTGTTTATAAATAATAGATCAGTAGTAATAACCAGCACTTATAAAGCGGTAGTAACCTAATTATTGGAAGATGGTGTTCAAAAATCAATCTTACCGAAAATAAGTATTTATATAAATATGTTTTAATGTCTCCGTGTCTATTCCCGATGTTCATTTAAGATTTAGAACAACATACTTAAAACTAGTTGATATTAGTGCCGATTTCAAGATCCATAGAAATCTGTGTGAAAGACTGGCTTTTGCATACTTACCTCATTAATTCATTAATTCAATCACCAGAAATAGTTAGCAACATACGAACAGAAAGTCTTTAATCGTATATTCTGTGAAGGTTGCTTTTGATGGAACTCAACTAATACCAATAATTTGATAGTATTCAGTATATATATGTTCACTTTAGGTACGTCAAATGATGTTACTTTAGAAAGTTTAGATTGCAATTCAAATAGCGTATATCTTTTAAATGTAAGTCTTGTACAATGTCAGGCATACCGTGTCTGGTCATCAGTACTCTAGAACAGACATAGGTTACAATGAGATGATACATCTGTGAAAAGGTTATGAACATAGGGAAAAAAACAAGGAAACACCAACATGTCAACATAATTATAATCTAAACTCAAATGCAATAAAACTAGTAGGAAATATGAGCAAAGGGAAAATTTGCACTGCGACTCACGGAAAAGTACAAGGATAATGAAACCAGATGTTCCGGAAGAGTAACCGTCTTCTGCTTCAACGACGACACTCGCCATGAACAATAAAAAAACACACACAATTTCGTGTAATAAGTCGTCAACTAACGGACAATCTCATAACGCAAAAGTTACAGATTAATAAAAGGTATTTTTAAAAAGTTCCATGGTCGTCATGGTGATCTCACTGAGAATGTTTTATTTCTTTGTGCGATGTGAAACTGCGAGTGTCTGATGCTCGTCAGTTTGCTTGTTGAATCTATTGCTATTACTGTGTTCTCATTTTAAACGTGACATTACTTACTTGGATTAAACAAAATATACATGGCGGATGTCGTCGATGTTCATTTTGCGATTAAAGATGCAGAATCTACACTAAAGCAAAGCCAAATTATCTGAATGTTTATCAGCCGATGCCAGATTAATTTGAGTTCTGTAGTATATTTATCAATGACAGTGTACAGCATCTTGATGTGTGGTCTACTTTGAAGATCCCGACTAGCGGTTTTTATTCAATGACAATACATGTTTAATCCAGTTTGAATAGGACATGAAAAAAAGGTATTACAACCAGGTGTGTGTATACTTGACCACATGGATTCTTTCTCCGGGGATCGACAAGGTGGAATTTTATATATACGATAATACATAGATACACATTACCGATTAGCTGTTAATGATAATAATGATAAGAAACGATTTAAAGACACTGAGGGTGCTTGATAAGGTCAGGTGATTATCGACACGTTCAGGATTCGTTTATCATATCAAAGTAAAACACTGACCGTGTCCTAATTTCACTCATTGTTATAAGACTTTAGCCACAATAAACATTTGTGTACATATCTGTGACATTTCCTCATAACACAACATAACGACTTCCAACATATATAATCTGTAAAAGTTTATTCCCTTACATTACGGTAAACATTAAGTGTATGTGTTTCACCTGTTTGAGTCAACCATTATCCGTGAAAATATCTCCCCTGTATCTTTAAACATATTCTGTATATATATATCTTACCTGAAATGTCTGCGATACTCCAACCGGAGCAGCTACAAAAACATTATTTAAATGCGCCATTTTAATGTCTTCAAAAGTTTTTTAATCACTCTCCTTCGAATTTTACTCGTCCTATTTTTGACTTTTTTTAATTTTCGACGTATATGAAAAAGTTCAAACTGTTCAGTTTCTTTAAATTCGTGAATCGGTCTGTTACTATTATAAAGTCAGGTATCAGGATATATCTACGGTTGAAATATTTTCAAGTAACATGTTTATGGAAGTAACTTTTATTATTTTTTACGGAAATTTTAGATACATAACTAAGCGATTTTTAAATTCGTACCTTTAACTCGTATGATGAAGCATCTTGGCAGTGCGTCGTATCTGTATAAATAGTAGAATAGTTTTATCTGATTGTATCAGAACAGTTATGAGAAAATGAACGAAAACGCATTTGTTTTCTTTTTATAAGGAAGCATGATTTCTTAATGACATATTTAGGCATATATATCTGTAGACATTTGTATACAAATATATCTGTAGACATTTGTATACATAAATATTTGTAGAATATGTATACATTATATCTGTAGACATTTATATACATATATATCTGTAGACATTTATATACATAACTGTAGATATATGTAAACATATATCTGTAGAATATGTATACATATATATCTGTAGACATTTATATACATATATATCTGTAGACATTTATATACATATATATCTGTAGATATTTATATACATAACTGTAGATATATGTAAACATATATCTGTAGAATATGTATACATATATATCTGTAGACATTCATATACATAACTGTAGATATATGTAAACATATATCTGTAGAATATGTATACATTATATCTGTAGACATTTGTATACATAAATATCTGTAGAATATGTATACATTATATCTGTAGACATTTATATACATATATAACTGTAGACATATGTACACATATATATCTGTAGACATATGTATACATATATATCTGTAGACATATGTATACATTTATCTGTAGACATATGTAAACATATATATCTGTAGACATATGTATACATATAGATCTGTAGACATATGTATACATTTATTTGTAGACATATGTAAACATATATATCTGTAGACATATGTATACATTATATCTGTAGACATATGTAAACATATATATCTGTAGACATTTGTGTACATTATATCTGTAGAATATGTATACATATATACATGTAGACATACATATACATAAAAAACATAAACATGTAGAGACATATATATCTGAAGACATATGTGTACATTTATGAATTATATTTTGCAAACGAAATTATTAAATTTTCTGTAAAAGATACAAGAAAATTATGTATACTACATTACCCAGCGCTGTCCTCGACCCTCACACACAAGATGTGATCTCCCATGTCGGAGGGTACAGGTGTCCACAAAACTGTCTGACCTTTAGCGAGAGGATCTGTAGCTGATTCGTCTGTCACTGCTGACGTCAACGGGACGACACCGTCCCGTCGCGTGAAGAAAAAAGTCGATATTGTCCTAAAACATGTCAAGTTTGATGTGAATAGAAAAGATTTCATGTTTGATGTGAGGGTTAACACTGGTAAATCAAAATTATGTCTGTGTGTTTAAACATAGATGTAATCTAATGAAATCGAATTTGAATTTGAATTCAGTTTCTGTTGGCATGTTTCTCTGTTGTAATTTGGGACAGTTGGATTTAGGAAGAAAGCGACGTTAAGAGGATATTAAGTAGTAATTCCTGATATACCTTGTCGGATTCGTTGGTTTTGCTACCACCTTTATACTCAAATCTGATCCAACAAAGACTGTAAACATCTGCTGTTCCGATGGGGTCGGGGGTATAATGACTGGTGCCTCGTCTTTCAGAGTTATTTCTATATAGAACTGAAAATCACAAACATACATCCTTGAATGTTATCTCTGTCACTCAGCTGATGGAGCATGACTATTTGGTCCATTTGGTAGAGCCGGAGACACGAGTTCGATTCCAGGTCGGGAAAGCAGAAAGGAATGTGTTTTTTCTTTGTTCTTTCCTAATTTCATAATGTAGATACTACACATCTGCGCACTCGTCCACGCTAATTCTGGTTCTATTGTTATAATTTCGTCTTCTTTTCAATATGATAAACTATAGACAACACTCAAATGCCGTTGTGAGAATGCTTAAAACATCGTTATGACATTTCGATTGCAGTAGAATTTTGTTCTATAAGTCATATGTAGATACTACGTACCTGTACAGGGACGGCACTAAGAGATCGCCCTATGGTGTAACGCTGACGTAAAGGATGAGGATCTCCAGTGAGCTTGATATTCTCTCTATTAAAATCCTGTAGGGTAACAGCTATGACTGCTGAATCACCAACCTTGTATTCAGGACTGGACGTGTTGATATGTATGAAGCAATCCTAAAACAAGTAACGGCATAACTACAATAACATCGAATTATTAAGAAATAAATCTCAAAGCCCTTCAAATGTTAGTTCTCATTTCAGCCAATCCAGAAATATTTAATAGAAATATAAATGAAGTAAAGGAAGACCTACACCGTGACTCCTTAATAAGATCAGGAGTTCTAGAAGAGTAAGCATCTTACAACCATCACGTTAATCTTGATCAACTCACAGTCAACGTCCACCTGTGTTTCGCACAAAGAATAGTTCAAGAAGATACTAATATGACGACCATATCAAACTGCATCTTTTGAAACCTATGCTACGAGTTCGTACGTCACTTGACGACTTTTTTAAAACGAAAATCGTGATAGCGGGAATAGATCTTTGAATATCGAATCAACTGTAAATGAGGTTGGGGCTGCTTGGAAATGCATCACTCACGATAGCAATAGCAATACTGAAATTGAAATTATCAGGATTATCATACGACATGGTGGAAAACTGTCCACGTTGGATTCGTTATTGTGAAGGTCGAGATAAACAGCACTAATGTAGATGAGTCTGAGATACTTGAAATGGATCCTTTCATTCCACTAATCTCTTGTAAAACCATATTTACTAATTCAGTAGGTGAATACTTTAAAAGATTGAAAATAATAACCAAACAAACAGAGAACGTTATGTATTCATGAAGTTCTTCAAATAGTCACGTAATACAATGGCCAAACGCAAATAAGCGTAGCTACATATGGCAATGGAGAAAGGAAATTTCGTCATCGTTCTGTATAACTGATTCTAGTCCAACAGATACTGAGTACATGGTACAGTGATGTGAATGCATATTGCATTAGGTCCACTCTTACCTTTAAAACCTAGACACGTCCATAAGTAGACATCAACAGGTGGCAGTGTACTCTTCAGATCTACACAATGATACCGGAACGAACAATTCAGTATGAAATATTAATTTGAAAATTTATTACCTTTTGTATCACTATATTTTTCAAATGGTAACTTGTTTGAAGATCGATGAATTCGATGAAGGCCATTTTTCGGCATTCGAAGTAATCCCCATCCTGGTCAATAGCTGGAATGCTCAATGTGTAGGTTTTGTCTATTCCCAGACTGAAATCAATCAAGCTTTATAAGAAATCAATCATGTTTTATAAGAAATCAAAACGCGATGACTTAGAAAGAATACCAGAAGCACATTATATTTAGTATGTAAAAATATTATTCTAGAACCATTTAAATGCATAAAACAAGGAGTTGCCTTCAGAGTAGGTGATATTTTGATGTCAATGTCTTTGTAATATGAGTTTAGATATTATAGAAGACAGTTGAATTATGCATGTAACAGGATATTGTGGCGAATTACAGTGCCCATTGGAGGTGAAATCATATGCCTAGAATGCACTGCATGGCATGTGACAAATGCCTTTTGTCGGAAGTTCCAGTGACTAGAAAAGTAGGACATATACCCCAGTAAAATCGTTTTCTATCATATAACTTTTTTGAAGGTCAGTGTGACCTACTTTTGATACTTGACACACTGTTAACAGATTAACCCATAAACCAAGCATACAGTTCCGAAGATTAGTTGTGTAGAAGATAGGGTCCGGAAAATAGCGGAATGATGTGAGGTTGGTAGGACGAAAGGACTGGTGGACGAACACGACAAAAAAAACTAGTGGGGACATATTAAGTAAGACATAACGAGACCGTTCGGTCATTACACTGACGTCATGTATGGTATAGCTGATGTAAAGAAAACGTTCTGTTATTACACTGACGTCATGTATGGTGTTGTCTGACATAACGAGACCATTAGGTTATTAAACTGATGTTATGTATGGGATTATCCGACATTTAGAAATCGTTCGGTTATTATAATGACGTCATATATGGGGTTATCAGACATAAAGAAACCGTTATGTTATTACACTGACATGATTTATGGGTTTAACTGACTAAACGTGATCGTTCGGTTATTAAACTGACATCATGTATGGTGTTGTCTGATAAAACGAGGCTATTAGGTTATTAAACTGACGTCATGTTTGGTAGTATATGACATAAAGAAACACGCCCTGTGTGGTGCAGACTGACATAACGTGATTGTTCGGTCATTATACTGACGCTACCTAACATAAAGTGATCATTATGTCACTACACATAAAGGAACCGTTCGGCTATTACGCTGACCTCACGGGATTAACTAACATAACGAGATTATCATACTGACGTCATGAATGGGGTGATTTGCACAATCGGACTCCGGTTACGTCTGTTGGTGTCACTTCGCCGCTTTGCATTTACTTTCAGCTGCATGTGCCATTGTTTTATGGATGGTTGTTTAGACAAAGGAGTCCAACTGTAGCCTTCATATCTGTAAATCAAGGATGACCAATTTCTCAGTTCAGGATTATTGCACTACTGGATGCAGTTTTAGCTCTTTGTGTTAAAAGGAATGTACTTCCTTGATTGCAACCACTAGATAACTGAAACTTGGTTCCTCGTATTTCCAAAAACGATAATAGTTTACGGCAATCCTCGTGGACGACTTAATGTCCACGAGCAGTGAAAACTACTTGAAGGTTGTACAAAAGACAAACATAAATAAAACACGGCTATACAGGAAAAGATTGTTTAAAAAGACTTAATAACTTCTTGGAGAATGTAATACTTCACAGGACATGATTGTTATAATGTAATACTTCAAAGGACATGATTGTTATAATGTAATACTTCACAGGATATGATTATCATAATGTAATACTTCACAGGATATGATTGTTATAATGTAATACTTCACAGGATATGATTATCATAATGTAATACTTCACAGGATATGATTGTTATACCTCACAGGATATGATTATTATAATGTAATACTTCACAGGATATGATTGTTATAATGTAATACTTCACAGGATATGAAAATCATAATGTAATACTTCACAGGATATGATTGTTATACCTCACAGGATATGATTATCATAATGTAATACTTCACAGGATATGATTGTTATAATGTAATACTTCACAGGATATGATTGTTATACCTCACAGGATATGATTGTTATAATGTAATATTTCACAGGATATGATTGTTATAATGTAATACTTCACAGGATATGATTGTTATACCTCACAGGATATGATTGTTATAATGTAATACTTCACAGGATATGATTGTTATACCTCACAGGATATGATTGTAATAATGTAATACTTCACAGGACATGATTGTAATAATGTAATACTTCACAGGACATGATTGTTATAATGTAATACTTCACAGGATATGATTGTTATAATGTAATACTTCACAGGATATGATTGTTATAATGTAGTACTTCACAGGATATGATTGTTATAATGTAATACTTCACAGGATATGATTATCATAATGTAATATTTCACAGGATATGATTGTTATAATGTAATACTTCACAGGATATGATTGTTATAATGTAATACTTCACAGGATATGATTGTTATACATCACAGGATATGATTGTTATGATGTAATACTTCACAGGATATGATTGTTATACCTCACAGGATATGATTGTTATAATGTAATACTTCACAGGACATGATTGTAATAATGTAATACTTCACAGAACATGATTGTTATAATGTAATACTTCACAGGATATGATTGTTATAATGTAATACTTCACAGGATATGATTGTTATAATGTAATACTTCACAGGATATGATTATCATAATGTAATATTTCACAGGATATGATTGTTATAATGTAATATTTCACAGGATATGATTGTTATAATGTAATACTTCACAGGATATGATTGTTATACCTCACAGGATATGATTGTTATAATGTAATACTTCACAGGATATGATTGTTATAATGTAATACTTCACAGGATATGATTATCATAATGTAATATTTCACAGGATATGATTGTTATAATGTAATACTTCACATGATATGATTGTTATAATGTAATACTTCACAGGATATGATTGTTATAATGTAATACTTCACAGGATATGATTGTTATAATGTAATACTTCACAGGATATGATTGTTATACCTCACAGGATATGATTGTTATAATGTAATACTTCACAGGATATGATTGTTATACCTCACAGGATATGATTGTTATAATGTAATACTTCACAGGATATGATTGTTATAATGCATTATAACGAGTCAAACTAATACCAACTAATATCAAATATTGCGGTCGGATATCATAAACATAATCTATTCGGGAGTTGATTGAATACAATTTTAAGTCCTGTAAGCAAAGAAAGTTTATCATCTATAGCACTAACAAGAAAACACCATCTTGCCTAACTCACATGAAATCCGTGTACTCTGCTGCTTCCTTAACCTTTATGGTCACCTCTGTTTTGTCCAGCTCCCATCCGAGAAGATCATTGATAGCCATCACTTGGACAGTTAGATTGCTATTTGCCTCCGTTGTCACATCTCTTGGATGAGGAAGTTGTGTGCCGTACTTTTCCTCTACTGACCAGTTCCCGAAGTAAGTTTGGTTTGTTGACGCCATGATATTGTTACGCTGTGCAGTAATGTCGGATCCTATATTGGTGTGATCACAGTGCACACCACACTGTCCTTTACCAAGACGCCAGCCCGTCAGTATCTTTGCGTTTATCTGTTTTCAAACAGACACAAAAGGTGTATTATTCCCCGAGATCTTGTAAACGAACCTGTTCTGGCTAGAGGTCGAACTGTATTACATAATATATCATGTATTATAATCAAGTATTTTAATAGCAAGCGCATGCTATTTATTAAAGCTTTCATGCGGAAATAAAACCATACTCTTAATGAGAGTAATTCAAATAATTTCATTTTGACAAACATAGGAATTAGTTTGAAATTCACTGTACTAAAGCCTTTATATCGATATCTGTTTAAATTTAGATATGTTTTAAATTTCATTTCAAATGGTGTTTAAACAACGTGTATGGAATCATGAGGCAGTTCAAACCGATAAGTGATAAAGAAATGAATTATGAAACAGGCAGTTCAAACCGATATAAAGAGGAATATTGGGACATCTTACCTATTCCCCGATAAATGTTAATTATAATGATAATTGGCTTTATCATTCTTGACAGCATATTGAGCAACATGCTCGTCTAACATATTTCTAAAATAATTTGTTTTGCGAGATAGCAAGTAAAAAACATGTGAGGAGGAAGATTTTGTAGGTCTACTTGGAACAGCAGACAAGTAAATGAAACAATTCAAACTTTGTGGAGGGAAATTATTAAGCACATTGTACATTAAACCAGCTTGATTGTATAAAACTTGTTCACAAAAAGGCTATTTAGCAGCTTAAACATATCACAGGAAGGTGTAGGGAAATCATAGTTTAAAATAATTCTTGGTGCTTTCTTTTGTAGACTCTCTAGTTTTACAACATGTTTTGAAACTGTTGCCCCAGACAGTGGAATAGTAGTCCATGGGTGGGTTAATTTACATATAAGATAAACAACAGTGGCCTTAATGTTGAGCCCTGTGATTCTCCGATAGATGAGGAGAGAGAATCACTCAAAGTTGACATTCCATTGTCTATGGCATTACACCAAGTTTTAATAGTATTCGTCAGTGCAGTCAGCCACGAGTGATTGGCTCTGAAACCAGATTGGCTATCAGAAATATGAACATGAATATGTTGATTAAACAGGCAGATTGACCTGTAATAAAAATCTACATTAAAAGCTCTTTTTTGTCCTTATTTGGTAGATGGCTTACTTTAGCCCATTTCCAAAATTGTTGTGTCAATGAAATCATTCATCGGTTTACAAATTATTGGAGCAATAGTTTAAATGATTTAATATCACCTAAACCAGTAGCTTTACTGACATCTAAGTGCAGCAAATAAATTCAATAAAATAAATACTAATTTTTGGAATATTAAAGACATTGCCCTCTGGTTTTTCTTGAGTGTACATTTCAAGTATTTGCAATAGATCTGACGGGTCTTTTCCACATGTTTCATTTATGTATCGGGTTTCTATATTTGTAAAATACTCATTACAACAATTTCTTATTTTCATCAGCTGAAAAAAGTATCACATCCGATGCGCCTTAATAACCAATATACCGTGACTCTACAAAGGCGTGTGTTCTTTTCCTTTCTAACTAGTGTCAATTTCCAAATCGTGATCGCCAATACATTTTCAGTCAATAACTTTATAAATAACAATTTTAGAAAATACAATGTTCATGGGAGGTAGACCTTGCAAGCAGATTTTGGCAGCATGGTTTGCACCAATTGATTCGTTATATCTCAGAGCCGCTTTATTTGGCACTGATGAAATCACCTGTTAACGTACGCCGAGACAATTGTGTAGTTACCTTAATGAAAGTGCGCCGAAACAATTGTGTAGTTACCTTAATGAAAGTGCGCCGAGACAATTGTGTAGTTACCTTAATGAAAGTGCGCCGAGACAAATGTGTAGTTACCTTAATTTTGAAAATACACCTATTTGTAGAAAACCATGATTCTTATATTCACACTTGATAACCACATAATTTATTAAATATTCAAAAAAGAATTTCCGAGAAAAGCGGTGATCCGCGAGTTCAATTGATTGGCCATATCATACCTGAAGCAGCAGTTGACGCTACTTGGGCGTCATTAACAACACAACAGCATCAAAATGGTTTCAAGAGCAAACAAATGAATTAAGATTGTATCTGCTTTTGCCAATAAGCTTAATGCTTAATGTAACTTTACTTCCTGATGTCTTACACATCACTTATCCTCTCACTACAAATTTACAAGCAGTGATTCAAGCTCTACATACGATGATAATTTTAAGGTGATAATTGTAAGGTGAGGGCATTAGGGTCTCAACTCACTGCGGTATCTTAGAAACCGAAGTAAGGTGAAGTATGAACGTGTTTATGTACAATATCAATTTGAACCGAAACATGAGAAAGTATCTTTACTTACGAGAATGTTATTTGATTGATCATCAAAAGCTTCAAAGCTCATTGAACCCCCTAGGAACTCCGGCCCGGTAAACGTTCCAGTCCCAGATCCGGAAGAGTTCACCAAACCGAGGCAGAGCATTAGTGGGGAAATCACAAGTAGGAGTTCCCCTGGGAGCCTCATCCCGAATGAACTCAATGCAGAAAAATTATCTGACGAGAAAAATATAATGATGTGATCGGTATAATAAATAACATAGTAATTGAAGAAATAAAGGCGGAGATAATAAATAGAGTGGAAGTAATTCGGCCGCAGTAGCGGAACACAGGAAAGTTACAACCGAAATGTCAACCATTAAGAGTTTGTATTGATATACATTGCTGAAACAATACCACACTCACAAACCCTATTGTCGCAGTAGTAAATTACATTTCTTTTCTTGTTTTTTTTTTTTTTTTTTTTTGTTATTTTTCCTCCTTTTTCTGTGTTATACAATATCTGCTGTACGATGACAGAATATCGACATTTTTCACCAGTTTTCACATTAAAAAAAAAATTAATAATGGATTTTAGTGGCTAAATGATACTTTGATATTTAGAATATTTCAATTTTCAATTACAAAAACCAAACAAAATCAAAACATTAAAGGTGACAGAATATTAATATGTAGTTTTGGGATGGTATGATATTGACATAACAGTCAACATTGTGCATACGTTTGTATAATATGTCTAAACAAAAACATTAGATAAAAAAACAGCGATTGGTATTGTATATCCCAGATTTGTGTAACACATAAATTAGAAGTAAATCCGGCTTGTAACAAAGATACAAGACTTCATGGCAGAAATTATTCTCTGCTGTATAAACGTATTATTTTTAAACAAATAAACAGAAGAGCTTCCATTCAAAACGCATTTTTTGTTCTTTTAAATCTATTATTTTCCCTTCAAACTGCTTGACATATAACAAAAATTAGTCAAATGGAGAATATTGAAAAAGTTTCGAACATTTTCATTTAGGAATATTAATGTGTTTCTCGGCTTAAAGATAAAAAGAATATTTGTCTTGTCTTACCTTAATAAACAGTTCTGGTATGTTGCCGGGTGAATTTCTTGTGCTGGTTTAAATGTTTGTTCCACGATTTGTATATTTAACCGCTTCGCCTTACAAATCGATCATTTAATTAGACGTCGTCTATGTATGTGTTGTTAAAGGGAAAAGGTCTTCTCAATAACACGGGTACGTTTGGTATACTAAATATTTCGGGTCGACAGTTCGATGGTTTTGAAGGTTCAACTTCATCATATTCATATTTCAAAGTCACCGATATAGAGAATAACACAAGGGTATAACCAAGGCAAAACAAGCAAACAACAACAGCAAAACCGAAAATAAAATAAAAAAACGAAACAAACGGGAAAAAAAGAAAAAGAAAAGAGTATATCACGCACAATAAACAAATAACAGGCACAAAAAGATACTGGACAAAACGTAGGAAGGCTCAAGAAAGACCTTTGATTTGAGACGAAGTAAGATACCATGTACCTTTGCTCTTGTAAATATTCTATTTAGTCGTTAATTAACAGAATATTGGAAAACTGAAAGACAAATATACTATTAATAAGAAAATGAAAAGAAATTCAAGGGAAGAATTTGAATATTATACATGGAACTCTTTCTTATGTGAAGAATGATTAAATCATGGTTATATATCAAATTGTGTTCATTTTACACATTTAAATTTTTGCTTTGTTTTTAAAACAAGGTATGATCGAAATATGTTCCCTTAAGGCTCACAATTGGTAATCATTGAGATGTGCTAGGGATTTGTATCACAGTAATGCCCTTACTGGACTATACACAGGGGGGTACAAGAATACCAGGCATGTCAGGTAAAGGGATCAATGTTAATCTCTCGGACCAGGTATCTCTAGCGGAGGATTGTGGAATTGCATGGACAACACTAGATACAGGTAAGACAAAATCAGTCGTTTAATTTCATTGGTTATACATTCTTCTAAAGTTAATAAGGAAGCCTTCAATCAATATATATATATACACTTTGATACCTCTGGATCTGTTAAACTTTGTGTGTTATGTTTCTGTCTGTTTTTGTCGTCACTAGGATAGCTGTCATATATATATACACATATTGCAATTTCAGTATAATCCAGGATCGATTTAAAGTCAAACTATTGATGTAAACACATGATCCCATGTAAAGATTATAAATACACCAATAGTTTATCTACTTAACCTGACAGCTATTCACTTTATCCAAATCATATCATACGTTTTCAAGTTTTTTGTCATGTATTGATCGATTATCATATTGAATGTTCTTATCCCGTCGATACCAAACTTTCACTTTGACATATTGTAAAGAAAGGAGTTAGCGTGGAAGTGAAGCATGACGAACAAAGAACACATCGATATAGTATTTCCAAATTTACATTGACTTAATGTAATTGCCATGATTTCCGTGTATTATGTAACTCTATATGATCCGATGTGATTATACTCAGTAAATGATATATATTTAGAAATCGAGATGCAACCCATTGCTGTAGTTTAAGGTTTACAAGTAGTGTCAGTAATTTACTTTCAATGTCGAGTAGAATCGGCTGATATGATTATACAAGTACATAGTGTATTTGTATTCTGTTGTTGCGGATCACAGAATGTGATATGACGTCACACTGCTGTCGAGGTGATAGTGTATGGTATTACGTCATGCTGTTGTCATGGATATCTGGGTACAAAACGACGTCAGTATGAAAAAGACAGCATTTTTCCAACTCAAGAATTCATTTGTCATAATCAGAGAGATGGAACCTATAAAATTGCTTTGATGAAACAATTAACTTTAAGACAGCGCTGCTGAGAACAGAGATAACATTCATTATCGTAGGCGGGACCGACCTATATACCATGTGCAAAGTTTGTACAAAGTGACGCAAAGGTATTTCCATCTTACTGTAAAAGCTTTTTTTCATCTCTTGCGGAAAGAGTAATTAACTTTGGGGAAAATACTGCTCAACCCAATTCTAACATTGAGCAATTTATTTCACTGAAGAACAACAGGAAGTTACCAACATGTCAACGTAATCATAATCCAAACTCAAATTCAATCAAACTAGGGCAAAGTATGAAGAAACAAATTTTACACGGAGACACCTTAAAACGTACAAGGAGAATAAGACCATGTATTCCAAAATAGTAAGCCACTCGCAATTTGTCAATCCAAGTAATTAGTGTCGCTCTCTCAACAGAGGACAAGGTATTTAACAACGTAACAAAGTAACGAGCATCAGACGCATCCAGCTTCATATTGCACATAGAAACAGTATATTTCTCAATGGGATCACAATGATGACAGTAAAGCGTACCAACCATTTTCATCAATTTGCATATTTTGAAATCCTGTATTACGACTTTGTCAGTAAGTTGACGACTCATTGCACGAAAAACGTGATAATGGGAATATCAAATCAACTGCGACATGTAAAGATTGAAACTTCTAACGATTTCCGTCATTCTATCAATGATATCATCACAGCCCAACAAAATGTTAGATATCAGTTATTTCTACCGAATACCAACAAATCTGCTGGACCAGATGACATGGTTCCGATAATATTTTTTTTTTCAAAATATTCATCCATCTTCTTTGTTAACGCTTCTGTACAAAACGCAGAAACTTGTATTATTCCCCACAGCTGGAAGCTGGCTAATATCGATGTTAATTGTTAATATCACCTGTAAATCATCTGTTATCTATTAACTCTACCATTGGTAATTGCTTGGATCAAAATAAAGAAATAAAATTTTATTCTTTGACATGGGCTGCTTTATAACCTAGGATCATCTGGTGTTAAAGGTAATCTTTTAAACTCGTTTCATTTTTGTTTTGTTTTGTTTTTGTTTTTGTTTTTTCTTCTTCTTCTTCTTTCTTTCACAGAATTCAAATTGAAGGTTTAACTTCAACCCCGTTCAGGCAGGAATCCACAAGCTTCTGTTCGTAGTCCGTTATTGTTTTTAATGTATTTGCATCATGCTGTTGAATATGTTTCAAGCAGAATCAAATTATTTGCAGACGTCACCTCAGTCTATGATATATGTGATAATAATCCTGTCGAATTGAATACCTTATGATGGCTTGAATGATGTCAAACTGAGAAATGAGTCGTCAAATTTAACACATCTAAAACTGAATCTGTAATTTTCTCGAGGAAAACTGATAGTAAGCACCCTTTTGTCTTTTTAATGGTGAACTAATTACTGATAGTAAACTAAGTATAAATTTGGGTCTAACACTAAGTGGGAGGCCAAATGGAACTCATACATATCTAGCATAAATGAAAAAACTTTAAACAGAATAAGATTTTTCTAGATTATTTTTCTTAAGATTATTGAAAAATCACATTGAAAGAAAATCTTTAACCAGTATATGCATCCTAAATAAGACCAATAATTGAGTATACTGATGTGGTGCGGGACAATTGTACAACGGCTCAGTCTATTAGAATCGATACAGTTAGATGCTGATTACAGATTTACGTAGAGCAATTCCTGTTGGCAAATTATACAAGGAACGAGGACGAAGATCGGGAGTTTTAGGAGATATTAACATAAGTTTATATTTATTTATAACATAATAAATAATGAAACCCCAGATTATCTAAGAGATTAACCGTATCTTCATGAGGAAAGTCAAGATAGATACCAACAGATTATTTGAACCCACTATTTGTCGTACAGTAAATTATTCTGATAGTCTTTCCCATCGATGTTAAATGAATTTAATAGACTTGCACCAGATATCAACAACTTATACTGGGTACAACAATGATCCCTGCTAACACATAGTCGCCGACTCACATGGTCAGCTGTCCAATGTGGTGGAGCTATAAAGTGACGGCATTTGGGTAGACGGCGTACAGCGAGTTTGTGAGCGCGTGATATATATATTTATAAGTGTATTCCTCACTGTTTGTGCAGAAATTCGTTATCCATTTGCTTGACGGAAGTCGTAATCTAGTGGAACTTACAAACCGATTTCGCTTAGTAAGAGTGCTTAAATAACCCTCTATAATTATGAGAGTTTTCCTTTCAAAGAATCTTGAACAGTGATAAATATCTAGGGGTTTGAAGAATACTTTTTCGTGAAAAGAAACGT